TCTTTCAGCGCTAGAATGCGTGATGAAATGCGCAAAAATAGACGACACATCAGATTTTGATGATGTTGTGCTGTTATCACAAGTTAGCGATATTCTCATCGACTTTCTGCCTGGTATTGCGGCTCGTTTGGTGGTGATCGCCGTGGATGATCAGAAATGTGGCCATAGAATCGTGACGGGATGTGTTAAAGCGTGGGCTAGATTTGTTAGTCTACTTTTAAGGAACTATGATCCGGTAGAGGAACCGCCAAAACTGGAAGAGTTACTTGTAGCTAATCATGAGATTAGTAACAAAAAGAGTAATGAAATACATGATGAAAAACTTGCGTTATGCGCTGATTTATTAATGGGATTGACAGCCCATGAGCATGCAACAGTGAGACATCAATTGGCAATGAGTAGTAAATTGCTGATTGACACTGTATTTTTGTAAGTGTCTATTTATAACAAGCTAATCACCAATCACTGAAACTAAATATCTTACATTTTTAGAACTTTGCCTGCTACTTCTTCAAAAATAATCGAAATTCTGATTGTATTAAACCAGGATACTGAACATAAAGAAACAGCTGAAATAGCAAGCGCAGCACTGGCCGATGTAACTAACAAATTAATAGAGGACACATTTCGTACGAGAACTTTTGTTGATAATTTGCATCAATTGTTTCATCGGCATTTAACACATTTGCCAAATGTATTCAACGGATTAAACACTCGCGATCAATTGACAGATGTTTCATTGTTAACTGGATATTTACAACTGTTTGCGCAGAGCAGTCAACTGAAAAGTGTTCTATTCAACTCCACGAACTTATATAAGTTGATTGGATGTTTGTTGTACGTGGCCGAGGTGGATAAAAGCGATGTCAGCGGCTTGGAGGAGCATAAATTGCACGGTAATGTTAATAATTGTCTATCCAAACCTCCGAATTACTAACTGGTGAATTTATTTAGATTGGAAAGATGTACCCGATTGTGCTACACCATGGAAAAGGTTGAAGTGTAATAATATCCGCATACAAGAACAATTGGAAAGCGCAGCTCATCACCTAGCCCAGTCAATGATTGCCGATATTGTGTTGGACTATCTTCTTGATGTCTATCATCATGATGTCGAACGAAAAGCAGAAGCTACGTTGCTAATGAATGAAATTTTGTCGGTGGCTCGTTTAGATAAAGCGAAAGATGTCATGGACGCTTATCTTGATCCTCATAATTGGCAACTTACATTGAGTGTAGGAAATGGAACTAGTTTAAAAGACGTGCAAATTAATATAATACAACTGTGTTTGCAATTAGAAGGAATAGGGAAAATTGCTTTGGCGTACAAAGAGGAATTCCAGCTGTTTCTCTTGAGAGTTCTCTATGCTGTTCTGGAGCGCGCTGGTAGTGCCCATCCATTGCTGCAATCTGCTGGTTTGGTGTGCACTGCAAACATCTCAATGGCATGTGGATACACCAGCGTGACGGATTTGATCAACCGGAATGCTGATTACTTTGCCTACAATGTCACAAATAAACTACGCCGACGTGCGGAGAATGCTAGTGTTCTCAGCGTGCTTACAGTTGTGATGCGACATAGTAACATGGAAGTTTTACCATCGATTGCGGATATTATCGAGGGAGTTTTACTGCAAAGCTGTGATAAATTTCAAGATGAGAACGCAGCGGCGTATTTACAAGTGTTTGCTGCTTTTATCAAATCATTGCATGCATGGCTCAATGTATGTGTTGTCATTGCACCAGTGATAACAAAACGTGAGCAAGAAGAGAAACAGGAAGTGGTTCGACGACTGCAATGGGAGGAATTAAACAAACCCGTTGATTTATCCGATGATATCATGGAAGGAACTGCCGATGATGAAATTGTGATGGAAGAAGAACTAAATGATGATAATAACCAACCAGAAGAGTTTGTCAAGCCACCACCGCCGAAACACATTCAACTGCTCGTGAAAATCCTCGAGAGATCTCTGCATTTCCTCCCTGCTAAAAACACAAACTGCAAAATCTTTGTCTTGGAGATTTTAACATCCGGAGTGGAGGTGTTGAAAGATTACGAGGATGAACTCTTACCAATTGTTCATAAAGTGTGGTCGCCTCTTGTCAACCGCTTCAGGGATTTTGATTCTCCGTTAGTGGTGAATTTAAGTTTTATCCTGTTATCTACCTTGGGCAGACTTTCCAAGGATTTTATACGAATGCGCACCGTGAAGGAGGTGCTGCCTTCAATTAATCAACTGTTAATTGAGCAGTCAAAGGAGAGTTACCTCAAGGATCGCGGTTCGGCATATCGCTACACGCAAGCATACAAGATGCAGATGAGTATTCTCACTGGCAGCGCTCGTCTGGCATACGATTTGGAGTTGGATGAAAAAATTGACATTATCTTGCCGGGAATTGAAGAGTATCTATGCTCCAAGCAGCCTGTGCCCCTACAGGAAGCCGCGATGAATTTCTATCGACACCTGCATCATTTTGATCCGGACTACGGTACTACAATCATCAGAAACCTGAACGAACGCCGAAAACATGACGATTGGAATAGAAATTTAAATATTTTACTATCAATTACACAAGTCCATTGAAACGATATAAGCTTATTTCCAGTCACACGCGTAGGAAAGCAATATTATGTTTTAGTTCTCGGTGCTGACGGGCTCGCGCGCATGATGTATGCGTACGTGCTTGTTGTGGTTGCTCTTGGTGGTGCTGGTCTTGCCGCAGATGTGGCACGAAAACGGTCGCACGCCACTGTGGATGCGCATGTGGTCGTTGAGATAGTAGGAGCGGTGGAACTTCTTGCCGCAGACGGTGCAGTTGAACGTCTTCATGCGCTCGTGTTCCTTGACGTGACGCTGACAGTTGTATTTGCGTATAAACTGCGCGCCGCAGTAATTGCACGTGTACGGGCGGATAGCGCGATGAGAATTCATATGTGCTGTGTAATCAGCTTCACGAACAAACGCACCCTTGCACAGCTCGCATTTGAAGGGTTTCTGAGCGCGTCCCGCGTGCGTCCATTTGTGCAGCTTGAGATTCCACTTGGTGCTGAATTCTTTATCGCACACGCTGCATGAGAAGCCTTTGCGCGCCTCGTGGCTTTTAATATGTGTATCGAGGGAGCCACGCAAGTAGACACCCTTGCATATGGGGCATTCGACGTTCTCAGCGTCGCGTTCTTCTGCTGGAACGAAACGTTCGTTGTGCGCACGGCGCACGTGTCGCGTGAGGCTGGATTGATGTACGAATTTTTCGCTACAGAAGAGGCATGCCTTGGGCCGGTTCTCGTGCACTTCTTTATGCCAGGCAAGTTTTTTCTTCGAATGGAAGACGTCTCCGCATGTTGCGCAGATGAAATCTTTCTGTCTGCGCTTGAGGTTCAAATGGCGTCGATTCCGGTGTTGAATGAGATTGGAGTATCGTTTGAATGTCTCGTCGCATAGGCCGCACTTGAGCGGCGCCTCTCCTGTGTGTATATACTGATGCTCTTGTAGTTTTTGGCGCGTGAAGAAGTGCTTGCCGCAGGTGGGGCACTGAAAGGGCCGAATGCCGAGGTGGCGCTTGATGTGCATCGCCATGTTATGCGCCCGGTGGAAGTATTTACCGCAGAAGAGGCATTCGAGTGGATGTACGGATAGGTGCTCGGTGTAGGCGGGCTCAGCGGCGAAGCATTCACCGCACACGCCGCATTTGTACTTCGTTTCCGCTACAAATGCGTGCATCTCGACTTGATGTTGCCGGAGGGTTCGGCCAGTACGTACAACTGTGCAGCAAAGCACGCAGATGACAACTGGCGCGGGGGCGGCTAGCGATGGTGAAGCGCTACCATCCACACCGAGGGCAGAAAGTGCCTCCTTGCGGTCAAGTATTTGCAATGGGTCGGTGGCAGGCGTTGCGGCGAAAGACAACTGCCGCTCATCCTCGACTTTCATGATGTTCGTGAAGATCTGATCGAAAGACGCTGGCGACTCCACTTTTTCTGTCTTCAACTGCTCCAGTTGGTCCATTTTAGTTTGCTTCTTCGGCTTGATGACCAACTTCTTCACTTTCTTGCTATACAGGGCGGAGCCGATCATGTGCGTGCCCATGTTCGTCGTGGCAGTTGTCGTGGTCGCCGGCGTGTCTTCCTTTCTCTCGGCCGTGGAGCCGTGCACCTCCGCCTGGTGCACCCTGCGCTCCTTCGGGCACACGAAGCTCAACGGGCACGTCGAACACTTGTACTCGATGCCCTGCCTGGACGTGCTGGATATCATTATATCCGGGTCCTCCTCATGCGCCCCCGTCTTGTAAAGTGGATAATGACTCTGGTAGGGTGGAGGCGCGTCGGCGTCCACGTCAGATACGTCTGAGCCTTCCCAGCTCTCGCGCGCCAGCAGGTCGTACGTGGACATTCGCGAGCTGCCCTCGTGGAAGGGTGCACGCGACCACGACGCATTACTGTTGCTCTCCTGCGGCATATTCTCGTCGGCGCGGATATGCGCGCTGTCAATCGAGATGCCCTCCTCGCACTCCTCCTCGGCCGCCACGCGCAAGTGGGCATGGCCCAAGTTGTTGAAATCATTGACGAGTACAATATTAATGCCGTCCAGCTCAAAGCGATGCTGTTCTTCATCGGCGGCAGTGTCCGCTGTCTGCTCGGCCGTGTTAAGCGTAATGTAATTGGGACTCGTGTCCAAGTCTTTGAATTTCTCCTGCAGCTCATCTTCGACATCGGATGCCTCCGGACGAAGCTGAGGCGGTCCGCTGTCGTATTCTTCGTGTTCTGCGGCTGCGTCCACGTTGCCCCCGTCGTGTACCTGCGTGTTCCCAATCTCCATCTGCGACTTTAGAGCTGGCATTGTGTCAACTTTATCGTCGCTAGGGAGGATATATTCGGTGTCTTTTAATATAACCAGATCCGGATTGTCGCGGACCTCACTGTCATTGATTTCCACGATGTGAGCACCTTTGTACTCGCTGGTCGGAGCCAGCTCAGTGCTTGGTAGCATGCGCAGTGGAAATGCATTTGGTGCTCCGCCGCTGACGAACATTTGTTGCTGGTGGTACATGTAGCCAGGAACTGGAATCTGCTGGTTGAAAACCGGAATGAGATATCCGCCCTGCGGCTGAGGAGCGGAGCCGATTATCTGCTGGTAGATGAAGGAGTGGTTGGTGGGCGCGCCGGGCATAGGCGGCTGTACAGAGGGTACTGAATGTGCGGGCAGGTGGTAGGCAGCCGTGGTGGTCGTGGCTTGCCCCAGCCATGGTGCACCAGTGCCATCAGCAGCGGGTGGTACATTATAACTTGTGCCTGCTGGTGTTTGTGGCTCTGAGTGCAGCTTCACCAGTGCTTCAATGACCTTCTGCTTTGGATGAGACTCCAAATGACTCTTCAGGGTCATTCCCGGCCGCAAGTAGAGCGTGCATACCGGACACACCACGGAGCCTTCCATTGTGGCGAACGAAAATCACTCGGACTACTAGAAATTAACGCACATCCTAATTAATTGAATTGCCATTTCAGTCAATACTCCTACTGCCTGCTTACCTGTATATCCATACAAGTAAATTCCTCTATTGATTGAAATTCCACAACGTTCTCTGCGGCAATCAGGACGCCTTGGAGCAATCGGAATACGCCAATCGCACGCACATTAGTCGACGTATGCCCATCGATACGGCTAGACCGAGTTATCTAATGTTAGGAACAACGAAAAACTCGAAATGATTTTGTTCCAGCCATCGATGACGGGCGCCTGCTCGCACACAGCCAGACGCAGGGCGAACAAACGACTGTCAGACGGCCACCCAGTGTCAACAAAAACAGTCGGAAATCGGTTGCTTGCTGCCAATGCTACCAACATGTTTTAGTACATCAAAAAGATTATTATCCACTCCTCTTGATACGTATTAAATTTAATAGTATATGATTTCGTAATCATTTACTAGCGTGAATTAAATTTGTACACTGGTTAAAATGTTTAGAGGTTTGTGGAAGTTTAACCAACCATCTGCATCTGCAGCCATCTGTAGGCGTGTTTTGTAAGCAAAATATTGAGATGACATTTGACATTTTCATGTTTTTGTCGTACTTGAGGCAATCGGTGCCGAGCCGCTTCCCCTCAGGTGATGAAAATATATTTGAGATTTTGTCCAATATCATCACAATTAGAATTCGTTAATAGACTCGAACTAGTATTTATTGACGTTGAGTTGTTCGCGATGGTTGGAGCATGATTAACTTGGACGCAGTTTCTACAAATTCTGGAAGATGTTCCGATAAATCATCGCGCTGTTAATTTGAGCTAGTGTGACCAGTTCGCGCAAGTGATAATAATGGGTGATTGCGACGAATTGAAGGACGAGGACATAATAATAAACGATCAAGATGGTCTTCCCAACATCCATCCGAATCTCAAGGGTGACCCAATGGACACTGAGGGCCTGGAGAATGAAGCAGAGGATGAGTTCGACGATCTGCCCTCATCGCTGATTGTCACCAACATTCACGACTCTGTCTTTGTGCAACCAGACAAGAAGAAGGAAATGGAGGATTTGTTTCGATTGTTTGATGAGGCCGTCACGTTCCAATGGCTGCGGTCGTTTCGCCGGTTGCGTGTTAATTTCGTGACCACCTTGGCGGCCGCAAATGCACGCGTCCAACTACACCAGCACAAGCTGAATGAATCTACAATCTCGTGTTATTTTGCGCAACCGGTGACGCCCGTGCGCAATGCATCACTGCAACCACCGAAGCCATTCAAGCAGTTCCTCATCTCGCCACCCGCCAGCCCGCCGCTCGACTGGGAGCCGCGGCCAGAAGGCGAACCGATTCTCAACCATGATCTGTTGGCAGCATTGGCATCGCTTGCACCGGGCGCTTCGCATGAACTACACCCGCCCTCGCCCGGCCAGCCTGCTATTGTGGTGCACACGGCGCTAGCTGCGGCTGCTGCTGCCGCCGCAGCTGCAGCTGATGCGCCCCCGAAGCAACGAATCGCGCACACCGCCTGCCCGGAGCGGTCGTCGTAAACAACTCTTTTCTGTTCTCCTTCTTGTACTTGTATTTATTGAATAATCTCCTATATCATAATATGAATGTTATTGAAATTTTAACTTGTTCTCCTCTATTGTTGCTACTAACTTTGATGGACACAATAAAACCCAAGCAACTAGCGGACCATGTCCTCTGGATTGAACATGCCTCTTGCCCGGCGTAGGATGGAGTCCTTGCTGGCGTCGTATGGGTGGTCCTTGGATGGGATCTCCAGCACGGCTGGCACGGGTTGTGTGTGGCCGTCGATCACGTGTCGGATCAGCTCGGCGACGTTCTGGTTGATGAGGATGATGTCCACATCGTCGCGTTTGATGAAGCGCTTGAAGCAGTCTTCGATTTCGCTGACGGCCGTATCTGGAAGACAAGTGGAGGTGATTTACTGATGTTTCCTATGTATATACTTACTCTTGTCCACTACCATGAAGTTAGGCTGTCTGTTTTTGTTGATTTCGCCAATCCCGCCGAGCAGGAAGCCCACGCAGGTGTCCTGAAAACCAATGAGACTTGTTGAAAACTATAATCATTTTCTTGGCATTACCTGGGTACCTCGTCGCCGATGACTGAAATTAATTTCCCTTTAACTGCAGAATGGAGCGCCATTTTCAATTTGAAAAATACTGAAAACCACAGAGAATTGTTAAATACGATCACGAGACTGTGGCGCTTGCTAAACAAGTGGTACAGTGCGCAAGTGGGAGCGCATGTATCAGCTGATCATGACGTATCGATTTATAAAGCCTACCATAGACGCAATAAACAATTGCAATAACCATTGAAAAATCGTGTCTGACTAATCAGGTATTTAAACATTTCGAAACTTGTAAATTAAATTTAATATTACGGTACTTACCTACTTAGATAGTTGTATTAGTTCATGAACGTTATTAAGTTATTCTGACTACTCTATTCTTGAACATAACCTTCAAATTGCTTCAAATGATGGTGTCTGTCTGCATATAAACACAAAACATATGTTATCTTCTAAGTAAACATTGGTTTCTCTAATTAATTTCTAGTGCAAAATGGATTTAACAATCATTTTAGCGATTTTATCCTTTTTCGTTATCGTTGCGTCAGGCTTCGCGTTTTATTTCGCTAGTAAAGGAAATTCAGGTAATACATTGATACATTTATTATTTATATAAATACGCATCTTATTATTCCACCTTCAGATGATAAACCACAACGTGATGCTGGTGCAAGACCCGTTCAAAATCAAGGGCGAGATGCTCCAGGAGGTCGTCGCGCTCAAATGCTGCGGAACAGGAATGTGCGCGCTCGCAGAAACGGTAGAATTATTTTCATCTTCATTATCTTCAATGAGATTTTGATGAATTTTTATTATTTGTAGTGGAAGAAGAAGCAGAGCCTGCTCCTGATGACTCAGGCTATGAAGAAGCGCAAAAAGATTTAGATAAATTGGGCGCAAAGAAGCGCGCCAAGTTGGAAGCCAAGGCAGAGAAGAAGGCGCAGCGGGAAGCAGAAGAACACTCTCGAGCAGATCGCAAGAAGCGTGAGGAACAAGCGATTGAAGAACGACGTAAGCTGGAAGAAATGGAGCGCGCACTTGAGAAGCAACGTGAGGAGGAAGAGCGCAAGGCGCGCGAAGAGAAAGAGCGGCGCGAGCACGAAGAATACATGCGTATGAAGGAAGCATTCAAGGTGGAGGAGGAGGGCTACGAGGAAGGCGACGAGGGTGAGCAAGGCAATATTCTGCAGGAGTTTGTCGAGTTTATCAAGGAGCAGAAAGTCGTAGTGGTCGAAGACTTGGCGTCCAGGTTTAAATTGAAGACGCAGGCCGCCATCGATCGCATAAAAGATCTACAGCAGGATGATATCCTCACAGGCGTCATTGATGATCGCGGGAAGTTCATATACGTGTCTCCAACCGAGATGGCCGCTGTTGCTAAATTCATCAAGCAGCGCGGACGTGTTTCCATTCAGGAGTTGGCTGAGCATAGTAATCAACTCATTCGCTTAGCGCCGACGCAAGTCGCTTAGTAATTCAATATAGAAGTAGTTTGAATTATTATTATTATATTATTAACTGCTCGTAAAAAATTGCATTATTCGATGCGTAGGTTTCCAATGCGTCGAATCCGCCTTGTAAAACGCATACCTTTGGTACCTTGCAGTCGAGCAACAGACGCGGAAACTGAAATACAAATGATTGAAAAAACTTGTGAAGTTGTCAGATAGGTAAGGCATTACCATTTCAGTGTCGGTATCCTCGAGAAAAGTCCAAACTGGGCCCAGCTGTATGACCCGCGTGTTGGGGTTCTTCTCCTGGCCAAAGCACGTGCCGTCGATCAGCGCCAGGCTGCACAAAGTGCCCAAGGATTAAGGGCTTGAAATCCTTTTTCGACGCTCGCTTTTAGTTTCCGAGATAATTGCAATTAAAAACTTTAAACGCTAATAACTCGTGAACTAAAGGGGATAGAATAAAACGGACTTCAAATCCTTAATCCTTGAAGGATTCTCTACAGAATAGCGTGCTTAGTTTGATTTTTTCAAAAATCGAAAAACCTATAAGAGGTACCTCTTTGCACTTTTTTCAGTTTTGAGACGAAAAAAAAGGGCTGTTTTTAATAGCCTATCTTGTAGAGGGTTGTTCAAGGGTCAAGAATCTGCCGTCTTTTCTTTTCTAGCCCTTTTAGTTCAGGAGTTATTAGCATTCAAAGTTTTATTTTGATTTCGCTGGAAAAAATGTTCTTCGGCCAAAAAATTTTAACTGAAAAAGTTCGACCCTGTTCTTCGGCCGGAAAAATTTTAACTGAAAAGTTCGGCCCTGTTCTTCGACCCAAAAAATTTTAACACAAAAAGTTCGACCCTGTTCTTCGGCCAAAAATATTTTAACTTAAAAAGTTCGACCCTGTTCTTCAGACAAAAATTGTTTTAAATTATTTCAAGTTTCGCAGAATAAGCAACGTTGAAATAAAAATTTGTCCCTGCTTCACGACCCAAAAATTAAAAAAACGTAAAAAAATAACAATTTTTGAAGGGCATTTTAGGGCACTTCCAGAATGTTTAGCGGATTAAAATGGCATGTATTGTGTAGAGCGTCTCTTAAACTATAAAATGGCGGTGAAAAACTCGGAAAAAGTGTAATAGTTTGGGAGATACAGGGTGTTTTCCACAGCATGTTTTCAAAATTTCCAAAAAATACCTTTGTTTGAAGGGCATTTTAGGGCACTTCCAGAGTGTTCAGCGGATTAAAATGGCATGTATTGTGTAGAGCGTCTTTTATGCTACAAAATGGCGGCGAAAAACTCAAAAAAGTGTATTAGTTTGCGAGATACAGAGTGTTTCCCACAGCATGTTTGCAATTTTTCCAAAAAAAGCTGTTGAATCTGGTAACTTTCCACTAAGTTGAGGGCGCCACTGTCATTCACAACACTATCTTTCGTTTTGACCGCTTCGACGGTTGATATTTCATTCTCTCTTTTGTACAGCCTTGTTTAACCACGTTGTGCATCAGTGATAATTTTAGAAAATCTTTAATCATCGGCCGAAATCTCACAGAAGTCCATTTAATTATAATTTTGTCAGATACTTTAATCGCAAAGTTTTGGTTTCCTGTGGATATTTCGTCGCTGGTGTGCGAGAAACTTATACGGAACGTGAAAGTGACTGCACCGCTGTGTACTACGCCTTATACCTTAACATTGTGCATTAATAGAAACAACAAAAACTGACCCGGTGCATATGTAATTAAATAATGATTGGCTTGAATTTTGATTTTGACAGCAAATTATATAGCGCTTTGAGCATATCGGTTGGCAAAACATAAATATGAATATTATTTGGGATCGAAAACTGGTTTGTTGACCGTCGTAACTTAACTGATTTGCAATATGTTGTTTGAAAGTATTCATAATAACAGTATGGCAACATAATGCCGCACATATCGCTTGATGAACTCCTCTGAACTGTGTGTTTGGCGGTGGTGATTATTCAAAAAATGGAAAGAATTGAGAGAAAAGCATTGTTTAGACTCTTTATTCGAATAATTTATTAACAATTTGTTACAACTAGAATCTAGGAACGTGCTTTCAGTTTGGCTTTGTTTTGCATTCGCTCGTTGCAGCAGAGGCAGAGGTCAGACACACGAGCATTTTTCTCGTCTGCGATCTGCGCTCGCAACAAACACATCGTAATCATCGTTATTTATAATGAGTAGAAAATAATAATATACAATATTATTAATAGAGGAGTAGAAAAAAGACGAGAGTAATAAATAAGTCGCTTGTGAGAGCGACTAGAGCGATAAGATGGCGGCGGCGACGACTACACGAGCGCGCTGCCACTGCGCGCCGCCGATAAGCGGACGATAATCCGTACACATGACATATACAAAATGAAAATCATTTCAACAAACAACTTGTGCACTCGCATGCACAAGCAAGAGAGCTACAGGGTTTTAAATCGCTGCCAGCCACCAAGATGGCGGGCCGCATGCACAGGCTATGTTCTCTCTCCTAATGAGATGACGATTCGGGGTCAGTTGGCGGTCATGGGCGGAGGAAAGTGGGTGCCGCCCTGCGTCCGTTGCAGGAAGCCGAGGAAGTTGCGAAAGGGCAGCTGCATGTGGTAGTAGGCGCAGTAGGGCAACGGATCCCAAACAGCAAAAAGGGCCTCGCGCTTATCCAGCACGGTGCCGACCAGCCGCGTGACCGCCTCAACGCTGGGATGCTTAAGAGCATCGATGACCGTCTCGGGCATGTAGTAGCGGCCATTTTCAGCAACCAAAGGACCCGAGTTCTGGCGACTGAAGTGCTTGCAGGGCTTCCACAGGAGACGCGGGTGCACGCTGGTGTAGCAAATGTAAGGAAGACTGACCCCAACACGTGCGCTCAACGGCAACACATGACCAGTGTGTGCGCACTTGACCAACCGGAAACTAACATGTCCGGTAATCGGACGCAAGAGGTGCAGTTGCCCGAAGAATTGTAGCAACCATGCATCGATCTCCTTTGATTCAACCGGTAGAAGACCATTATTGTGGCGATCCAACCGGCAGGAGACATTGGCGATGATCTTGGATTCCTTAACCGTGGTGCACGTGACAAAATGCTCACCCTCAACATCCTGTACCACGACCCACGGGCGTTGTTCGCTGATGTCCATGCTGGGAGGCAGACGAAGTTGACGTTTGCAGGGAGGCAGGACCAATTTAGCTCTGTCGCGAATTCCGCACGCACCCGCCATTGACATGACGAACCGCTGTTCCGGACGTACCACACCTGCATCATACAATCCTCCCAGTTCATCTCGGCTAGTCAGCGTGTAGAATGGCGGCACTGGCATGTTACTCTTCTGACAGCGCTTGAACACCTCGAGAATATCATCGAGTGCACGCACCTCTTTGATCCCAGGCGCAAAGCAGGTACATCCAAGAAGCTCGAGGTGCGGTTTCGCCACTGCGTCAAAGTAGGCGGGCGTCGCGGCACTTACAGGAATATAATACACCGCATTCTCTTTGTTGACAATCTCGCAAAGGGCCCGCACGTAATTCTGTTGCTTTTCGCTGTTCGGTCGTGGTACGGTGTAGAATTTGCTCACAGCAGTGGAAAACCTCGCGAGCGCAAAATTACCCTCAACTTCGCAGACGACAACTCGTGCACCAGCCGAGTAAAAATTTCTCGCCAAATGCAGTGCCTGAATGGTACTACCGCCGGAGATAAGCACGGTGCGTTTCTTTCTAATACGCTCCGACGGTGAAGTGAGTACCAGACTCAGTGCCAACTTGAAGACATTCAAAGGGAGCTGTACAAGCTGCCAGAAGCACCACACCCACATCGATATCCAAAACATCGGGATGGCAAACACCAACTGTTTCCAGGTGGCAGGCAGCATCGACATCATCAGCGCCTTGGCCACCTTGAGCAGAAACAGCGGGTACCATCCAATCAAATCAACCAAGGGCGATCTCGGCGGCTCCTCAGGCGGAAAATTGAGCGGGCTCTGTGATCGCGAATCCCTATGATCAGATCGGATCACAAACGATCCCGAACCAGTGGATCCGCATGAGTTGGTCGAGTTGGCACGCCGGATGGGCACGCGGCGTTTGAGGGTGTTCTCCGGTGATGTAGAAATCGGCGAGAGTGAAACCGGTGACCCAGGGCTATGAAACCCAGAGCTGACACTACCCGAGGCGTTGAGGCTTTCATTACTGGGCCACATGCCGGTGAGGCTCTCCGATGTGCACGCTGGCATCGCGACACTGCTGCTCTTCTTCGCACACACACTCATAAAACAGTCCACACTTGATTCACAACTTAAGTTAGCTTGTAGTCGGGGAACGCGCGCATCAAATAACGTTTATCGAGACGCGCGCGTCGCTTTTATTCGGCGTGCGCTTGCACTATGAACTATGGAATCCCCCTTCTCCCTGCTCCGACCACACTGGCCCCGCTCAGTGAAATAATCAACAAATTGACGATTATTATGTCTCCGGTCGCCTGGCTGTAGGTACCTACAGTGCACACAATAAAGTATTCTTAGACGATGCGTCTCTTACACACAATGAATCATTCTTTCACTTACACTTGACAATGACCCATGTACTCGTATTTCGAAAAGAAACTAATTGGTTTCGTGAATAAATGGGTGCAAAGTCCGAAGCTGATTCACTCGTCAACAAAATTTCATCTCGGAATCTGCTGCAATCATTTTAATTTTGGGCTAATACACTAATTAATTATATAATTTGCATGATGAAGGTTTGAGCTGGTAACAAGTTAATTACAGTTTACTTATCGCGTTTATTTGAGCGGCTTAATTGGTGATAAAAACCGGAATTGAACAAATATAATTGAAAACACAATTACATCACGAGTGTTGTTTTTTTTCTCTTCTTGTTTCTTATTCCAATGTGCTGGAAGAATGTAATCTAATGTGTTCAATGACGCAAGCAACCTTGCCAGAGTTTAATTGCTCAATTTGAGTACAAGTTGATTTTGTTGCTATTAAAATAATCGAATGCACTTGAATCTGTTCGATAATATAATAAATATAAATATTATTCGACGTGCATTCGATCACGTGCGAGTTTGGGATAATTATAATTATTTGAAGAAGATTGAATGTGTGGGAATGTATGCGAATGGAGAATAAACAATTTCGTTGGGGCATAAAAACATAAAACATTCGGGCGCTGTGCATAACTCATTCGGAAAGAGATCGTAAACATGATTTTCCACATTTGCATGTTTTCACATGTTGTTTCACGATGGGAGTCGCGGTGTGGGCATGTGACTGGCACCGCCGCCGCAGCCGCCACCGCCGCCGCCGCCGCCGCCGCCGCATTATATTCCCACCCACAACCCCATATTAGGAGCTTTGAAATATGTGCCTACATGCAGCGTTTGTTTACGGACGCGAACGTTGGCCGTCGGCGAGAGAAGCCGCGCGATTATAAGGGGGTACAAAGTGCATAGGTCCATCGCACGGGGTTACGTGCGCATCTCGTACGCGCTCTCAATCGCCCAGCAAGAAACAATCCGACATGCACATTATAAGAAACAATTGCATTTTAAATTCCAGCCACATGCAAACTGCCAGCACGCTATGTGCTGCAACCAGGACGAAATGATCACAATATGACATGTGGACGGAAAATGTTTAGGGTTGATAAGAATTTTGTAGGTGTATGTGAATTTAAATGTAATATTTCATGGCTGCGGGTTGAGATATTTTAACCTCTGACACCGCTGATATCCTGACATTTTGGCAATAATATTTATGCTGTTGCCAGCATGAATAAAAAAAGATGCCCCAAACAATGAAAAATCCACACAAAGGGCTGTGAAGTCGATAAAATCTATTGTTGCAAAATTCCGGTCCCAAAATCACAACCCATTTGCTCAGTTCACCGTCTATCGACAATATCGCAGGTTGTGATGTCGAAAACATTCGATAATTACTATTATCTAAATAAATATATTGTTATATCGAGTGCTGACATCACACAATCTACTCGTTGAAGAATTTCAAGTGTTGTTGCGTCTGGCGCGATGGCCCGAAAATCAAGTGCATCTTGATAACGTCTGATAAGAGTGCACCGTGCGAAAATAACTCGTAAAAAAATGGCATCGTGGAACGTGCCGCGCTCCAGAAACACACTCTACTTGCCATCGGATGACACGCATTTGTTTATTACCTCCGACTGCCCTCGTCATGGTAACCAGGGTGCACAACGACGCGTTGGGGTGGGCGTCGGTGGCGTCGGTAGCGTCAGAACGTTCCACGCCGGCTTGGCTGACGCGTCTCCCCACAACCACAACACTGCCAACCATACCGGGTTAAATAATACAAGTTATGCCATCAGCCAAACACATGATCAATTAATAAATTATCAAATCATCAACAACGCATCAACATCGACTTCGATTGGAGATCAGCGCGAAGCAGAAGCAATGCCACGAGTGAGTTGTTTTTGCACAAATGCATTTTTCGCACGCTTGCATTGATTTTCACCCGCTGCTAGTTTTATAAATAGAAAATGAGGACGCGGGAATAAATTCATTTATTAAAGGTAGCAGAAAATGAGTATGAGCATATAATCTCGGGGTCTCGGGGCATCGCGCGGACTTTACCCCCGCGCATGAATGGAAAAAAGTGCGTAATTCCGTAATGCCGCTCTAGTTACGCGGCTAGACGAGACGAGCGTGTTGATGCGTAGTAAATTTAATGACACGAGCGTTTTTTACGACGCGCCGCCGGACATTGGTCAAAGTGCGCTCTCTTCCAGACGCCAAATTAGTCTAAATTTAATTAATTAATTAGTTAATTAAATGCACTGGCGACGAGTAAACAAATATCTGGAGCGTGGACATTCCATGAGCATGTGCTTTTCGAGATTTAGCGCGCAAAGTCCACCCGCCGGCGCGTGAATCACGAGGTGAACAACACGATACGACATATCGGATAATGTATTCAAAGCAGCGGAAACTATTTCGATGCGTGCATGATGAAATTGTTGTTAAATTGTTGCGGCTGCGGGTGATGCGACGAATCGCACGTCTCACGCTCAGTGAAGATCATGGAACTCCTTGGACCCGCTGAACTGTCGGGGACTTTGGACGTCTGATTGCGTCGGAATCCCCTTATGTTAATTATGCTAAGCTCAAAGAGCGGAAAGAGTAGAAATGGGGGCAGACAATATTAATGAATAGGAATTTTTTCATAATTAAAGATATTATTACTTAATTACATTTATAAATACCGAAATACCGGTATTGAACTACCAATTTAAATTTATTTATTTTCATTATTATTTCTACCTATGATTATTATGAATCCGGCTTCCTTGGGAATAGTTGCGAATTATTTATATGACGTGTTTGAAAGTCCCGGAATGATAAATATACAAACAACACAGAAAGCGTGGGATAAGGAAACGCGAAGGAAATCGTCCCGCACACGCGAATGTCTCCGCCAGGCACTGACTTTGCCGCCGCCGCCTCTACACACAAATCACTCATTTCATAAACGTTTAGGCCTAGCTGGCTGGCGTGCACGCTCATCTTGATTTCGGCTTTTAACTTTTGATTGTTTTGCGCCCCGGCTGCAACCGAACGCAAACATGCAGTCGTTAAACGCGCCGGCGAACGCAAAGCAAAAGAAAACAGCCAAGAATATGTTATATTTAATGGCCTGTCGATCATGAAAAATTGCTCATTATATACCAGATACAACCGCATTGCACGGAAACAAATAAAAACACATAAAAACAAAAGAAAATTGAAAAGTTTTAATTTGAAATTAAGCAAATGAACTTTTGGCACGGTGTAAATATTTACAGCCAAGTTTAAAGAAACCTGAAGGATCGAAAATGGGCGATAGAATGCGTCGGACGCCATCGTCTGCATATCAACGACCTAAATCACGCACCGACACAAATCCACCGAGTCGACTACGAGGTGATGGTGGAGGCGCCAGCAGTGACGAAGACCTCGCCAAACAGAATACTGATTTACGACAGCGGCTTCACGATGAAGCCGCCCTGTACCGCAAACGTCTAGACACCTATCGCATGGCCCAACAGAACCAAGCAACGCTCGTCAGTCGATTACAAGCCAAAGTAAACTCATCTCGCGGTAATAAATTAAAATTTTAACGAATTTGCTTATATCTAGGTATTACAATATAAACAACGTTGTGCCGACTTGGAAACTCAAATCCATTACACCCCCGAACCCCAGCCACCCACATTTCAACCGCAAACCTTGCTAGCTGCACCCGGTTCCGCCTTGGAACAGGCCCAGCAGCATCTACGCGAGGTACGCGAAACGCAACACGAACGCATCACTGATCTAGAAATGGCTCTCGCGAAACTCGAAGAAGAACGGCGTAAATGCGAACGGCTTGTCACACAAAACCGCCAATTGCATGCCCAACTGGAGGAATCACAACACACCAACGAAGACCTCACTGATGATTTACAGAAACTCACGCATCAATTCGAAGAACTACGCGAGGAGATGATGTTGAAGGAAGACGAGTGGAAAGATGAAGAACAAGCGTTCAATGATTACTACTCTACTGAACACAATCGCCTCTTGAGTTTATGGCGAGATGTTGTTTCCATCAAGAGGTTATTCATGGACGTGCAGACGTCCACCGAAAGAGATCTCGGTAAACTAAAGAATGAGATCGAGACGTCTGCGAAGGATGTTGCGTTCGGTTGTGGGAAGCTAGAACGAGGAATGCGAGCAGAATCAACGCTGAGCTTAGTTGAACCACGTGGTCAGTTTAATTTGGAGAATGTTGAACTTAAATCACAGCTGGATTTGATTAAATCGCAGTTTGAGAGTCAGAAAGCTGATCTACGCAGTAAGGAAGATAAGATTCAGGAACTACACCATGAAATTCAACTTTTGGTAAGTTTTCTTTTCTTTTTGTCTAATATTGGGATGTTAGGCATGATGTTTGTTTAAAAATAGGAAGACCGTTGTGCCGATGCTGAACAATCCGTGTCTCAAGTATTGCGCCTACAGGACGAAGTAGAACTACTTCAGAATTCCCTTCGTGATATCGCTCATGCCCTAATTCAAGACTCAGAAGGATCACATATTAAAGAACAAATCCTTTCCGGTTCTCATGTGCACTTGTCCACCTCCACTCCTGTTGCACAAAAGTCTCCAAAACGCAGCGCTCGTGGTGCACTTACTTCCAGCAATACAGCATTTGCAGAATCTACGATTTCAGCCGTCCAGGCAGCGCTCCACAAACACCAATCTGTCATCCATGAATTACAGGTAAGAGCAGGTAAATTTTTAAATTGTCACTTTGTATAGCGTGAGTTTAAAACAAGGTGAAACTGCAATCGAATCGCGAACAATTCCACTTGGTACGTAAACAACTCGAATCGTCCGAAAATCAAGTCGTAGATTTGGAGCGACGTCTTCGCGAAGCCGTATCACAACTAGACGTATGTAAAAATCAGTGCTCTCAATCATGTCAAGAACGCGAATCTCTCCAGAAACATCTGGAAGCTTTAAAATCGGAAAAATCAACTCTAGACAAACAGAAATCTGATGTTTCCAATGCTTTTGATAATCTCCAGAGCGATTTTGATAAGATGCAGAAACAAAATTCTAAATTACAAAAAGATATTAATATGTTAGTGGATGAAAAAGTCTATCTGCAGAATGAAGTCGATCGTTTGAATCAAGACAGTTCCCTACGTGAAATGAATCTGAGATCCGAAGAGGATCGTTGTAGTAGAATCAGAGAGGAACTCTTGACCACCAGAGAGGAGCTTAACAAACTTTATTTAAACAACGACATGTTAATACAACAAAAATTAGAAGGAGAGTCTTTGGTTCAACATTTGGAAAGGGTTAAAGTTGATTTAGAATTGCAATTGGAACGCGTAGGTAATGAAAGAAGTGCGGTTCATGAAGATCTCGTAAAGAAGGAGGCCATGGCATCTACTTTAGACTTAGACAAGCGGAAACTCTTAGAAGATGTCAAAAGATTGGAGCAAGAAAAGAGTCAACTTCAGGGCCAAGTTAATGATCATTCGAGTGATATTCAATCACTACGAAAAGAGCTCCTGCAAGCAGAACAATCTAAATTAGATTTAGATTCGGACAAAGTGACTCTAAGCGAAAAAGTCAAATTCTTGGAGATTGAGAAAGGAAAAGTTGAGATGGAATTGACACATGTCGTTCGGGATCGTGCAGATTTAAGCAATCAATTGACTGTCTTATCCAGAAAGAAAGATCTCGTCATTGAGGAACTTACAAGAACCAAACAAAAATTGGAACAACAGCTTGAGACTAACGCTAGAGTAAACAGAAACTTAGAGGAATTGGTACATGAATCCGAAGAGAAACAATGTTCTCTAGATGCCTTGGATAAAGAACTACAACGCTGCCAGGAACAACTAGCGTCAGTACGCACAGAAAAGGAAGCCCTGGAAGCTGTCCTGTTTGATACACAGACTAATTTGGAAACTTGTAACGTAAAAAAGACCCAACTAGAAAATGAAGTGCAAGAATTACTTGTCAAAGAAGAATCATTTAAGGGACAAGTTCAACGTCTGCAGAAAGATCTAGAACGCTCGGAGAAACGATCCCAGGAAATTAAACAAAGTCTCACTGCACAAGCAGGCACCCAAGAAGTTGAATTTCAACATATTGTAAGCAACATGAAGACACAACATGAAGAAGCTGTTAAAAAACTTACAGAAGAACGAGAATTTATTCGCTCTTCACTGGAAAAACGCCTGCAGCAAACAGTTCAGCAGATAACCTCAGAAAAAGATGCAGAGATTGCACAGCTCGTTGATCGTTTGGAAAGTTTACAAAGTCATGTGGAGAATCTAATACAACAACATGAGGAGCTTATGTTACGAGCAGAAAATGATAAACAACAAGCTTTATTAATTGCGCATCATGACCAGCAAGCTTTACAGGAGAAATTAGAACAAACTAAACGAGATTTGAGAGATGAACGCGAAGCTCTTGAGAGGTTCAAACGAGATAGTAATGCTACCTTTGACCAAAATCGTATTACAATCAATCAAACCAAGGATGAATTAAATAAAAGTAAAGCTAAGTTGGAAGAAACAAAAACAAAATGTGAAGAAGAACGTGTTAAGTTGCTATCAAAAATTGAAGAACTACAACGCGACCGGGAAACTTCACTAAATGATGTACAGAATCTTAAAGTACAGGTTCACCTTTACGAGGATAAAATAGACTCCTTAACAAATAACCTTCATGACACTCTTAGAAAACTTAAGGAATATGAAAACATCGGTGATGGTCTGCGTAAAGACCTCACCGATGTGCGTCGACAGTTGAGCGATTGCAACTTTGAAAAGGAGAAATACCACGCATCTAACAAAGAACTTCGTGAGTTGGTAAAGAAAATCGAAGGAGAAAAACGTGACCAAACACGACAACTCGAAGAAACTCATCAAAAGTTGTCTACTTTGGAGGATATCAAAACATCGCTGGAAAGTGAAAAAACTCGACTGCAAAGTGTTATGCGTGAAGCCGAGAAAGATCAGTTACAGATTGAACACAAGGTTCAATCATTAATTGAAGAACTCCAGAGGAAAGACGCACAGAATAATCAATCTGCTGCCGAGGAGAAGGAATTACAAGCACGGCTTTTGAACGAAGTCGAAGAACGTGAACGAGCACATCAGGAGGTTCATACCTCGAAGAAACAACTTGCGGAGTTGGAACGTAATTTAGAACAAACCCGCAAAGAGTTGGCGATTGCACGAGCACAGCAAGCACATTTAGAAGAACAATGGCACGCTAGGGAGCAGGATCTATTGGTACACTTGGAAGATTGTAGATCACGAGAGAAACGTCTAGAAGATCAAAAACATAATTTAGAGGTTTGTTTATCAGATGCGTCACAACAACTGCACGAATTGAAGACAAAGTTATCCGCTGGAGAATCCCGTCTGAGATCAGTAGAAACCCAATTGGGACATGCCGAAACTCAGAAACGAGATGTAGAATCCAAACTTACAAGTGTTGTGTCTACATTAAGACGTATTGCTGGTATACAATTGGATGGTTCCATAACACCACAAAGTCAACGTTTAATGAGTCCATCAAGACGCTGGAGTCCTGCCCGTACAGGAGATTATGATAAATACGACAAGCATGAAAAATTAGACCTTATAACCGACATTGATCCCGAATCTGTGCGTAAAGGTGTGAGGAATTTAATGGCGCAGGTGGCACACGTGGAACGTGAACGCGATGATTTAAAATCGCAGATTATCACTGCGAAGAAACAACTTAAAGAAGCTACAGAAACTCAGAACAAAGGAGATACTAAACTCGCTAAGGTTATGAATAATCTACGCCATGTGCAGGATGAAAAGGGAGCATTAGAAGCTAAACTTGGCCAGAAAGTTGTGGCTTACAATGCTCAAGCGGATGCATTGATGAAGAAGAATGAAGAATCGCAACAACTGCGTGATAAACTCACGAATCTTGAAGTTAACCTTACCACTTGCCGAGAAGATAAAAAACAATATGAGGATAAATGTGAGAAGTTTAAGATGGCACTGCATAAACTAGAAAGTGAAAAACGCGCTCTACAAGAAGAGTTAGGCAGACTAGAAAGCAGATCTGCTAAAATGGAGTTACAAAGAATGGCAGCAGAAGGAGATTTACATCGTTTACAGATGATGCTGCAGGATCGCGACGCCATTGCCCAACAACAAAACGAGAAAGCTGAAATTCAGGCCAGGACAGTTGCCAGTCTAGAGGAGAGATGTGCGTCGTTAAAATCTACAATTGATCAGTTAAATCAATCCCTTGAGAAAGCATCCAATGGCGAATCTGAATTAAAGGTTGAGATTCAAAGTCTACAAAGGAGTTTGCTAGAAAGCACCACACAAAGTCACACAGGACAAGAGAGACTCAAAAATGTATGTTATTTAACAATAAACACAATATTTCTTTTATTAAATTGTATGTTGTGTTGGTTAATTAGTTGCAGAAATCTTTATCTAACGCAGAGAATGAGAAGAAGATTTTATCAGAGCGTCACGAGGGTTGTCAAAGGGAACTTGGGGAATTCCGTAGAAATAATCAAATTTTACAAGATCAAATCAGTCGGTTGAATAATGAATTAGCGAATTGTGAGGTTCAACGGTCAGGTTTAGAAAGTCAATTACGCTTGTCACAATGGCCAGTTGATGCATCTATTGGCGGTCATCATGAAGAAGAACTCGTCAGGCAATTGCAAAGCGTCCAGAGGGAGCGGAATGATTTACGTGGAAAAGTAGAAACATTAAATAATAAGGTATTTAGCTTTTTGTTTATCTAAGTAGATATTAATCCTTCTTAAAATTTGATTTAGATGCGTCAAATTGAATCGGAGAATCGCCATCTTGAACGAGCAATGTCCAAAACCCCATCTCGCAGTAAATCCTACGAACGCCAAGAAAAATACGAACTGGATTCATCATTATCCGACCGCTACACTCAAAAATTCGAACAGGAAAATCGTGAATTACGTTTGAAAATCTCCAAACTCGAATCAGAGCTCGCTGATAAAGAATCGGAATTATCGCGTCTTAAATTACATTCTTCCTCAGATTCGAAGTATATTTCCGGTGATGCTGAGCGTTATCGCGCGGCTCAATTACAAGCCGAGCGTTTACTAGATGCTCGTGAACAAAGCCATCGTCAGCAAGTACAACGCCTCGAACAACAAGTGAGCAGTCTCCGAGAACAGCTGAATCAGGAGATAAAACGCCGGCAGCAGTATGTAATGCGCAGCAGTCGTGCCGGCCGTGAAATGCAACAATTACGACAAGCTCTCGGTGATTCCTTACGTACAGTCAGTCAAGATCCCTCTCTGGATGCGCTTCTTCTTGAACAAGAAGCACGGAAATTGGATCACACTGCCTCTAGCACTGCCAGTCTTCCACCGGGCTTAAACTACGACTCTTCTCAACCACCATATTAATAATAATAATAATAACAATAGTCAAACACCAACACGAGTGCGTAGTGATTTCAATGCTGCACGTTTGTAATCTTTTATAATTCGGTAGTGTACGCAACGAAGACATTTTAAAACTTAATAGAAATTCACATTCACCTCATTGAAAATGATTAATAAAAGAATTATTCAAATTTAATGCCTTGGGCCAAAGGTAACTCTTTGGTATGGTTGATGGTTATTGTAGAACGACGCATGTATTGCTTCCAAGAATCAGACCCAGATTCGCGACCTCCTCCGGTATGTTTTTCACCTCCGAAAGCTCCACCAATCTCCGCTCCGTTTGTGGGGATGTTCACATTGACTATACCACAATCTGAACCCTTGGGACCAATCCACTACGAAGTAAATTGATAAATATCTAAAATTCTAAGTCTAAATCTATGTCTAATCTTACATCAAACATCTTTTCGATACTCGTAGTGAATAAACTAGAGGATAATCCTTGGTTAACCTCATTATTCCAACTGATTGCCTCTTTAAGATTATTAGCTTCCAGGATGTAAACAATCGGTGCAAAACATTCATTGTGTACCAGGGGACTGTCATGAGGAAGACCGGAAATAATAGTTGGTTCGACAAAATATCCAGGACCATTTAAAACTTTTCCTCCGAATTCAATCTTTCCACCGGCTTTGACAGCTTGATCAATGGTGTCCTTGTATTTTTTAACAGAGGTTTCTGTGTGTAATGGTCCAATGAGGACGTTTTCGTCTAAAGCATCACCAATACGCGGCAATACTTTATTATAGGATTTTTTGAGTCTTTCCAGGAATTCTTTAGCAATCTAAATATTAAATAAATTAATATTTCAAAATTAAAGATTGTGGTATTACCTTTTTGTGTAGAATTAATCTTCTGGTTGTGGTACACCTCTGTCCAGCTGTTCCGACACATGCAAACACGGAGGCTTGCACCGCCATGTTTAAATCAGCGTCTTCATCAATAATCAACGCATTATTACCTCCTAATTCCAGTAAATGTTTCCCAAAACGTTTTTGTACTTCAACACCCACTAAATTCCCAATTTCACAACTTCCAGTGAATGATAACAGTTTAATTCTGGGATCAGCCGCCATTGCTTTCCCTACATCAGCACGCCCACTACACAGAGTAGCAATAGCACCCGGAAGTTTATTCTTTTCCAAAACATCAACAACAATCTTTGTAGTTGCAATGGACACAAGCGGAGTGGTTTCTGACCCTTTCCATAAAACAGTATCACCACAAACCATGGCGATAGCACTATTCCAACCATAAACAGCTACAGGAAAATTAAAAGCTGATATCACACCAATAACACCTAAAGGGTTCCATTTCTCCATTAACACATGTCCAGGTCTTTCCGAAGGTATAATCGCACCAGACATCGACCGGGATAGCCCAACAGCATAATCACAAATATCAACATATTCCTGTACCTCCCCAATACCTTCCGGAATGATCTTCCCCATTTCAGCAGATACTAATTTTCCTAGAGGAACTAGTTTCTCACGAAGGGCATCACCAATCTGACGTACAATTTCCCCTCTAGCTGGGATTGGCATATCCGCCCATGTTTCCCATGCTTTCTGTGAGGCTTTCACACAGGAATCATAATCCGAAGCTGTTCCATATTTAACTTCTGCAATAACCTGTCCATTGCTTGGACAAATTGACTTCACACTCTCACCTGAGCCTTTCCAGGCACCATCGTAAACTCCACAATTTTTCTCTTGTAGACCCAATTCTTTCAGGAATGAATACTTGGAATCGTTGATGAGGTATGAAGAAGACATTCTGAAGAGTTTCTGGGTTGTTTTCAACTGAAACAAGTGCGGGAGTTGTGAACGAACAAACAAACTCGTCATTTTGCTGGCGGGCAAATGATGTAACGCGTTAAAACGATCAAAAAGAAGCACTATATCTACTTGAACATAGGTTAAATGTTATCATTATGATAAATATTAAAACATAATATATACAAGGTGTGTGTGTAATAATTAAATTTAAGTTTAGTTACGTAAATATGTGTTGCGCAGCCTTCAACTCGACCTGATCTCGTTCATCTGCGAGATAAGCACGCAATAGTCGTAAAAAAACTGTTTGTGTGTTTAGCAAATTATCATTTAAACATTAATTACCATCCAAGGCGTAAATATCTACGTTTCCATCTTGTTGTCTGGATATCGATGTTCTTGTCCTTGAGAGAAGTCAATTTGGCGATTAATTTCAATTTCACTACGCGTATTTATGCAATTTTAAAATGAGACCAGAAGGGCAATTAAATCTGCTTGTGGGTGGTCGTCTAATCCGGTAATCCACCCTGACGTGCGTCTTTCGCTCTTCCGGCGCGTGTGTCGACAAATCCAATTGTTTTCCGTATTCTTTTTCTTGGCGTTTGTTTTCGAGCATTAATCGCGTTAGTTGCGAGAAATTACACGTGTACATGGCGGAGGCGGTGGCGGCAGCGTTGGTAATAGTGGGGAGTGCATTTTATCACATTTTATCCGTGAATCTTCATTTATCTTTTGCGATCGCATTCGGTTTCGGCCACTTGTGCTCCGTTTGCGTAGCTGTAACAACGTGAATTTGTATTATAATCCGAGATGCAATCACAGTCGGTGTTATTTCTTTTTTATTGTTGGTACGAATAGGAAAATCACATGTGCACGAAGAAGAAGTTGTGGTGAAGATGTTCGGAGGGCCTTTGCAGGCGAGAATGGTCGCTAATGAAATGGGATACTATTTTAAAGGACCAGTAAGTTTTTTTTTATTATATTTTAACGGAATATTAATTAACTTATTTTATTGATGGGAGTTTTTTGTTTATCAGCGTCACGTGTGTTATCTACAGGTATTTATTGAATATCTGCATCGGTATTCCCGCGCGCGACTAAATTAATAGCAACAGATGCTTGCTAACACGAGCACCCGAATGTTTGTCTGTTTGTTTACGCTTTCAATCAACGTCAGCAAACTTACAACAGTGCTGGTATTAAACTAATCTATGTGATTGCATTTTGTGCGTAAAAAATCCATCAGAATGCACAAATTAAGCCTTGAATAATAATTAATTAATTAATTAAATTTTTAAACATCGATATTTCAGTTTAAAAACTAGTCAAATGTAGTTATATGCGTTATTAGGGCGACGCGACGTCTATTGCGCTTTTCGTGACGTGCGTCCCGACGCCAGCGTCGGTTTAGCGTCGGCCGCCCGGCGCGAAAACGGACGCCTGATATCAGGCGCACAGAAACGACGAGGCGCGTGCCACACCGCCATCGGCACGCGCCGCCACCCTAAAAATAGTCACAACCAGCTGCACCAAGCCACGCACTGCGATCGTATCGAAAATAGATTCGCGGTGCTCGTTACATACACCAAAATACAGCACGGCACAAGCCAAACAGATGTGCGCACATTTAAAAAAAAGAGAAACGAAAATCACATTAGACTTTCATCCAACACTCTGTATATAGGTAATTGTAGGGTGCATAATGCGTACAATGCCAGCTGCCATTGCTCCCTCACATAGATGTAATCTACATTGGGGTTTTATAAAGTTTAGGGGATGAACGGTGAGGGTAGTTGCGGCCAGGAGCGCATAAACAGCAAGAGCACCCTTACAACCCCGCCGCACTCAGTTATCGATTTTATTCTATGCATGTGTTTGCTCTCCATGTTACAGGTAAAAGGCTTCCGAGACACATACGTGCTAATACCAATGCAATTCCACACGGACACCACCCATCAGAAACGTGGCGCATCCAACAACAAGAGATTGGTGGATGATTATCGCGTAAATCCTTTCAACCCCAAGCTGCACTCTATGCAGATTTAGATATTAATCTAATGTTTCCTTTCAAGGTGGAATGGGTGCAACGCCAACGGACAAAAAGCCGACAAAAACGCGATTTAATACCAACCGACACGTGGCGGAAACCATCCCCACCCTCACACAATAGTTTTAACGATGAATTATGGAGTCAGGAATGGTACCTTGTATGTAAAACAAGGATTCTATGATGTTTTATTGATTATTTAATTGTTTTATTAGCAAGACACCAGAACAAGGCCCGATTTACCTAAATTGGACCTAAATGTACTTCCGCTGTACCGTTATGGTGTGACTGGTAAAGGTGTGCGTGTTTCCATACTAGATGATGGCATAGAATACACCCATGATGATCTCAAACGTAATTATGACCCTGAAATTAGTTACGATTGTAATGAAGAGGACCATGATCCTCTACCAAGATATGACCCAGAGAAACAAAACAGTCATGGTACTCGATGTGCAGGGGAGGTATCCATGACTGCTGATAACAGGAAATGTGGTGTTGGTATAGCCTATAATTCCCGGATTGGTGGTGTGAAGTTATTAGATGGTTTGGTGAATGATCGTATTGAGGGTACAGCTCTTAGTCATGCTAGACACTTGGTGGATATTTACAGTGCTTCCTGGGGACCTAATGATGATGGTAAAACTGTGGATGGACCAGGGAGACTTGCCCAGGAAGCTTTGGAGAAAGGTGTTGAAGAGGTATGATTATTAGGTACATTTTTTAATCTTGGGTTTTAACATGGTTTATTTAGGGACGTAACGGGAAAGGGTCTATATTTGTGTGGGCTTCTGGTAATGGAGGGTCACAAGGTGATAACTGTAACTGTGATGGTTATCTGACCAGTCCGTATACCATCTCGATAGGTAGTGCTAGTCAACGTGGGGAGTTTCCATGGTATGGGGAGGCATGTGCTTCTACTTTAGCTGTGACTTATTCTTCTGGGGCTTACCAGGACCAGATGATTGCTACTACAGATTTGCATAATGAGTGTACAATTAAACACACAGGAACATCAGCGTCTGCTCCCTTAGCGGCTGGGATAATCGCGCTTGCACTAGAAGTCAAGTACGTAACCATATTAACAATGACCAAATATGTTAGTTAGTAATTTTATGATATAGTCCAGAATTAACATGGCGTGATGTGCAACATTTGATTGTATGGACTTCGGAATTAGCACCAGTGGCAGACAACCCAGGATGGATCCAAAACGCTGCTGGACTATGGACCAACACCCGCTTTGGTTTTGGTCTCATGAACGCCTTCGCTTTTGTAGCAACAGCTGCAAACTGGACCCGCGTACCAGAAAAGTACACGTGTCACGTAATAACCCCCTCTAATATAAACATCAACACTTCATTTTCATACGGTTCTCCTACCACGATCCCACTTGAAACCACCGGATGTTCAAACACAAATCACGCCCTTAATTTCATCGAACACGTAGAAATCGAAGCGGATATCGCGTATACCATCCGGGGAGCAATCGAAATCCACTTGACTTCACCACATGGCACCAAAGTGCAATTACTAGGCACTCGAAAGCTGGACAAGTCACCGGACGGCTTCCGCAAGTGGAAATTCATGTCTGTGATGACCTGGGGTGAGAGAGCGCAAGGCACATGGATCCTACACGTGGCAGACAATGTAACTACAATATATTCACAATATGAATGAAGATTAATTAATATTTGATTTGATATTATAGTTGGGACCTGAAGGCAACCACGGTCACGTGTCAAATGTGTCTTTAATTCTCCACGGAACCCGACTACCACCCACACATACCCGTAATGGTCCACGTGAGTACAACCACGAGTACAATCGCGTGAGGAATCGCGTCGGCGCATTGAAACATGAGTCCCTTGATCAACTCTACGGATATGACTTGAATTTACAGCAAGTATTTCAAACTTTTGCTGAAGATTACGAGGAAAATGCTTGAAAGAATTTAATCGATTTTTAATTGACACCTAGAGGTGTATGTACACAAAGAGATTATTTTATTAAACACGTTGTACGTTGATCGAATGTGGTGCATATGTAAATAGTTTGAATTTTAAGACACGTTGGAATTTAGGTTAGGTTAGGTCTGGCTATAGCATGAAATAACTTGAAAACTTTTATGTTATGCAACACCGCGAGCATTTCTGGCGCCCTTTGCGGCGTTCTTCGTTCTGTTGGTCCAGTTTTTTTCGCAGCGCGTCTGCAAATATTGATGATTAATTATAATGGTTACACAAGTGCACGACTTACCGGCGACATGCTTTTTATCGATCGCCACCAAACTTTCGTACAATTCCTTCACAGGGTTGACATCCTGTGCTAATCCGTGTGCCCAAATGAGCATCATTCGGAATCCATGTTCTTTATAACTGGATGGTCCTGTATATTGGTGTTCGATCGCTCTGATTTGCTCTTCGGTGAACGCCCAGTGTTGGGCTAGGCGTTTCCATTCGCCAGGGCCGAGTTGTTTATAACTCAGTTTGTAAAGCACAGCGCGCAGACGCTCGTTGTCCCTATGGGAGGTCGCAACGGGCGTTTCTTCGCATTCATCTTTGGAAAACGAGTGCCATTTCAGTCGCGCTGTGTTTAAAACAGGTTTACACGAGCGTCGCTCTTTGGTATTTTTTTCTTCCTGGAATTAAAAATGGTGCAAGTGAAATACCGGTATTTTATTTTCAAATACCGGTATTGAACTAGAAGTTTACGTCGCTAATGTGCATTAACTCGAAATGGGTAGATGGAAAGGCGTAAATCAAACGCTAAAAGCGCGCGTGAGCGTCAAAGTGAATATTCGAACAGTGGGTGGTTCTCACCTCTTGCGGGTAGTCCAAACGTGCCGTTTTGATGATCATGTCGACGATAGCAGTAAAACTACCCCTCGCTGCAATGTACAAAGGCGTGCGCCCGCCCTGCTCTCGTTGCTCGATATTAGCACCTTAATAGATTCAATATATACTAAATGTTTTATGAATGACTAAATAAATCCCATACCTGCTGCCAATAATAATTTACAGATCTCTGTATGACCCGCTTCCGCAGCAATATGAATCGGAGACTGTAATCGCTGCAAATCATAGTGAATCAAAATATATTTACTAGAAATGTAGGTATTTATTTTGGTACCTCATTGAGACAATTGAGATTAGCCCCTCTGGAAATGAGCATTTCAACCGTATTGACTTCATTGGCCTGGCACGCCATGTGCAGCGGCGAATTTCCACCCTAATAAAATTTTAATTAAGTGCAAACTTTGAATCGGACTAATTTAGAAGCCTCACTTTGTTCTGTTTATTGATTTGCGCGGAATGTTGCAGCAGCAGTTCAAGTATACCTCTACAACCTAAACTACATGCGAGGTGCAGTGGAGTGTTGCCCTTCTGTAAAGTTATTAAGACTCAAGGAGACTGAAAATAAATGTTATCAGGAGGCACTTACAGAATTTTCAGCGTTGGGATTCGCACGAGCATCGAGTAGGACTTGCACCAATTTGGTTTGTTGGTGCTGGGCGGCAAGATGCAGAGATGTGTTATCACCGGCGTCTTTCGCTTCGACATCTGCGTCGTGCGCTAGTAAATATTCCGCAACAGCCGCATGCCCACGTTCTGACGCGACATGCAATGCCGTTTTAGAATCCTTTCACAAAAAAGCACTTTGTGTAAACATAATGCGATTTTTCCTAAAATTTTCCATTTTTTTGGCTAACCTTGTTGCGTTTATCCAAAGCAGCGCCATTCTCACCAAGTCGTTGTACAACCCCAGCGTGTCCTTCCATCGCAGCATGAAACAACGCCGTTTGTCCTTCCATATCCACCGCGTCCATATTGACATCCTCGAGGGTTTCCAATAGAAACTCAATCACATCCACTCGATTGTTCTTCGCCGCGCAGATTAGCAACGTGAATAATTTCTTGTTGTTTGAATTTGTGCATGCACCTGTATTGATAAGCAATCGTACAGCTTCCCGATGTCCATGCCACGCAGCCATCAACAATGGTCGCATGCCGTACTAAATACAAACAAACCGCAATTGAATTTAATTAACAATTGCATGTTACGCTAGCATAACCATTCTCCCGGAGTGACTTGACTTATGTTTATGTGTGTTACCTTGTCGCGTGCTTCAATATCGCATTTGGCGGCGATGAGCATCTCCATAATATCGAGATTCCCCCGTGACGAAGCCCAATGCATAGGCGATCGCCCATACTAATGAAAACATTGCAACATAATCATTCACCCACAATATAGAATGGCACTCTTACATTGTTTCTGCAATTAATGTCAACGGGTTCTCGCAACACACGCCGGACGCCCTCGGTGTCATTCTTGATGACCGCCTCGTGTAGTAACAAATCATTTCGTTGTATTATCGCACGCCGTTCGAGTTCTCCCGGTGTCGTGGGTGAATAACATCTCTGTTGTGGTTGAGGTTGTTGTTGGGGTGGTGTATAATTGATAACAGGCAGGGAAGCGGAAGAAGCGTGCTGCTGTTGTGGCTGCAGCTGTGGGTTGTGCAATGAGCATACCGATTGCACTGTAGTTGTATGATTGTGATCGATTGTCATCATCTGCAATAACGCAACCGGTGAAAGTCATCGCCTACACCTATGTAGGTATTGCAATTAGCATGACTCAGAGAATATTCACGACGCCCTCGCGCATACCTTCAATTCGTTAATCAAGAGCTGAATTATTCAGACGGTTGAATTGCATTTATGTTTCTACAGCTCAATTTGTGCGCCAAGTTAATATTTGAATTCATTTAATTTTCAGAAATCAAAAATTAAATTTCTTTCCGTCTAGTAAGCATAAAATACCGTAATTAATACCCATTATGAGCATTATGAATGAATTATCCGTAGATAAGGTAACTATTGTCGTTGTTGTTGTTGTTGTTGTTGATGGCAGTGGCAATGCGCGCATCAGCATTAAATATTAACCATCGCTCCACGACGATCGATTTCCGAAACGTTAGGCATTAACCCACGCGGGGGTGTGAGTAATGTTTACATCCGTTAATATTAATATCTGCTTATTTATTCAACTATAATTGCAGCCCATCGGTCGCTCAAGTGTAGGTATATAATAAAACTAAAAACCATCCTTCATCGTTCACTACCTCTAAATTAAAATGGAGCAAAGTTTGCTTTTGTTTTTGCCATCACTTTCCACCACTTTCCCCCAGAGTGAATAATTGACTTTTTCCTCCATTAGTGTGCACAAGAAATAATTGCATTAATAGTGCTTTTTTGTTGATGTGAACTAAATAAATATTTAATCTTATAATTTGACTTGTGTCTGCCTCTGCGTGTTTTTAATTCGATTAATATTCAATGATAAACTGATGGATTTAAATGAACACTTCCCTTTTTATCTCTAGTCTGCCCAACTTTTAATAATCAACTTTTCAGTCTCAAGTTTTAAAATGAAAAACGTAGATTTGTTTCAAATTGGTATTATTTGACATTGGATATGTGTGGACGTTATTGTATTATTGTTTATTACGCCCGCTTTTCCACGTTCCACGTTCCATATTTCCGCTTTCTGATGGCGTCATAGATTTTTCGATTTTTTATTTTCATGAAACACACCGCTGCGATAAAATCAATTTTAATGCTGATATAAAAATGTTTATGATTTGTTTATCGAAAATTTCACGTTCTGGGTGTCTATTTAAAGCCGTTTTATTAAATTGATGGAGAATTAATGACAAGTGGCAGGCGAGTCGCAACCAGTCGAGAGTTGAGGTGTCAAATATTCAAATTCGGGGATTTCTCATGCCACCCCTTTCACTTCTCACTGTTATATTGACACTGCGACCTACTTTACAATTCACTAATTGAAAAATAATAATACAACCACATCGCAGTGGTAAATAAGTTTTAATTGCATTAAAAGTTTAAATTTATACGTAAATAAAATAAAATTAATAATTTGGAGAATATTTTACGAATGGTTCTACCTGTTGGAATGTTTTCCGTTCTCCTTTTCCGGAATAGTGTCGTTGTTGACTTGTTGATCAATCAACCTACACCATTCTTAGCACGCACTAACTTCGAATTCCTCCGAGCTTTGCGCTTTGAGCTTTTCGGGCTGGGCCAACGTGCAAACAAAATAAAAGCACACAGTTGGCGATAAAGTTTGGGCAGCAAGCGAGACGTGCTTCCGGCCGCACGCAGCACGCGATACTGTTTTGTATTTCGCGAGGCGCGGAGATAAACGGCGCTGACGTGCCGCCTCCACCACCACCACCACTGCCCGCCGCCTCACAACCACCTCACAAGCGTCACGTCCAACGCGCAGGAGGTTAAAGTCGATGAGCGAAACAATACATATGTAGGTAGGAATATAATTACACCGAATTTTGTTTAATAACAAAACAAACAAAATAAAAACGTTCTCTCATATTGTTAAATAATTAAACACAATGCCTGCGCCAGAGGACTTTGCTTTACATCAACTCAAATTATTGTTAAACTTGAAAGGTCACATTAAACATTTAAGCCATGCTCAAAAATATGAACCCTAGGAATATTATTTGTTAATATTAACCGATAGAAATTGAAATCAATTGCTTTTTTCTTTTCTAAACGCCCTTGACATTTATACCCTCATAACATGATATTACACGAGTTATTCACCCGTAAATTCCATTCCAAATGATACCTTTATGAATATGTGCGAGTTATGCATAAACATAAACGGAAAGAAATGCATTTAACTTTATATTACCATGAATGTAACCTCAATAACTGCTTTTATCGTTTTCTAAGAGATTTATAAGCAAAAACCAAGCCGCATTTATTTAGTTAGCGTCAACTCACCATGCACCACGCACAACATGCACTTATTTACACCTGCATATTTAGTTGTCTATCATCCGCGCAAAGACTCACACGCTTTCCGCCATATTTCAACTTTGGCGCCGCTACATCCGCTTACCAAATAGAAGGAGCGTGGAATGTAAGCGGAAAAGGGGTGAGCATATGGGACACAGCGGTGCATGACACCCCACAGAGGATTGCCGATGGTAGCAGTGGAGATGACGCCGCGCAATCCTACTACCGATGGGAAGAAGATATCGCAATCATACGACAAATGCGTCTCAATTTCTACCGGTTTTCATTATCTTGGACACGACTCTTTCCTCAAGGGACTCTGAATTCATTAAACCCAGATGGTGTGCGTTATTATGACCAATTGATCAATGGTTTACTAGCAGCGGGTATCGAACCAATGGTGACTATATTCCACTGGGATGTACCACAACGTTTGCAGGACATGGGCGGCTGGACGAATGACCTGATCGTTGATTATTACACCGAGTATGCTAATCGTGTTTTTCAGCTGTTTGGAGATAGAGTACGCTTGTGGGTAACAATCAACGAGCCTGGACAATACTGTCAATTTGGGTACGATAATCTCAATGCACCTTTTATTAATAGTAGTGCATTGGGGACATATCAATGTGGACATAATGTCCTGAGAGCACATGGAAGAGCTTACCGTTTGTATGATAATTATTACCGAAGCTCACAAAATGGCAAGTGTATAAAACTAACCCTAACCTCAAATTAACGTTATTTATACCCAAGGTCGTCTTGGGATTGTCTGTGACACTACCTGGTATGAACCTTCGGATAACAGCTCACAATTTGATCGTGAAGCTGCGGATAGAGCCTTACAATTCCTCTTCGGATGGTTCATCAACCCGATTTATTCCCCGGAAGGTGATTACCCTGCAGCAATGCGTGCGCGTGTTGATTACGTCAGCCAACAGCAAGGTTTCCCTGAATCTCGTCTGCCTAGCTTCACCCCTGAAGAGTTGCTGATGATTCGTGGCGCGTATGATTTTATGGGTGTTAACCATTACTCTACCTTCCTTGCTCGTCCCGATAATCAAGCAATTGCTCGTTTTCCAAGTTTAAATAATGATGTGGACATCCAGCAGTTTGTTGATCCCTCCTGGGAGCTCACAGAAGGTCAGACTTACTTTGCGGTGGTGCCTTGGGGTATCCGAAGATTACTCAACTGGATAGCGGATACTTACGGGCGAGATATTGAGATATTTATCACGGAGAATGGTTATGATGGCTTCCGGAATGAATCCTTGCAGGACTCACGACGTGTGAATTATTTAAATGTACTAATAATTGATAATTACCTTTGTGTATCTTACTTATTACGTTTTAGTCTTACTTGAGGGAAGTTTTGAATGCGATTAATGATGGCGTTCGCGTTACTGCATACACCTTCTGGGCGTTGATGGATAATTTTGAATGGGTGAATGGTTATAAGTAGGGTTTAACAGTAGATAGCTTTAAAAATATATTAAATGATTAAATGATTCTTTTTAGTTCACGTTTTGGTCTGTATCGGATTGATTACGACGATCCAACTGGTAATAGAACAAGGATTCCGAAGAGATCAGCCATGGTTTATCAGAATATCATTGTTACACGTCAAATTAACGAGAGTTTTGTGCCGGATGAATTTGCATTCGACTCTGCTTAATTTGACCTGCCTTTTGTTGAAATAAATTAAATTATTATTCATATATGCCTTCTGGTTGCGTACCTGCTGACTTATCTTGACTATTAAATAACAAACTCACGCATCGTATAAATAAATAAATACATTATATTACCTTGTGGCTGCTACTGTATCATCCTAAACAACAATTACAACAACTCTACGTTTAATTAATTATCTACATTACAAACTGTAAAAAATGACTCGCCATATTTGATTTAAATTGTGACAGTTGACAGCTTACCTACCACCCTACCGGCCATAATCGAAACTAATCCAAGTGATGCTCACTAGTGAAAGTGAAATTTTAAAATAATTTGTTTATTTTGTTTAAAATATTTCTTTTATCTACCTACATAACAATGTTGAGTGGTCGTGTTAATACATTCACAGAGGCTGCAATAGCAGATTCCGAACAAGACGCAAACGGTGCATTAACAGAACTCGACAAAGGTAATATACTACTCATTCTAACCTAACTTCCATCTGAATTTGAATTTCATACAGAAACTTTAATATTTTTTCATCTAAGGGCTACGTTCTGGCAAAGTTGGCGAACAATGCGAATCTATTGTACGATTTCCTCGCCTCTTTGAAAAATACCCCTTTCCCATTTTAATAAACGCATCTTTTCTTAAACTCGCCGATGTTTTTCGTGTCGGCAACAACTTCCTGCGTTTATGCGTGCTACGAGTATGCCAACAAAGTGAAAAACACTTGGATAAAGTCTATATGGTAGACGAATTCGTACGCAGGGTTTACAGTGTAATTCACAGTAACGACCCAATTGCCAGAGCACTCACATTAAGAATACTGGGAGCTGTTGCTTGTTTAATTCCCGAAAGACAACAAGTTCATCACAGCATACGAACAAGCTTAGATTCACATGATAATGTTGAAGTGGAAGCAGGAATATATGCTGCTACACAATTTGCTGCTCAATCAAAGTATATAAATTATATATTTCACCTAAGTTCTTTAGATTAACATTAAATGAACTATTTTCTAGATCATTTGCTATCAGTATGTGCAATAAAATAGCAGACATGATCCAGGGCCAAGCCACACCAGCAAACATGAAACTGCAATTAATTCCTGTCTTACAACACATGCATCATGACACAAGCACAGCTGCAATGGTGCGTAATTTATGCACTGAACTATTACCGAAATATCCAACCGAAGATTTCGTCTTGGTTACTTTAAATACGCTCACACAACTTGCAGCTGCTACTTTAGTTGATATCCCATCACAGGTTCAACTATTAATCCGCTATATATCATCAGATCCTCGTAAAAAAGTCAAATCAAAATGTTTAGAACATTTGTATGAATTAGCTAAACCCGGCGCTCATTTATGGCCCTCTGAGGCGTTAAATTCAACATTAGACATTGCATTAGAGACCACATCCCCGAAATTATTAAGCGCTGCATTAAGCGTGGTGGAAGTGTTATCAGAATCACCACAATGGTGCCATGAACATCATCATTGCCAGTCTAAGGTGCGATTACTCTGCGTGAAGAACTGCCATTCACCACATCCTGCAATAGCTGCTCAGGCTATACATATTCTGACACAAATAATCTGTTATTGTTACAAAGAGAATATAAAACGCGTTGGGACAGATGAAGTGATATCATCCTTGGAGACAATAATTTTACTCTTGACTATTTCTGATGAGAAACATCCGTATCAACTTAAAGTGGTCTTGAGGTGTGCTGTAAGATTAGCAGAGATTGATAAACTTTACTGTGAGAGATTCGTGGAGCTGTTGGAATCACGTCTGGGGAGTGTAGATCGTGAGTTAAACACAACCATGATTCAGTTTTGTTATATTTTTATGTTGAAATGTTTTGTTTTAGCTGATTGTACCATATTAATCTGTGAGGCATTAGGAGCAATCGCTGGGATTCAACCTGATGCACTCCTTCCGCATCTTGGTGATATTCTTAATCACATTCAACATGAACACGAGACAACAGTTTCCTCTACAAATGATAAATCAACAAATATTGTTGTGCTACTCTGCACATTAGTCTTCCAAACATTAGGCGGTTACGATTGGAATGAAGAAACTCTCCAGATCTTAAAAAAAGTCTCTGGGTCCAATCAGCTTTGGGCTAACTATCGAATTGGTCGCGCTGCTGTGCGCTATGGTCATCATGGCCTAGCCGAATATGTTTTCAGCAATCTCACCGAGCAAGTCAGCTATGAACACTGGCATTTCTGGCTTGTATGTCTCCAAGAGATGAGCCAAGCAGAAGATATGCTCGTTACACCAAACCATAAACCGAAAAACATTGTCGACCGCTTGGATTATGCTTTATTACATTATAATAAAGCTATTGCAGCGTTGAAAGCTGCCAGTACACCGTCGCATAATTTACAGTTTCAAGGGGAATACATGCACATTCGCTGCGAGTTTCTACAATGTCTTTTATTACTAATCCACACTTGTAATATTTTGTGCATTGTTCCGCCACCAGCGATTGCGTCAACTATAGCGCAGTCAACCAGAGATGATCTGCAACGTCATGGGTACATTACAAATCAAATGCGGAAGTGTGTAAAGGAGTTTAAAGCATGTGCAGAGTTGTATTGTAAACTGTACCAGACAGCCTTTGATGCCGATTGTTCCACGTTGGAGAATTTACAAATGTAAGTGTGGAAAACTGTTGAAAATGTTTTTATTTAATGTTTAATTGGTAGCTTGCAACAAATGTGTGTCATGTTGGAGCAGTGCGTGGAGAGTGTTTGTGTGAGCAACGCAGCGACACGACAAATCATTCAATTTGATCTTAAAGATGCGAAATTGGAGTCACGGCAACTTTTAAACGCCTGTACGAGTGCTTCTAGACTATGCCAGAGCATAGCTGATGAAAATCTAGGTCTAACTATTACACACAAGGTAAAATATTTAATTAATCAGTATATTGTATCCAACTGAAGATTATTTATAATTCTTAGCATGTGGATTTGTTAAAAGCCATTGTGGAAATTTTCGTGAATGCACCTCTGCCGATTCCACGATTCTTTTTCCAAGTTTTACAGTGCACAACGTTGAAACTTGCAATTACTCCACAACCTCGTGTTCTTGGCGAGTGTATAAGCGTACAACCCGGGTCACAACTGGCTGTTAAAGTCGAAGGAGTTATCCAACACGGTAGTAAACCAGGTTTATTCAGAAAAGTCGACGGTGTTATCGTGACTGTAACATCTCAATTGCAACCAAACACAAAAATCAAAGAGATTATCACGGATTCCAAAAACATTGAGACTTCATGTGTGCTAACACAGACTGTGGCACCACATAAAGACTTCTTTTCAGCTCAGTTTTTACTTGCATTTCCTCGTGGCGGACTATATATACTCGCAATAGATGCATCTGTGGTAGATGAAGATGGAAACAAGTGGAATACAGGACCAAAATCAACTTTAACTGTGAAAGTACCCGATGAGCCTAAACTACAGCCGATTTCTATGCCTGGAATGGCCGGAAACGCTAATGTGTACGTATATTTAAATATTTAAAAGAATTATTACTAAAAAATATAATTTTCTAGGATTTTAATGACTGAGGACTCGTTGTTTGTCCGCAAGAAGTAATTTATAAGTAATTGACTACAACAGGATCGTTTGTAATCGGGGTATTATCATATTCGTTAATTTCAACCATCTTTGTTGATTTACAATCGTCCTCATGGGGGTTTGGCGTGGGTATCAATTCAATATTTCGAATATACACATCCTGACTGAATTTCTTCGCTTGGTCGAAGATAGTTAACGCCGCGATGGCAACAACCAACATTGCTTCAGTATCTATATCATGTTTACTTAAACATTTGACGGTCGAGGTAAGATTTACGGTTTTATTGTGTTCGTTTAAAATCATCTTGACGCCCACGTACTCAACCACTACATTGTGGTCTAGCGAAGGAATAAGTTCGGCAGCTTTTCCTGAACTGTTTATTCCTGCTAATTGCGCACGCGAGAATACTACACCTTTATTCCAAGCGTTTGTCTCAATGGCGGCGAAGATTTTCTTACCGAGCACAACCGTACACTTTGCGCGGAATTTTTTCACTACTTCTCCATCGGTATTGTTGGGTTTTTGTTGCTTACAATTTAGGGATATACTTCTATAGACTAGCTTGTGGATTAGGTTAAAAAGTTTCATGTTTATATTTTCTATTTTAATATAAAAAGTGTCATAATGTGACGTTTTTACGTTAGATTCCGCCGATTGCGACGGTTTCCTTGACGACAATCGGTGTTCGATCATATTCTCGTACTATAACTTCTTTTTTTCGGTCGTAATCACCGCGTGCGCCGCCTGTTTTACTCACTAAATGAATATCTGTAATTGTGATGTCATGACTAACAGCTTTACACATGTCGTAGACTGTTAACGCAGCAATTGTAACTGCTGTCAATGCTTCCATTTCCACGCCGGTTTTACCATCGCATTTCACCGTCGATGTTATTACAACACTTTCCTTTTCTGCATCTAGAATAGCTTCAACTTGTACAGAGTTAAGCATGATATTATGGCACAAAGGAATCAATTCCGATGTCTTTTTAGCGCCTGTAATGCCAGCCAATTGCGAGATTGAAAGCACGTCGCCCTTTTTAAGTGCGTTTTCTTGTATAAGTTGAGTTATTTTCGAGCCAACGTGGACAGTACCCTGTGCATGTGCGCTTCGGGATGAGATTTTCTTGTCGCCCACGTCTACCATACGAGCTTTGCCAGTTTCATCCACGTGTGTCAAGTGTGTGGAATAGTATCGTAACGTATTCGATGTGCGAGAGTTGTAAAACAAATGAGATAAATTGGTGTTGATAAATGAATGTGGACGGGAAATTAAATTGCAATCTGCAAATCATAGAAACAAACGTACAAACAATCATAAATTGTACTTTAAAGAAGTGGTTAACACAAACAGATTATATAGAAGTATTAAAAACAATAATATTTAGAAAGATCATCCACCAATTAAGATCATGGGTCTGTTTTCCATTTTCGACAGATTCAGCATGCCTGAAAATATTTACGCTACTTAAGAAAACAGAAACGGAACAAACACTACAATAGTGGGACTTGTACATGTAAATATTGAAGAAATATTGTTTTTACCTGCATGCTGTTTCTTTTTTCGCGACACTGCTGCGCCAATTAGTGCCAGAAGATCGTCATCACTGCATTTGGCACGTAGTGCATCGCGTAATGAGATTTCTGCGTTGCCAAAGAGACAAACTTTAAGATTACCATCGGCTGTGATACGTAGACGATTACAAGACCCACAAAAATGTTCGCTCATTGATGTGATAAAACCAACTTGCCCTTTTGCACCTGGTATTTTCCATGCCTGTGTTTAAAAGTGTGATTAATAGTTCATTTAAAGTTAGGTAACTCACTTTGCTTGTATCATTAGGTCCGTTTTCTAATGGTGCAAAGGTCGGCCATTTTGCGCGAATCTTCTCTACCATTTCTTTGTATGAGACCAATTTCTCCATTTCCCATTTATTGCCTGTGAATGGCATGTATTCGATGAAACGTACGTCCACATTCTTCTCCTCCGTCATTTGTACAAAGTCACAAACTTCGTCGTCGTTAAAATCTACGTAAAACAATCAAAATTAACTTCATAACACTACAATTTCATTGTGACTAGTCCTCACTTTTCATGACAACACAATTTACTTTCACTGGGTTGTATCCCAGTTGAATGCCCAAGTCAATACCCATCAGGACACGTTCCCATCCTTTACGACGTGTAATCCGTTCGAATTTATCCTTTTGTAGCGTGTCTAAACTAACATTAATGATATCCAATCCTGCGCGTTGTAATGTTACCAACTGCCGCGTGAGAACCAAACCGTTTGTCGTCATAGCGACTGTTTCCAGTCCTTGAATCGCTTTTAATTGTCGAATAATATCCGGTAAATCTTTTCGAACAGTAGGCTCACCTCCAGTTAGTCGAATTTTAGTCACTCCCTCCTGCGCAAACAACGTCGCAAGTTTAACAATTTCGTCAATGGATAAAAGATTTGAGTTTGGTTGTAGCTGCACTCCTTCAGCAGGCATACAGTATTGACCTTGAGCAGAAAAATCATAATAAAAACACAAGTTTGCATAGTAGCAAAATACTTACATCTCAAGTTACATCTTTCCGTTAGTGAGATTCTTAAGTAAGAATGATGTCTGCCATATAAATCAGTCAGTGGTTTAGCTGCGTTTGTTTTTAAAGTCTCAGTGCGTGGATTCGCAGCTGCAACTGTGGAACAAGAAGCGCTTCTTGCCAATGCGCAAGAGGTAATATTAATCAACTTCGGACGGATCATTATCGTAATAATATTGGTAATGTTTCACAGCATTGATTCTAACTGATAAGTAGTGCGCTGACACCAAAGTGTGCGCGTGGAACGTTAGCTCGCTACTGAGTACAATAAACTATGTAATAAACACAGTGCGCGCTTGTGATTGTGCTTACATGACGTCCTGCAAACTTGTTTTGCTCATTTTCGGGCGAGAGTTGCGTGAAAGCCAGTGGCAACTTTAATTAAACGCTAACTTTATAATTCGTTTGACCTCCATGCGTGCAGACAAATTGAAGTTAAATAAATTTAATAAATATTTTGAGGCTTTCGTGTGCTACAATATTTAGCGCGTGTTATATTTGAACATACAATCAACAAGTTGCGATAAGCGCAACATGCGTTGGTGGTATTTTAAATAAAGATAGGTGGAATAACAAATAAGTAGCTAGATAATAAATAAATATACTCGTTTTCATTTCCAAGGCCATTAAACATATGTAACCAGTAGAGCTGCAAGTTTGAAAACATAATATTGACAGGCCACCAGTGGTAGGTTTTGTAACTACACAGTTGGGGGTAGTGTGGTGTTCTGCACACATAACCTAAAATTCTTTAAAACAACGTAACGCGTTTAAAAACGTATTTTTATTTATAATAATTATGTAATTAACATAAAATGGCATTGTTTGCTGCTTATGCGGATGTGAAAGACGATTCTACAGCAACTAATTCATCTGACGTCGGTTGGCTAACGAACTCTAGTTTTAAAATAGATGTGACTCCATTTCAAACCAGTGAATTGCAAATTCATCCAAAACATTTTCAAGACACAGACGATAATTCACTATCAGAAACAGAAGACAATGAAGTGCGACACAATAAACAAAAAAGAAAACATAAGAAGTCAAAAAAATCCTCAAAGAAACAAAAATATACAGAGAAGTGTAAAGAATTTGATGGATATTCAATTGATAAAAAGTCTGCAAGTGAACTTAAATATGTTAATACAATTTCCAGACCCAGTGCACCTAAATATAAAATATATAAATACCTAGCCTTTCCAAGAGAGAGAAAAGTAAAGAAATTTAAAAGATACTATCAAGTAATAATTGATAAACATGTAAATGAAAGTGCCACTGAAGAAGAATTGACAGCAGAAGCTTTAAATTCAACACCTTCCAAAAATAGAAAGCAAGGATCAGACATGACAATCCTAGAGGAACAAGAAATATCCAGACAAACTGGCACATTCAACAGAAAACTTCAAATAGATGCTTATGACATAGATACATGGATAAAATACATCAATTTCCAAGACAACGTCTTCAACTTTGAGAAGTATTTCAAAAAAGGCTCAATTGCAAAAGGTCTAAGGGTAACAGCAGAGAGAAAATTGACCATTTTAGACAGAGCCCTGCAACATAATCCCGATTGTGAATTACTACTCAGAATGCGCGTGGATATCGCAGCCGGTGTATTCCCAGCCGACGAGTTACAAACACAACTTAAAAAACTAGTTGACAGAGATTCAGGTAACATTATCCTCTGGCAGGCTTACATTGAAGCATCACAATGCTCAATGTCCCACTGCACAGCCCCCACAGTAATAAATTTATACATTAAATGCTTACACACGCTGCACACAATCAGACGCACGGCTAAATTAAAACGCGTGGTGTTAGAGGAAAGTATCCTACGCATGTTGTATCAATGCGGGTTATTCCTCCGCCAAGCCGGCTTGTTTGAACAATTATGGACGTTGTTACGCATGTATCTTGAACTTAACTTAAGCGGAAGTTCAGATATACAATTCGGTACTGCTAGTACAACAAGAGAAGAAACATTACTAGTTGAGTTAGAAGATACTGTGTTAAAATCACAGCTGCCTATTCATGAATTATGGCCAAGGATTGAGAAACTCCGAGAAGCGTGTCATTACCTTCCTGTTTTCGCGCAGGAACAGGAATGTGCGGATCCACAACGATTGGTATTCACTGAAGATGTTTCCGAGTTGATACATCCCATAACTATGCCAGGGAATACTTTCCGGTTAACGGTAATGATTCTAACTCTATTAAAAATCCCGCTTTTGCCCTGCAGACATGTTACAATGAAAGAATTTGGTATAGATTATGTTCCATGGTCATTAGACTCAATCGAAACATTACTACCAATGTTCTACCCGTTATTCCCGCTGGAAATCAGCAACAAGTTGTTGTGCAACGCGCAAAAACTAGTCGTTGGTCCACAGTATTTAAAAACACTGCCAGGACAAGAAGAATATCTGCAGTTTATCTTAACTGTGATGACATCGTGTGGGAAATGCTTAGGTGGACGTGAAAAATTAGCGATTACTGTTTGGTGGTTTCGTTTCTTACGATTATTAACCATCCTGGAAAAACTAGACATGTTTAAAGTCACTGCGAGTTTTAAAAAGAAACTGCGTACTGATATGAAAAGTTGTCTGCGTGAGAATTCAACAAATATTGTTTTATTTAAAGAATACGCATTGGTAGAGACAGAAAACAACTTCGATTCAGGTATAAACGTGTTGAAAACCGCGCTGGATATGAATTCTGATAGTGATTTATTCCAAATGGCCGAAGAGAAACGTACAGCGATTGTTTCAACATTGCGTACATTTATTGAACTTTATTTGTTTAGGGGTAAACAAATTGATAAAGAGACCAAACAAGTTTGTTTTAAATATATCTGTGCGGTAGTTACCGGTAAGTTTACGATTGCGAATGCTCCACGGTTTATTACACAGAGTATAATTAATGAAACGAAGGAAAAATTCGCGGAAGTTAATGTGAATTTATTAAGAAATGATTTCAATGCTAGTTTGAATGGTGTGGATTACTTTTACCGGATTTCACTTCAGACTGGTTGATTTTAAACGCCTCCTTTTATTTCTTAATGATTTTGGTGAAGCACGGATATTTGTTGAGAATATTCTCAATAAATTTGAAGATAATCCAGCACAAGAAGAAGAAAAAGTGCGGAATCCAAAGTTGTGACGCCATCATTCCGAACAGAGCTACTTTATGAGTTTTTGGTTGCTATTTTATTCAAAACTTGTACAGATACACCAGGAGCAGGAATGTATCCTACTTTGGATAAATATATCCAACTTGGATTAACAAAATATCCGAATAATATGTTTTTGTTAGCTACATTAGCTGAAATGCAAACATTTCACTCTAATTATGGACAGCCTTGGTGGAAAATACAGAAGTTGTTGTTAAAGAGTGGACATGCACTATCAACACTCTTCTCTGTTTTAATTGCTAATCAACAAATCAACGACATTGAAAGTAATTGGGTTGATACGATCACAGGAAGAGTTATTTCGGTGGATAATCAGTACAAACCGAAAGCCATTCTACCTGAACACTATGCCAAAGGTAGGTCCGGTCTATTTCCGTGAATGGCTACATTTTATTCACATTGTAGAAATGCGCCCGCCCACGCACAAAGGACTGCCACTCGAGGTGGATTTTAGTATGACCGTCGTCGACATCAACTCGATCAATGTCGAAGATATGGATTTTAGGTAATTTTAGACTTTTAATTATTCAGTCATTTCTCTGTAATTATTCGCATTTCTCCATAGGATGGATATGTTTTTGCGTCAACAATGGACCGATTCGCGTCTGCATATCCCCGAAGAGATTTTCGAATATGGCGACGATCAAGTAACACTCCCAACGCAATTCTTCGAAAACCTTTGGCAACCCGACCTGTACTTCCTCAATTCTAAAGTTGTCGGTGAGTAATGAGCATTAAATCATGTTTGTAGCGACGCTATCGATTGTTTTGGTGTTAATGGCGTGTTTCTGCTTGTTCTCGTATAGAAATAGCGACGCTAACGCATAAATTCTCATCGGTCACGCTCTTCCGCAACAAAACCGTGCGCTACTCGGCGCGCATGCATGCGATCGTCGCGTGCCAAATGGAATTCCAACACTATCCCATGGACATACAAATATGCCCTTTGAGCATTGAAAGTTGTAAGTACCGTGACCTCAGCATGCCGGGAATATTTATTACAAGCGCATTCTTTTGCAGTTGCTTATGACAATACGAAAATGAGTCTCAAGTGGACGCAAGGGGTGGGTGTTAACGTCAGCCCGGAATTGAAACTACTGCAGTATCACATCGCACAACCGCTCGAGTTGGAAGAACGCGATGTGTTTACCAACGAAAAAAACGGCAATTTTTCGCGTTTGGTTGTCTACTTCCAGTTCGAGCGTCAGATCGGCCATCATTTGATTCAAACTTTTGCACCATCAACCCTGGTAGTTGTGGTTTCATGGTTTAGCTTTTGGTTGAGTTTAGATGCGGTGCCTGGTAGAGTTACGCTGTTGGTAACTTGTTTGCTCACCTTGGTGACGATGTTCACTGGGTTGCGGTCGGATATTCCGCCGGTTGCCTATGTGAAAGCGATCGATCTGTGGATGGCGGGTTGCATGGTGTTTGTTTTCAGCGCATTGAGTGAATTTGTCATTGTTAAGGTACTCGATGAGCGCTACAAAGCCGCGAAAAAAGCGCTGCTTGATGAATCGAGCGTGACACCATGGAACAAAAACGTGCAACAGTATAAAAAACCTAGGAAACCTTTATTGCCTTTGTACTGGAAAACCGTAAGTGTAATTTACTTCCATACCTAAAATTTAATTGTTATTACTCGTGTATTTTAGAAACGAGGTGAAGAAAAAGCGCTCTGGTGTGAAATCGACGAATTATCTCGCTATGTCTTCCCTGCTCTATTTCTAATATTCATGTTGTTTTATTGGCCGCTGCTCATTATTGGCAAATCAAATCCGATTATAACATTTTAGTTTAACAGATTTATTTATTTTTCTAATTCAGAAAATAATACATCCTTTCTGTCACTATCTAAATTACTCCCGATTGACATATTGAATATTGGTATTACTGCATGCTTCGGGAGTTTTCGGTTGTTGACAGGTGTTTCAGTTTTTAATGTTGGTAGTGCAAATCACATGCATATGCACATGCGCTGCAGTGACCTTGTGCACGGCGTGCTCATCACGGTCGACCCGCACGCGCCATTAGTTGAGTGTGTTCCGTTGGTGTGTACGCAGTTCTACGTTTCTCTGTTTACCTGTGTGCTGGAGTGCTGTCATTATCTTCCACCAGGCAAGAATTGCTATTTATTTTATTCGACACTTGCGTAAATAACGCTGGAATTTACTTAAAGTTAGTATAATAAATGTAATTGATTTAGTTTTCCATTCTAAGCGTCTGTCAGTAACCGATATAACGTCGCGTTCGTCGTGCATGTGTTTGCCTTTCAGGTGCATCATGGCCGCCGCCGGTATCTCAGCTCTGTTGCAAACAATACGGTCTTAAAACCTAATTAATACAGTAAATTCATATGAACGTTTGCATCTTTATTAAATTCAAATTATAATCTAAGCCTTTCTAACTTGTGCCGATATTGCCAGCTAGCATTGTGTTCAATCTTGACTATTGACGTTTATCGGTGTTTGTTTCCAACTAGTGTGTGTTCTTATCTCTGTTCGCCGTGTGGAATGCACCGTGCACACAATATTTCTGACAACAAACATCGTGTTTTGATGCACGAATTGATAACATTCTTTTTATTTCCTTTTGCATTTTGTATAACATGTTTTAACTTTTTATTATTCATTTATTATATAGTAATTGAAGAAATGCCAGTGAGGGCTAAGTGACGTTTCATGAGTTACAAATGCACAGGTGAGAGTCTGTGGTGATTATAATAAATTTTTTTCCATTTCCCCATGGGCATAATTCAGTTTCGCGTCATTGTAATTGTCATTCCGGTTTGAATTACTATAAATTTAATACGAGTACATTGCCCGCCTGGGAGATGCTTACTTTTACCGATCTTCTGATACATTCAACGACAAATTTTTCATATTAAATAATATTAATACAACGATCTTTACCGTTTACACCGAAAATGCCCCTGATATGCGAATTTATTGGACATTTTCTTTCGGTTTGCTCCGCCGGCTGATGTGAGATGCTAGGCCGGTTGGTGCATGAAAATAAAAACTGATAAAAATTTATTTGACCTGCACCCTACAACTTGCACACGAGAATTGTTTGACTTCTACTTGTTTATCGGTGTTGTTAGTATTTCTATTCACAGATTGCGCTTTAATACTTCTAAATATCATTGAATTACTTTGATTTTGTTCTTACTCGCAGTTTTACTTTGATCGGGGAATTTCCTTCAGTACAGTTCAACCATTTCCAAATTTCGAGCTTAGAAGTCGGGATTCATGCAAACAATTTGGTTTTAATGCAAATCCATTCCCGATATGTTTCCTACTTGGTATCAATACTTGTTCTACGATTTTCAATCTCAGGATTTGCATTCCTGGTAAGTCTCATCATATTTTTGTATATACTGTAAATAAGTACAGTATGTATGTATGTTTGATACTCTTGATTGCCGCATTGGGTATATTTTTGTATATTTTCGTTATGCGAACTCTGCGGCCTACTAATATCAGCGCGACGTCAAAAATCCAGAATTAAATCTATGCTGGGTGGTATTTGTTAGCGAAGTGACTCTCGATTCAGGCACCTACGAGGTTAGCGGTAAAGTGACTCGTGCTCAGGCAATCGTAGGAACCCGCGAAAAATTGAATAAAAGGGTGATTTTAGTCACCCTTTCTCGTGAAATAATTGTATTTTTTCCGGTTTGCGCGCGATTTTGGCGGCTCACTAACTTCAACGTGGCGTCTAGAGATGCGGAATTAAATTCTCCGTCGGGTTGTATTTGTTTGTTGCAGGAATTCGGCCGTGGCAACCCGCTTAGTACTTGCATGTGCGGCGATTTTTGTCACCCTTTCTCGCGAAATGTTTGTATTTTTCGTGTTTGCGCGCGATCTATTCGGCTCACTATCGTCAGCGCGCTGTCTAGAGATGCGGAATTAAATTCTTCGTCGTATTATGTATTTGTTTATCGTAGGATTTCGACCCGCAACCCGGCGAAAATTTGCATAAAGAAGTGATTTGTCAAATTTTCTGGTGAAATGTTTGTATTTTTTCGTGTTTGCGTCATGATCTATTCGCCTACTATCGTCAAAGTGCGTGGTGTCTAGAGATGCGAATTAAAATTCGTCGGGTTGTATTTGTTTGTTGCAGTAAATTCGGCCGGCAACCCGCGAAATTTGCATAAAAGGTGATTTTTGTCACCCTTTTCTCGTGAAATGTTTGTATTTTTTCGTGTTTGCGGCGCGAATTGGCCTGGCTCACTTCATCGTCAGCGCGGTGTCTAGAGATGCGTAAATTCAAATTCTCCGTCGGGTTGTATTTAGTTTGCCGCGAATTCGGCCGGCAAACCCGCGAAAATTTGCATAAAAGCGTGATTTTGCCACCCTTTCTCGTGAAATGTTTGTATTTTTCGTGTTTGCGCGCGATCTATCTGGCTCACTTAATGTCAGCGCGCGGTGTCTAGGAGATGCGGAATTAAATTCTCTGTCGGGTTGTATTTGTTTTAAGCGGTAACGGCCGGCAACCCGCGAAAATTTGCATAAAAGGGTGATTTTTAATACCCTTTCTCGTGAAATGTTTGTATTTTTCGTGTTTCCAGGCAAGGATCTAGGCGGGCTCACTATCGTCAGCGCGCGGTGTTCAGAGATGCGGAATTAAATTCTCCGTCGGTGGTATTTGTTTGTTAAAAGCAATTCAACCTGCAACCTGCGAAATGTGCATAAAAGGGTGATTTTTGTCACCCTTCGTGAAATGTTTGCGCTTTTCGTGTTTGCGCGGCGATTCAGGCGGCCTACCATCGTCAGCGCGGTGTCTAGAGATGCGGAAATTCAAATTCTCCGTCGGGTTGCATTTGTTGTTGCAGGGAATTGGCCGGCACCCGCTTAGTAGTTCTGTATAAAGGGCAAGGATTTTTGGTCACCTTTCTCGTGAAATGTTTGTATTTTTCGTGTTTGTAAGGCGATCAGGCGCACTACCAACGTCAGCGCGCGGTGTCTAGAGATGCGGGAATTAAATTCCTGTCGGTTGTATTTGTTTTTTGTTGCAGGAATCAGCCGGCAACCCGCGAAAATTTGCATGTAAAAGGGTGATTTTTGTCACCCTTCTCGTGAAATGTTTTGTGTTTTTCGTGTTTGCGCGCGACCCATTCGGTCACCACATCGTCAGCGCGCGGCGTCTAGAGATGCGGAATTAAATTCTCCGTCGGGTTGTATTTGTTTGTTGTGCGTATGGAATCTCGACCTGTACGAAGTACTAATTTTGCTTTGTCGATTTTGCACCTGACTCTAACATCGTTGGAAGGACCATTCTTGCATCAGATTGTTAGTAATAAATTTCACATTCCAAATACCAATCCTTTGTAATTATTGGCTACTTCAAATTGTCTCCCCAACATTTATGCTTGTGTGTTTTCTTTAATAAAGAATATTTTAAGCTATCTAGCTATACTATTTCTGTTATTTCTACCCGATCACATATTTAACGATTTCTTAAACCATTTATTTTAAAAAAAGTGCATGCTAGTGCCATCTGTTGTCGATTAGAAACGACAAATAACCGAAAGTGTTGAGTTTCGGTCCGTCGCCACCAGTGAGCACCTTACTAGCTACCAAGGAAAACTTTATCAGCCTCCTCAACTTTCTATGATCCCATTACTCCATCTTTTATTTTCTCGACTCTGAGAGGCAAAATGACACCAAAATTTGGACTCGAAACAGTCGAAACTCAGGATTTGGTATTCGGATCGCAGCAGCGGGTGAGTGGAGGTATGTAAATAAAGAGGCGGTAAAATACCGTGGAAAAATTTAATGTTAACTTTTTAATTTTCATCATAAAAAGAGAAATCTTTGCCTTTTTATAACAAAATCTTTTCTTCAATTTTTCAAGGATCAATATTATGTGTGTTCTTCTAGCCCTCTTTAGTTGTCGAGATTCTTCAGAATTTGAAAAACCGGAATTTTGCAGAATAAAGATTTTTAAATATCTACTTTTTTCCGCTATTAATATTTACCGCTCCTTATCTATATTACCTCCTCACCCTTCTGTGATCCGAATACCAAATCCTGAGTTTCGACTGTTTCCTGAGTCCAATTTAGGCCATTTTTGCCTCCTGTGTGAGTCGACAAAATAAAGATGGAATATTAGATCGCAGAAAGTTGAGGTGGAGGCTAAATCTCCAGCAATCTTGAATAGCGGGCGTAGTTTAGTTACTCGTGGATAGATGACACTAGTGATAACCGTTTTTAAACAAATATTGATACAATATAAAATTGATTTTGAACTACTTCTCATATCTAGCAGTGGCATCGCATTAAAGTTTAAGGGATTTATGGATTAATTAAAGGAGTAACGATGCCGTGCTTGCGTCCCCTGTTTGAAATAAATAAATAATAAATATTTGGCGTTAAAATATAAAACATCAATTTTATTGAAACATGTAGAATCACAAACTCAATTTCTCAATATATACACCATTTTTAAATAAAAACATGCATGAAAACAGGATAATAATATGCAATTATATAATGCTATTTTAAATCTTAACAAAATACATAAAATGATCAATATAAGTCTCAAAAATGTTGTAAATTTCATTCAACTGCATTTAACCATCATCAACACCGGCAATCCAATCTTCAATCTTGATTCTATTAATCAGAATGAATACCAGAATAGTAAAATATAAATATTATAAATTGCAAAAAATATAACATACGTTCTGCATATTTCAGTCCAGCTGTCGTCTTAGTCCACCTTAGCGGGTTGCTGGTCGAATTCCTGCAACAAACAAATACAACCCGACGAAGAATTTAATTCCGCATCTCTAGACACCGCGCTGACGATAGTGAGCCGAATAGATCGCGCGCAAAACACGAAAAATACAAACATTTTCACGAGAAAGGGTGACAAAATCACCCTTTATGCAATTTTCGCGGGTTGCCGGCCGAATTCCCGCAACAAACAAATACAACCCAACAGAGAATTTAATTCCGCATCTCTAGACACCGCGCTGACGATATTGGTCACGAATAGAGGCGCAAACACGAAAAAAATACAACATTTCACGAGAAAGGGTGACAAAACACCCCTCTTTATGCAATTTTTCGCGGGTTGCCGGCCGAATTCTGCAACAAACAAATACAACCCTGACGGAGAATTTAATTCCGCATCCTAGACAATCTCGCGCTGACGATAGTGAGCCGAATAGATCGCGCGCAAACAATGAAAAAAATACAAATATTTTCACGAGAAAGGCAGACAAAAACCCTTTGGCGCAATTTCGCGGGTTGCCGGCCGAATTCTGCAAACAAACAAATACAACCCGACGGAGAATTTAATTCCGCATCTCAGACACAATCGCGCTTAATGATAGTGAGCCGAATAGATCGCGCGCAAAACACGAAAAATACAACATTTCACTTACAGCGTGACAAAATCACCCTTTATGCAATTTTCGCGGGTTGCCGGCCGACCCTGCAAATAAACAAATACAAACCGACTGGAGAATTTAATCGGCATCTCTAGACACCGCGCTGACGATAGTGAGCCGAATGATCGCGCGCAAACAAAATACAAATATTTTCAACAGAAAGGGGTGACAAAAATCACCCTTTATGCAATTTTCGCGGGTTGCCGGCCGAATTCCCAAACAAACAAATACCATCCGACGGAGAATTTAATTCCGCATCCTAGACGCCGCGCTGACGATAGTGAGCCGAATAGATCGCGCGCAAAACACGAAAATACAAACATTTCACGAGAAAGGCGACACCACCCCTTTATTCAATTTTCAAGGGTTCCTACGGTGCCCCTGAACACAATACCTTTACCGCTAGCCCCGTAAGGCAAGCCCTGAATCGAATCACTTCTACCGCTAACAAATACCACCCGGCATAGATTTAATTCTGCATTTTGACGCCGCGCTGATATTAGTAGGCCGTGCAGAGTTCGCATAACGAAAAATATACAAAATATACCGACAACTGTATATCAAACATACATACATACTGTACATATTCTAAGAATACAAAAATATGATGAGACTTACCAGGAGTGAAAATCCTGAGATTGAAAAATCGTAGAACAAGTATTGATGCCAAGTGGTGTTACATCAGGGAATGGATTTGCATTAAAACCAGAATTGTTTGCATGAATCGACACTAAAGCCTCGAAATTTGGAAAATGGTTGAACTAAAACAGCTAAATTCCCTGATCAAGTAAAACTGCGGTAAGAACAAATCAAAGTAATCTAAACAAATATTTAGAAATATTAAAATTATAATCTTAAATCATCAGGAAATACTAACAACACCGATAAACAAAGTAGAAGCTTCAAACACCTCAAAAAGTGCTGTAGGGTACGGAATAAATTTTTATCAGTTTTATTTTTCATGCACCAACCGGCCTAGCATATATCCTCACATCAGCCGGCGGAGCAAAACCGAAAGAAAATGTCAATAAATTCGCATATCAGGGGCATTTCAGTGTAAACATTAAAGATCGTTGTATTAATATTATTTAATATGAAAAATTTGTCGTTGAATGTATCAGAAGATCGGTAAAAGTAAGCATTTCCCAGGCGGGCAATGTACTCTGCATTAAATTTATAGTAATTCAAACCGAAATGACAATTACAATGACGCGAAACTGAATTATGCCCATGAATGAAGTATTAACGAATTATAATCTCACCCATGAACTCTCACCCTGTGCATTGTAACTCATGAACGTCACTTAATCTCACTGGCATTTCTTCAATTACTATAATAAATGAATAATAAAAGCAAACATGTTATACAAACGCAAAATAAAAGAATGTGTTATCAATTGCATCAAAACACGATGTTTGTTAATGAAATGTGTGCACGGTACCCACACGGCGAACGAGATAAAGAACACACCTTAGTTGGAAACAAAACACCGATAAGCGCCAATAGTCACAGATTGAACACAATGCTAGCTGGCAATATCGGCACAAGTTAGAAAAGGCTTAGATTATAATTTGAATTTAATAAAAGATGCAAACGTCTTCATATGAATTTACCGTATTAATTAGGTTTTAAGACCGTATTGTTTTGCAACAGAGCTGAGATACCGGCGGCGGCCAAGTGATGCACCCTGAAAGGCGAACACATTCACGACGAACGCGACGTTATATCGGATACCGACAGACGCTTAGCACGGAAAACTAAATCAATTACATTTATCATTCTGACTTTAAATGAAATCCAATGTTATAACAGCAAGTGCAGAATAAAGTAAATAGCAATTTACCTAATTGGAAGATGGCCGGACGGCACTTCCTAAACAGGTAAACAACATAGCCGCGATACACCTTACGCGCAACACAAATAACAATACTAAAGTTAAAATTAAAGTCAAGTTAAATTAAATAGCCAATTGATGATCGAATATAATACGAATCTGGAAAGTAGAAGTCCGGATAAACAATACGAGTCAAAAAATACGTCTGATCAACGCCAGCGACTGGCACAAAACTACGTAAGCTGCATAAGCAAACGACGAGGCAGTTTATGATAAGAAAATAAGAGTGCGGCAAAGCCGCGCGTCGAACACACGCGACCTATGCGCGAATTGTATCGGCTGCTTTACCTGGGATCAAACCAACCAAGATGCAACAACATGCGGCGGAGGTGCTGGCAACGGCGACACACGGCAATGCGATAAGAAAGTGTATATTATGTTCAAACAAACACAATTTTGTGTCGAAGGTTCACGCTTGCTGATAAATATAGAAATAAACAATACAAGTTTATTTTTACAATTTTAGTCCATGGTACAAGCATCTACGGTATAAATGATACAGTAGTTTCGAAGTTTAGATTTAGTAAAAGTAATACAAAATTAAAAATCGATTTTTCCTAATTCTGATTTCTTATGCTGATAGATTGCCAGATTTCAGCCAGATTTTTTACATTAAATATTTAAGTGATATTTTCTAATTTAAACATGCACGTTTCGTTTACCAGGTAACACATTGGATTCGTAATCATCTGCTGGGATAATAAAATGTATTAGAATTAATATAAAATTGTTAGTTAGATTCATGAAAGAATTGAAGAATATTTACTTAGATTTACGATGCTATAACAAACAACAGCAACGGTGTGTTTTGACTTACGAAATAAAGATTCGATACCTGCAGGTAAACAACTTATCTTCTTTAAAGGAATCGCGTGATCCACACGGACACGGTGTGCACTCACTACCACCAACAAGCAATATTTAATGCAAAACCGTACATCGTAGCGGCATCTAACCATTGAAAATATTGCAGGTCTAATTCCTACAACAAATAAATACCACCCGACGGAGAATTTAATTCCGCATCCCTAGACGCCGCGCTGACGATAGTGAGCCGCCTAGATCGCTAGATTTACTGTATTAATTAGGTTTGAAAACCGTATTGTTTGCAACAGAGCTGAGATACCGGCGGCGGCCATGATGCGCCTGAAAGGCGAACACATTCACGGCGAACGCGACGTTATATCGGATACCGACAGACGCTTAGCACGGAAAACTAAATCAATTACATTTATTATTCTGACTTTAAATGAAATCCAATGTTATTTACGCAAGTGCCGAATAAAATAAATAGCAATTCTTACCAATTGGAAGATGGCCGACGGCACTCCAGCACACAGGTAAACAGAGAAACGTAGAACTGCGTCCACACCAACGGAACACACTCAACTAATGGCGCGTGCGGGTCGACCGTGATGAGCACGCCGTGCACAAGGTCACTGCAGCGCATGCGTATATGCACGGACGGCACTACCAACATTAAAATTGAAACACCTGGTCAATGAACTGAAACTCCCGAAGCATGCAGTAATACCAATATTCAATATGTCAATCGGGAGTAATTTAGATAGTGACAGAAAGGATGTATTATTTTCTGAATTAGAAAAATAAATAAATCTGTTAAACTAAAATGTTATAATCGGATTTGATTTGCCACCAAGAGGAAACACCGAAGGAATAACACCTTCAAACCGTTATTCTTTATTTACAAATTTGTACTATTTGCACTGCAAACACATAAATGTACCAACAATAAAAAACTTTAGAAAACAAAAACACGCATAAAATATATGAAAAAACAGAAAAGACTCCTCTCAGTGAAGAAAATTAAAGTTTTGACCTGGAAGCGGTCGCAATGGCTCGCTGCTTTAATACTCGTCGTAAAATCTTACCAGAGGGATTTTTCGGAATCTCCTCCAGGAATATAACTCCACCACGCAGTCTCTTTTGACGCGAGACTTTACCTACAAAAATACACATCAGAATTAATTCAAAATACATAACTCCAGAAAACATGTAGACATTTAGACATTTACCTGCAACATAATCTTGTAGTTCCTTTTCCGTGACTTTGGCGCCATCCTTTCGGACAACAAACGCCAGCGGCAGTTCCCCAGCGTCCGGATCAGGCAAACCAATAACACCCACATCAGAAACTTGCGGATGTTGCAGTAAGAGTGCCTCTAGTTCGGCTGGAGCAACCTAATCAATTTAAAAACACGTCTTAACATACTTATTACAGATAACAATAACTTTATACCTGAAAAGCCTTGTACTTAATCAGCTCCTTAATCCTATCGACGATAAAGAAATAGAAATCTTTATCAAAATACGCTATATCACCAGTGTGCAACCAGCCGTCCTTATCAATCGTATTCGCTGTAGACGTAGGATCATTCACATAACCCTTCATGATAAGCGGGCCTTGGAAGCACAACTCACCCTCCTGGTTCGGCCCGAGGGCATTACCAGCCTCGTCAACAACCTTGCACATATTTCCCGGCACAATTTTCCCCACAGAACCAACTCTGCACTCGCTGAGGCTACTTACAAGCACGCCCAGTGTTGTTTCAGTCATGCCATACGACTGAGAAACATGTCTCAACTTAAATCTAAAAGTAAAACATTAAAAACATAATCTTTCAATCAAATCCAACATACTTTTCACGTAATTCAACTTCCATTTCCTTGCCCATGGGCGCAGCACCCGAGCGAATGTCTCTCAAACTAGAAAAATCATAATTTTTCGCTAGAGGATGTTTAGTGAGCACTAGAAGCACCGGCGGTGGCACAATCAACGTCGTCACCTAATAAAATCCACATTAAAACATAAAAATCATAATCATTGCGCAATATCTACCTTGAATTTTTCTATAGCTTCCAAAAATAACTTAGCCTTGAACTTCTTAATCACAATAATCAAATTCCCACCGAGGCAGTTCATGTACATCGTCATGAAACCCATCGAATGGAAAAACGGCGTCAGACCAAAGGTGACGATGCCCTGCGCGGACATATTCTCCTCAAACTCGTACAATTCTTGCACGCGCGTGCGTGCAATCTCCATAAACGCTGTCATATTGCGATGCGTCGCCATGACACCCTTCGGCATACCCGTTGTACCTGATGAACACAAAATGGTGGCCACATGTTCCTTCGCATCCAAATCCACAGGCTCAAAATCATCAATACAAGTATCTTTAGTGACGCCTCGAATAATATCTTCATACATTGGCAGATTATTGCTGGGCTTCTTGCCGAAAAGAATAAGATGTTCCATAAATGCGTGCTGTTGCTTCAGTTTAATCATTAGTTTAAGAGTGGACGAGGAACAAAACGCGACCTTTGGTTTGGATAAGTTCACAACATGATTTAATTCACCTAAAAACAATAAATTGGATAATATTTGAATAGAAATGAATATTTTTATATAGATTACCACTAGTGTAGTCTGGATTGAGCGGAGCAAAGATGGCGCCGATATAAAAACATGCCAGAGGGACCATGACATACTCAATACGATTTTCACTGTTGACTGTGACAGCATCACCCTTCTTCACGCCCAATTCGACTAGTTTCTTCGCCAATTTAATGGATTTGTTCAAGGCCTCAATGGCAGTCAATGTTTCACCTGATTCTGCATCAATCTAAACAATAAAAACAAGTTTAAAACTGATTTATCAACAAATTTATGTGATTTACCTGTATAACTTTATCTCCATGCATCTCAAGGAGTAGCTTCTGCACATGTCCAAGACTCTCCTCAATTCCAAACTCGATCTCATCCCCCACAACAACATTGTCTTTTGTTAAATGCATGTTTGAACTGCTACAAAACCAATTTGTAATGAACAATTGAACAACGATTTGTTCAAGTTGAGAGTAATGATTAATAACTGTTATCTCGAATGAAATAAACGCTGTGTAACGGTGTAACTTAGGAATAATCTACAGACTACAACTGAATTATTCCCAACGTTATCACTGTAGTCGTGTATTGTGATACCACGCATAATTTGTGAATATACATTAGTTTTCTATGAAAAACGAATAGGTTATGAATATAGCTTAAAAACTTACCTAGTAGACTTAAGATTTGACTTATTAAAAGTAACACAACTAACGGTAGACGAATATTGATGAAATTAGACGTGTTGGAGGTCGTATCCGATTGTTACTGAGCCACTCGAGTGTCTGAGTGGTCGAGTACGTACGGAGAGGACCTTTGATTCGCGTTTTTTAATTACTACATTGCGCGCATCATAATCACATCGTATGTCACATTTGCGCACTTGCAAACCACAATCAACTAAGAGTATGTAGTACAATTGACAGTGGACTAGCACCGGTCGCACGCATCGCACGTGTGAATAACTAACGCATGCGCAATAAATACATTACATAAGCCACAAAACATCGTCAAATGAGTTGCCTACCTGTTAATAGTAAGTTTCTCGTTGAAAATATCCAGTTGGATTATTCCGAATGCAAAACTTACGTAACTCATCAAAGAGAACAATTAATGCTGAGAATGGAAGCGGATAGAGCCACCTATAATAAATTATTAATAATATTATTAATCAAAATGTATAAAAATTAATAAATACCATCTAAATTTCACAGGATAAAACTTCAAATAGCTCATGTACGGTGTATACGCCAAGAAAACAGTGATAACTGTCTCAATAACAATGGACATGTTCAATATCCAATTACCCATACCTTTAAAACCAATATAAATAATAAGATATAAATAATAATTAGTAAAAACTAATCTACCTTGAACAATAATTGAATTATACCGTGTTTTACACGCTATAATATCACCCCATTGACAGATCACCACCGCAATTAAATAAGCTGTTGAACAAGTGTATTCCAACTTTTTCCTTTCCAAATACGTCCATTGTTGACCATAAGAATCCTCCAAATCGTTAATGTAATACGCGTCCCATTCACGCCGTAGTCCTAAATATTTTTATCATTGAATAATTCTAATTTTAAACAATATTTTATACTATACACACCAACAAGACGGTCCGGTTTAAACCCAAACTCATTCATAATACAAAAATAAACAAACAGCCCGGCAAACGCTTCAATTACACCAATATGTCCATAGGCAAGAAAATACAACCGAAATGTAACCAGATTATCCTTGTTTGGATTCCTTGGAGGTCGTAGCATGATATTACTCTCTGCGCGTTCATATGCCATGCTAATCGCCGGCATCATATCAGTCAAGATGTCAATTGATAACACAGCTAACACAGTCAATGGTAGTGGTATGTTCATAACAATAAACAATAAAACGGAAGGAGTTCAGGGATATTCGACGCTAGAGTATACACAATACTCTTTTTTAAATTATCAAAGATCTTCCTGCCTTCTTCTATACCTGTGATAATCGATGCAAAGTTGTCATCCAACAGGACCATATCAGCTGATTGTTGCGACACTTCCGAACCGGAAATACCCATTGCAACACCGATATCAGCCTTTTTTAATGCCGGCGCATCATTTACACCGTCACCAGTGACAGCTACAATTTTCCCCAGACGTTGTAAACCTTCGACGATTTGCAGTTTCTGTGTTGGTGATGTCCTGGCAAAAACAATTTCTTTATAACTGTATAAAATCTCGTCGAGTTCATCCGGTGACATTTCCTTTAAAGTTGTTCCGGTTACCACAATATGCGAGGGTTGGATAGCGATGAGTTTACGCGTATCTTCGTCGATTTCCACAGAGATTATACCTACTTGTTTAGCAATGGCTTCCGCTGTTACCGGATGATCACCAGTCACCATTATTACTTTTATCCCGGCTGTGCGACATTTCTCAACTGCGTCGTGTACTGTAGGCCGTGGTGGATCAACAAGTGAGATGAATCCGACAAAACGTAGCCCGGTAAGTGGAAAATTTGGTTGTGGATCAACTGTGAATGGAAATTCAACTGGATATTCATCATTGTTGAGAATAAGATCAGCAAATCCAAGGACGCGTTCACCTCGTGCTGCTAGTTCCATGCACGCTTGGTTGCAGATATCAATTTGTTCAGAGGTTATTTCTATTGTACTACCATTCCAATAAATATCAGTGCATTTTTCTAGAATACGTTCTGGTGCACCTTTCATTACGAGCAAAACCTGTTCGCCAAAGTAATGCGCACTTACTTGATACTTTGTGACTGAACTGAAGGGTATTTCGATGAGTTTATGATGTCCGAGGCGATAATGTGTAGGCGAGCCGTGCGCCCGCGTGAGTTCCACAAATCTCAAAATGGCCGCCTCGCTCGCATCGCCATTTACCTCACGTTGTAATATAGGCTTCCGGTGATCTCTTCGAAACTCCGCTCGATTGCACAGCGTTGCGATGCGCATCAATGACATGAACCCTTCATCTTCTTTACGATTGTATCGGCGTGCATCATACTGATCAGAACTGGTATCCGCAATTATAGATTTATTATTATACCATAAATGACAGACTGTCATTTTGTTTTGTGTAAGAGTACCGGTTTTATCCGAACAAATCACCGAAGTACTCCCGAGAGTTTCAACAGCTTCCAGATTTTTAACCAAACAATTCTTGGCGGCCATCTTTTTCGCTGTCACTGTTAGTGAAACAGTTACTGTTGCTAATAAACCTTCCGGAACATTAGCGACAATAATACCAATAATAAACAAAACCGAATCTATCCAATTGTAGCCCATCCATACTGAAGCTATACCAAAAACAACCCCGACAATACAAGCCCACACAGCAATTACCTTCAGAAATAATATAAAAACATTTACAAAAATAAATAAAAGAAAATTACATTTACCTTCATAAATCGATGTAATTCTCTCGCAATTGGCGTTGCCGATGGCTGCAACCGCGCAGTCAAACCAGCAATCCTCCCCATAACTGTCAAATCGCCTGTCATAACCACAATCCCAGTGGCAGTGCCCTCTACCGCGTTGGTTGAAAAGAAAGCAATATTACGCGTCTCCAGATAATTATCACTCGTACATTTAGTCGTTCGCAACAACGCTTCGTTTTCACCGGTTATCGAAGAATTATCCACTTTGAATCCTTGCGATTTCACAATGCGCACATCCGCTGGGATTCTATCACCGAATTTAATCTCTACCAGATCACCTATGACTAATTCAGAGACATTTACACGTACACTGTGGCCATCACGAATGGCGTTGGCTATTTGTGGAATCATATTTGCAAAAGAATCCATTATCTATTTAAAATTTTACCCATAACTTAAAAATTAGTAAGTTTTTTCGGGTTAAACTCACCTTGGAACTTTTACGTTGTTGAACATACATAAAAATACCAGTTAATAGAATAATTGTTATCAGGACAAACGCTAATATTAAATTATCCATGTCAATTTTGTTTTTGTTGATGTATTCGATGAAGACTGCAATGAAACATAGAACGGTACCGATCCACAGGAGTAAAGAGAATCCCTGTGTTATCAGCTTGATGAATTTTATACATTCGGGGTCTTGTCGTGATGGTGTAAGGGCATTGGGACCATTCTGAATTAGGCGGTCAGCGGCTAGTTTCTTCGAAATACCGCGTTCCGGATTGGTATCAAACCGGCGACACAAATCCTCCAGCGGAATCGTGTGACAATCAGTGACGACTTCTTTTTTAAACTGTTCCACACGCGCGGTGCTCTCACGATATGTTTTTTTGGGTGCCATTTTTAAAATACAATAAAATACAAAACTGACAGAAAATATGTCAGTATATAAATAAATATTAATAATTGTTTTATAACTAAGTGGAAAATACCGGTATTTTGATTTTTTAAATACCTAAAACCGGTATTAGACTACGAGTAAAAATCCCAAAGTAATCTAACATCTGGGCGATGTGGATGTTGATGTAGATGTCATTTTGGGCGCCATTTTTAAAATACAATACTGACAGAAAATATGTCAGTATTTAAATAAATAATAACAATTGTTTTATAACTAAGTGGAAAATACCGGTATTTTAATTAAAAAAATACCTAAAACCGGTATTAGACTAAAAATCCCAAAGTAATCTAACATCTGGGCGATGTGAATGTGGATGTTGATGTAGATGGCTTTTTGGGATCATTGGGTTCCGTGGAATACCTTCGCTGGGGGCAATTTTTTTGTGCTACCACGCCGCGCCGGACAAAACACACGCCATCCCACTTCCACCAACTCTCCACTCTCTCAACTTCTCACTTCTTCTTTTTTTTTCATGCCACCTTTGTATGGGGTCCGTTTTTAATGGGGGCCCAGCCGCAGTCGACCAAACCACTCGTCACGCCCTCCACTCGAATCTCTCACAATACTCCTCGCAGGGCTTCCAATGGGCCGCATACATAACATGTGTGTTTTCGTTTTTTTCGTTCATAATTTGTGGCTGAGAAAAAATACTCGCCCGCCGACTGGTGATTCACGTCTTTACTCTTCACTCATTCAGTGAGTGCGGCTCTTCAGTACCAGTCGAACGAACAAATCAGTTAGTTATTTACAATTGGATAGTCAACATAGTCACACGTGGTGAGTACGCATGCGCCATTTGATTACAATGCAATTACAGCGCAAAGTTTGCGGTGTAATCGAGAAACGCTGAACTCTAAGGTCACACATTCGACTTATTACTGCTTTTTCTAACTCGCCATGTTATCGAAAGTCACCAAAGACAAGAAAGTACTTAAATTATCACACACTCACGTAAATTGTAAATTACATTTTACATTTCTCTAATTAAATTAATTATTTTGGTGGATTTTGTAACTTACTTTGAATAAATTACACATACACAATTTATTTTATTTTTAGCAGCGTGTAACCAAAACATCACTGCGATTGCCAGTGACTATCTCAATTTTTTGCTGATAAAGGTGTGATTCTAGCAACATTGATATCGCCAGCATTTAAATTGAACGCAGTTTTCCTTCATAATAAAAATAAATAAAATTCCACTCGACAAAGAACGTTAAACATATTTATCAAAGCGCGAATGCGAATTTACGTCAGCATCCACTACAAACAACAAATTATTTATAGTTACATTTACTTACAATTGGATCGGCATCCAATTCAGCCTTCGTTGCGTTACCACCCGCGGTCGTTTTAATTTTATATCGCTTCCACGCTTACCGCGGCAAACAGACCACCGCGACCTTCGGACTCAGGGGGTCCCATTATATATTTTTCTACCTGTGTGGTAGAAAGAAGCCTATTGTAGCCACACGTATGACTTCGGAGTCTTCTTCGGAATACATTTACGCGGTGATAAGAGCGCGTGTTTTGCATCGAAACCGGTTTCGGGGTCGCGCGCCGCTCTTATCGCCGGTTATCGTCGGCGGCGGCGACCCCCGTGCTCTAAAAATCATTCGCCGCGCCAGTAATAACCAGTTTGCGCCGCCAACTCGGAGCCCCCCTCGAACCGGACACCATGTTGTTCTGTCCAAGGGGACATAATCCACTCCACGCTTATCATTCATATATAAACTCACTCAAATACTGCTCATGCAGCATCAGTAAAGTAGACTTACGCGAATCATCATCGAACATGTTACTCTGTGATCACAGGATGGTGGAAGGAAGTCCATTGCGGTACACCTACGATAATTCCTATCAACCGGATAAGACTTGTAGTTTATTCCGGCCGTATTTGCAAGTACATCACACCAACGATTATTATCCATACGTGCAGGAGGATATACTAGGCCATACAAATGTAAATTGCACAATCTTACACAACATAAAAACAAAATGGCTGACGCATTTTTTTTGCTTTAAATTTGCAGATGAGCGACAGCGAAGGTTCGATATCAAGCGCATCTAGCCTAGACTCACCGAAAGAAAAGTCTCTCAAGTGCTGCTGGCGTAACTGCGGGATAAACTTCGTCACATTAGACCAGCTTGCAGCTCACGTTGGGAAGGTACACGGTGCAAGCGGACCTGCAGGACTCTTCTACTGTGGATGGGAAGGATGTACACGTAATGACCGCGCGTTCAATGCAAGGTAATTGAAATCATTCACACCACCAGCACAATATAAACTAAAAAATAAATATTACAGGTATAAAATGTTAGTTCACGTTCGGACGCATACAAATGAAAAACCTCACCAGTGTTATCAATGCGACAAGTCATTCTCGCGTGCGGAGAATTTAAAAATTCATATTCGGTCGCACAGCGGTGAAAAACCCTACGCATGCCCAGTGCCCGGATGCAATAAGGCTTACTCCAACTCCAGCGATCGTTTTAAACACACACGTACCCACCAAGATGATAAACCCTACCCGTGTAAGGTGCCTGGATGTTCAAAACGCTACACCGACCCGAGTAGTCTACGAAAACATGTAAAACGTACAAGCATTACGCGACAGAAAATCTGCAAATGGCTGCCGTCAATGACAAGCACCACGGCCAGTCGGAGTATGCGTACAAGGAAAATTATACATGGAGCGGTATGATTGGCCGATACGAGATGGACATTGACACGCCGCTGGATTTAAGCATTTCGCGAAAAACTTAAATTATTTATGCATCAAAACTGGTTAATAATGACTGATATAACCTAGCTTTAAATCGTACTGAGTATTATACGAGTTGTTGTGTTGTTTGTTTGTTGTTTTCAAATATTGTGATAATAAAAGTAGTAAATTTATTTATTTTTCGTACCACAATTCAATTACGTAGTAATTGATTCATACCTTCAGTGATGACCTTCAAATCACCCAAGTCTTGATTGGCGATTGATATTAAATGAGCAATACCACGCTGTTGCATAAGAAGAAACTGTTTGAGTTCCTCTTGGCCGTCGGGGTCGATCTTATACACTTCGTTTTTGTTGCCGTACGGTTGTTTGATGTTATCTTGACAATACGAGTCGATTTTTAACGTGCTCAACATTTCATTGATTTTACCCTGGATAAATAAATATTTTATGAATAAAATTTCAAAAAAAGTTAATCACTCTTACCCTAAACTGTGTGGGCATGTTAAGATGTGTGTACATCATCTCCAAGCGTCCTTTAAGTATTTCTTCTTCTGGTTGTAACACCAAACCAATTTTACGCGTGCATTCCTGCTTGACTAATATCTATACAACACATGGTTATGTTATACATGTAATACTGGTTGCCTAACTAACTAAAATCCCAACTAACCTTTAATACTCGATGTTGCAGCTGCAGAAACTTTTGTTTCTGCTCCGCAATCTGCGCCAAAGATGCAGCATGTTTCTTTTTCAATTCCACAATCTCTTTATTGACTTTCGTTAAGAAACCCTGATGCAATCCGGTCTCAAACTCCTCGCACAGCATACGTTTTTTCAGGTTAGCAAAACCCATGATTGGCATCGGTAGATACTTACTAGGCAATGGATTATCAATCTGCGCAGCCTTCCACAACTGCTCATCAATACCAGGCGGTGGTTCCTTGAGATACTCTTCGAGCTGTGCTTTCGATGGTGCAACATAAGCGCTAATCGCAGATACACCAGCACCGGTCAATTGCTGTTTCTGTGCGGTTTGATTAAAATACGCAGCTAGATCAGCCGCTTGAATCTTCCTGCTTGTACCAGTCACACCTTTCTCACTAACAGTGATCATCATTTCGCTTTCTGTGTCTGTCACTGCTTTGATGTGAATAATATTCACCGTGAGATTCGGTTTATTGCCGAGAACACCGTTCAAACCGTTGATTATACTCTGTTTCATACCACTTTTAATAAAATTTAATTAATTTTAAGGTTAAGCATGTAAATCATTATAGGTTATGTCAATACTAACCTCAATTCACTTTCTTTTTTGTTGAAAACCAACTTAACATAACCATCAGCGTTGTCCATAGTTGGTATGACAACATAACTGATGGCTTTGAACCTGTAGAAAGGATTACAAGTATCGTACTCAACCGGTGGCGCTTGCGCAGAGTAAAAACCCTTCCCTGTACCCCAACATGCTTGCAGAATGTTCCATTTTTTAAGTATGTCATCCCTCTCGTCGCCGAAAACATTAATAGCATAAAATGACGCAAGGGTCTGTTGTGCCTTTACTGCATTTTGGTCCTGCGCGGGTTGTTGTGGTTGGGTACTCGTCCCAAACAACCCACCTGTACTGGTTCCACTTCCCCCGAAACCAAAACTGGGCGCTGTGCTGGTAGTACCAAAACCTCCAAAGGAAGGCGCGCTGGTGGCTGGTTTAAACCCACCGAAACCACTGGTACCTAATGTATTACTACCTGTACCAAATAGGCTAGTAGGTGCAGCAGTCCCGAAAACACTCGATTGTGTAGTTGCAGGTGCTCCAAATGAAGTTCCAAAACCAGGAGCTGTACCAGTTGTAGTCGAACCAAATAGAGACGGGGCTTGTGTTGTTTGTGTAGTTGGCGCACCGAATAAAGATGGCTGCGCTTGGCCAGTCTGGGCGCCGGAGGAGAAAAGGGATGGCGTTTGTGTACTACCAAAAAGTGGTTTACTTACGGCTGGTGTACCGAAGAGGTTAGCAGTAGAAGCAGCTGGTGTACCAAAAGAAGAAAACAAAGTAGGTGCTGGGGTGGATGTTGCTGTTGATCCAAAACCACCAAAAGATTGATTAGCAGCAGGGGCTCCGAAGGTGGTTCCGGTTGTGCCGAAGCCCGTGGATTGAGCTGGAGTCCCAAAACCCAGCCGGGGTTGTGACTGTGTCGATGGTGTTCCAAAATTTAAAGGTGTACCAAAACCAGTAGCTGAAAATTTAAAATAATTACAATTTTAAAAGAATAAATTTATCCCTACTAATATTATAAATGCGAAAGTCCTGATGTTTGTTACACTTTCACGCAAAAACTACTCAACCGATCATCATGAAAATTTCTACACATATTCTAAGTGGTCCCCGAATGGTTATAGGCTACTTTTTATTTAATAAAAAAATTATTTTTTAAATAAAATAAAGAAATAGTTTAGCCAATAATACCTCTGCATCTGGCTATTTGACTACTTTAACGCCATCTAGCATTCCAGCAATGAAGCTCAAACCTAAGTACTATAGTACCATCACACTGTATTATCACACGGTATTACCGACAGCTACGTCAACATCAAATCCAATTGATTACACTGTGGAGACTGTACACTATACTTCCATAGACTATACTTTCAGCCATTTTAAACTTCCCGCCATTCTACTTCATTGTTACTTCTTCTGAGACTACAGACGCGTACGGAAGCAACTTCATTATTTTCGATATTCGCGAGCGAAGCCAAGGGTTAAAGCTAGTAAAGAATAAAAATATTTAACTTGTCAAAGTTTAAAACATCAAATAAACAAATGTCACGCATATCTTGTCATTGTTATTGTAAGATATTCTCAACTTCTCTCACTTATCGTTCGTATCACGCCGAGAACACAACTAGAATCAAAAGTAAACAAAATGGCGGCTTACCATGAACACGTTGACCATGTAAATATCACAAAATCATTAAATTTACACATTTACAACTTATTTTACATAATTTTACTCCCCCAGAACATAAAGGCAATTACCCAACCGCCGTTTGTGTACCCTTCAAGGGCCCCACAACGCATGACCACGGTTTTATCAACACAAATACCATCAACAACTGAAATTTCAACCACAACTCAACCAATTGAAATATTGCAAGCCGTCGCATCGTCAAATGAGACATTCTTCAATGAAAACTTTACTAATTTCGATGAATACAACACTACAGTCGGTGTAATCGAACCAGAAGAATCTAAAGTAACTAATGTTACAAGAGTATTCGATTGGATGAAGCCTCCAGGTGCAAATTTAGACAATAATATACTACGAATGTCTCATCAGGATAAAAATCTGTTGCCTGATGATAGATACCGCGCAGATTACACATTATACATCATCCTTGGCTCGATTCTTGCTGTATTGATTATTCTCACCATTGTTACAATTATGCTATATAAAGCATACAAGTCAAAGGATCAGTACAGTTTAACTTCAAGAGGAAATCGCGTGCGGGTTTTCGGATTTCCTCATGAAGAAGCCACCACTTCACGCGGAGACGACCATGAAGTCGTTGATTTTGATAAGGATAGTTATAGATTTTAGTTATACATTGATCTAATCAATCTTTCTGTTAATAATAAACCATTTTTTGCATAAACATGCGTGATTTTGAATCCAAACAAATGAATAACTTGTTTAACCTCAAAAAGTACTCACGTTTGTTCGGTGTATTGAAAGTGTTCTGTGCGCCAAACATCCTCACTGTTTTTAAGTTACTACAAACGTAATTATAAATTAATCGGTACACATGTGTTTTAGTTATTGTTCTAGTATCTATCACGTTGTAATTTGAGTAAAATTTTTAGAGATTTGTGACATCAACAAGTTTTGTTTTGTGTGGAAACGGCGCACAAGCAGTTTGCGGTCTAAATAAATACGAAAAGTGCATCGCAGCGACATCTATCAGACAATTATGAAACTAATTCACAAACATCTGTGCCAGTCACGATAAATATCTTTGAATATCGCATGAATTGAACGCAAATAAATCTATTACTCTTATTCTTAAATCTATTATTTCTGATATCACACATTCGTTTCAATTATTGCTTCCACATTTCGTATTAATGTTAATATAACAAAGAAAACACTCGTAAAATAAATAAAGAATTCTCTTCCTCACGACACGCTTGGTACAACAATATCAATCTCTGGATTGAACGCATTGATTGCAACAGTCACGCTGGATCGAGTCAAATTATCCAGCGCGAACATCCAATGCGGTTTTATCTGGTGACTTCGTAAAACTTCTGTAACAACCGACTGATAGACACAAATAGCGAATTGCAGCTGCATGATGGCTTCCTGATCGAAATCGAATTCACTCTTCAATTGATTGACGGCTTGTTCAATTGCTTGCGATGGTTGATTGGGACGTTCGTTCAAATTCTCCTTGAGCGCTGTCATTAAAATCTCCAGATGTTTCTTGGTAAGAATTAACGTTTTTTCTTTGATTTCGCTTTCGATGCGTTGCATCCACAACTCAGTGATTTTCGTCTCGTCCTGTGTGAGGACTTTGGTAAGTGTCAGACGGCGTTGTGAGTCTTTTTTCAACATGTAAAAACCGTCAGTTTCGCCATTTTCATCCACTTCCGGTGAGAGAAGTGTACCTTGCGAGTTGCGGCGTGTGCAGTCTTGTTCATTCTCTAAATCAATAGACGGAGTTGATGCAAGACTGAAATTTTAAAATATTTTATCAATAAAAAGAATAAACATGAAAAAAACATGAAAAACATTTAAAACAAACAAAAGCAGATTAATTTACATTGAAAACCATGGTCATCTAGTGCTAATCATCGAAATAATTTAGAATTTAGTGCAACTGTTACCTGTTCATTGATAGCAAACTGGGACTGGGTATATGAATGGGTTGTAAAAAGTGCCTTCGACTTTCCGAGCTGCAAACACATGAATAAACCAAATAGAAACCAAAAATAACTCAGAATCGAAACAAATCAATATATACCACGAGTAGACAAAGGTCCAATTGTCTGAATAACCTTTTGTAAACATTGTCGTGTTCACAACCAAAACCAAAACACAAATAATATTCAATTCATGCACTTGTCATGTAAAACCGATAAGAAATGTAATGTAAACAGCGGCAATCATCAACATAACCTCAACTATTTGAATTTACAACCATATTTCTGCCAAAACAAAATAAAACAAAACACAAATCAACATAAATTTTAATAAAACACTTACTCTGCTGATTCAGGTGATGTTGGCGTCTGGTTAGCACTGCATGACTTCCCGGAAATCGGCGGTTTTCCCACAACTCTATCCGCAGGCATGGAAACACTGCGATTAAACTCCGCATTTAATCTCACCGACTTTTTCCGGTCGCCTAGGAAAGGATCTTCGAGTAATTGCTGCGCGGTGGAACGCTTTTCCGGATCAGGTTCAAAACACCTCAAAATAAACGTCTTTGCTCTTTCAGACATCTCCGCCGGTACCTGTGGATGAGCCTTGTAATACCCAACTTTAAAAACCGCGGCTTGCGGTGATCCTAACTCAATAAACGGCGGTTTCCCAGTCGCCATTTCCACGACAGTACAGCCCAACGACCAGATATCAGCCGGCGCACCGTACCCTCTTTGACCTTTGTCGATTACCTCCGGTGCCATGTACTGTAACGTCCCGGCGAAGGTTTCCGTGGATGGACACAACCCAGCCAGACGTTTCGACGTACCAAAATCGGAAATTTTCACCACTCCACTGTAAGTATTGACCAAAACATTGTCACCTTTAATATCGCGATGGACAATATTCTGGTCATGCAAATACTTCAATCCTTCAAGGATCTGTTTCGTGTAGAACGCGATTGTTTGCTCGCTATTCTTGAGAGGACCCCAATTTGTACGTACCAAGGCACTGAGTGACCCACCTGGGACTTGCTCCATGAAAATCTTAAAGAAATTATCCTCGGATAATGATCCCAAGTATTGTACAATATTTCTATGACGTAGTTGTGAATGTAGACGGATTTCTTCGTGCAGCGGTTGGACTGCACCGAGATTCTTCTCCGGCACTTCCTTCACGGCGATTCGCACTTGCGTATTGAGATCCCTAGCAGCATAAACGATACCATAGGTACCTTTACCTAAAACTTTCCGCTTGCCTTGCTCATCCTTCTCGTATTCGTATTTAATATCACTTGAAGTTTCAAGTTCCATTAAACCGCCGCCATCTTTGTCGGATGTCAAGGTCGAGATGAGGTCATAGAACTTTTGTCGGCACTTCTCCGACGGAAGAAAGATCTGAAAGTCATCAGAGTTCTGATGGACGTATAAAAAGAGACACCGTTCGTCCCGCTTGTAGAAACTAACGCTACGGATCATATCAGGCACGAATTCCCATGAATGGATTTGTGTGCAGTCATTTCGTAGAGATTTAAGGCAGACATTCGTGATTTGCAGTGTTGGTTGATCAGCGCCTAAATTTACACAAACGTAAGTAGGCATTAACTCTTTGGATGATTCTAGAACCAACGCAGGCAGACGTATGGCTTCATCCGAAGGATCTTTAGTCGCTTCCAAGAAAAACTCCATCCAAAAATGAAAGATTTGTTCTTCAGGCGTGTGATCCTCTTCTTTTCTTTTGGTACTAAACCTATCTATAAGCTGAATATTCCCCACGGTGCTCTTCAGATACCAATCGGGAGGTTTTATACGAAACATGCACTCAGCAGCTTGAATTGCCTTGGTATATTGCTCAACCAAGACAGAAATCTCAAAAAACGTAGCTACATCCCAATAATCCTGCAGGGAATTCAAACTTCCCTTCTTACCTATCAAATTATTAAGCACCATACCAATGCGTTGTAATTCTTCGCAGTCTTTTATATCTGCGCCCCCAATTACCAGCAAAGTAGCGAGGTTTATACCTGCGTAGATATTCGGTTGGTCTTCGAATCCTTTCCTGTACCAATGCGTGGCTTGCTCCAGACTGTTTTTATCCGTGTGGTCACTCTCAATGAATTTATCCTTGTAAATCCGCCCGCAGAGACAGACCATATCAGGAAAGTGGTTCTCCTTTTTCTCCAGGGCTTTTATACACACCTGAAGGGCTTTCTCACGATCACCTGGATTCTTACGTCGATTGAGAGCGAATGCATACCAGAATTGTATGTATGAGTTGATGAATTTACGTGAGTTTGGTATTGAGTGTAGGTCATCGACTAGTTGCACCATGGCGTCGTAATCTTGTTCATCACGGAAGTAGAATAACATTGTGAGAACCACATCACCGGAGAGGACGTTGGGATCATCAAGACGTTTACGGATATTATGTAGGGCGTGTTTTAATTCAGCGCCGCTCTTCTGATCGCGCAGTTTTTTCAAATCGGAGAGGAATTTATCTTTCATATAAGCTCTGTCAAAATTAAATTAGAGGTTATGTTGTACATTTTTGAAGGTTATATCTATAACCTAACTTACTTGCACTGAATTTCGACATCTTGTAGCAATTTCTTCAGCCTGTGTTGTAATAATTCCACACTTTCATCGTTTTTAAAACCTACAGATGTTGTCAAACAAGTCTGGTCCTCTTCTGATAGAGAATAAGACACAAAAGTGTAATTCCCACTAGATAATTTCACGCGTAGCGTTGTCTGTTGATCCACATCATTATAAAGCAATATATTCATCTTCATATTGCAAGATTCCCGAACTCCGAGATGATAGAATAGTGTACTTTGTTGAGTTGCAAGTGAAACATCGACAATTGCAACATCAGCGGTGTAAATGCCGCTTATTTCATCCGATTCACCAAAATCTAACTTTTCAAACTGAAAATACACATGAAATTCACTTTATTTGCTTGCTTATGTTTTATATTTACCTGTATATGATGTAAATTAGCGCCTAGATTCTCACAAACAAGTTTAACTTCTTCAAAGGCTTTCTTTCGGTGTGCAAGTTGGTGCGTTTCGTTGATGTCTATCACACAGACGACGTCCATTTGCGGACGGGTGCTTACTGTGCTGATTGTGCTGCTTGAAGGCAGTGCGTGGGCGGTGGCGGAGAGATCACTGAAGGAACTCATGCTGTCGATGCTTTTACAGTCTAAAACAAATTAAAAGTTTAGAAAAATGCGTGTAAATTTTGACATTTGACATCCAGACATCCAGAAAAAGTTTTAATTTTATCAGTTACACTTAAAATTAATAAATTTGTACTTGGAAGTCAATATATTCATACGAATGTATTGTTTTCTTGAATAATTAATGATTGACTAGTTAAAGTTCACTAGAAATCACATCCTGCGTGACTTTTCGTATAAATATCATGATTGTCAACTGTTTTACGAAATGTTTGTAAATTTTGACATATGACAACTTTCCGAAAGATTTTTACACTTAACTCTTGATATTTACACATTATTAACTAATTTTTAATATAATTTTACTAGAATTAACGTGCTGGATGATATTTTTGATTATTTTCGTATTAAATGTCAAATATTGCTTGTTTATTGTTTGTTACTCACCGATATCAGCCTCGGGCACGGCTAAGTGTGGCATGATGGCACAGTGGCACTAAAAATAAACACAGACGACGGGAAATTCGTCGAAACGATGGCAACTTATGTAACGTCGCAGCGGGTCCAAGCGCGTAGGCGTTGATTGTGCAGGACTGTGCAGACGGACAGAAGACGAGCGTGATTGTCGCATGTTTTGCACCGCGACACGTGAAATTGAAATCGAAAGCGAAACGATTTCGATCACCGTGTCCACTGCACTGCTGCACCAAAGCAGTGGTGGTGGTGGTGGTGCTGTCCGCGTTTCTCTGGCGACGTGACTGCGAAAGATTTCCGTTCCGCGAGTAGTGTGTTATTTTTATTCGATTTTATGTTGCGTGGTGTCGGCTCAAGGTCACGACGTACGCCGCGTTGTTTGAATCAAATGTTTGTTTGTTTGGCGAATTGTACGCGCCGCGTGAGCGGTTGCCTGGATAGATTGTTGTGGGTCGATTGAATGTTTAACAATGCGATAAATCTGCGATTAATAAGGTGCGCCGTGTTCGTGTGCGTGGGCGGGTCGCACAAACATACAAATCACGGCACGGCGACAACTGCGACTCGCCTCGGGATTTAACTGTCGTAAAACGCCTGCATAATCTGGTTTTATAATGATTTCAGACATTTTTATGTGTAATTAACGTAGGAATCTTTGTTTGAACTGAAATCAAGATGAATAATCTTATCTTACACGTGAATTTGCGATTTTGAGATGCGCAGAATGCGTAAATCTATGTTTTAACATAGGCAACCATTAATACACCATCGGCCATTACAAAACTTTTAAAAATTAGTGTATAACGGGTTGCCTATGTTAAAACCACGTTTAACTTGTATTCGTTTGGTTTTTTCGTTATCAAAAATCGTGTTTGAAACTTTATAGTCTAATCACGCTGATATTCCTGTTGTTCCGGAACACATTGCCACACACAATTGGCGTACTCTTATCATTTCCACCAACTGGTTTTCACAGTTTGCTTCAATAAGTTGCAACAGTTACAAGTTAAATTAACCGAACTATTTGAAAAATTCGCTCAGACGTAAGAATTTATTGTAAAAACACGCACACGTGGGTGTATATTTAGTTAAAATGGATTTAAAAGGTAACGTGATAATATTTAATCAAAACGACCTTCACACTTGCCCTTGTGGCAGGTATTTGTATTAAACCCATACGAAACTAAATTAAAACAAAATGAAAAACAGCATTCAGTCATAAAAATTTGAACGTTTTTCACACGTCACGCGTTAATCAATTGTCCATTGTAGCGGAAAATAAATGTTTATAACCCAGTTGCAAGTGTTTGCATCGTTTAAATCAATCACAACAAATCGGTTATTCAATATTTTGAAGGTTAACTTCCCACACACCAATCGCGCGACTGTCAAAAAACAGTCGTCGTTCGTTTGTTTGACAACGTTAACAATGCAATCAAGTCGCGAGCAGCGCAGCGTCTACAACTGCAACAAATCCTTGTAATTTGCCATCGTTACACGCGCGCCGCTTAAAGAATCGCCATTAATAACTGCTATCACACGCTGATTTCGTACAGTAAACAACCTGCAAGCGACGACGCCTGGATAAAATGTAACAATTCCCAGACAGTAAAAACGTAGGTATAATTGATTACAATTTGAAACGCTGCGCTTGCAACATTTATAATCATATCTATAAACATTGTTTGTGTAATTAATACGTATACAACGACTAATCAGCCATTGCGGTTGTCATTTCATCCATTGCTGTAGTTTGACAGTGAACAGAAACAAGTGTTGTTTATTTTAAAGATGGTAACTGAAAAATTCCTCGTCATGATCGCGTCGGAGGCTTTTATCGCTGATAACTCGTAAACGCGATGCCATACAGTAAATATCCACGCATGAATCTATTCACAATTAAATTCTACATTTAATACATCATAAATTTATAGAAATACTTGTCTGGGTCAAAAGTTATGCGCTAATTTTGTTTGGTAGGTGATGGAGGATAGTCTGAGCGTGAAATCGAACGAATCTGTGGCCACAAGCGACGAGTTTGACTTCGTCTACGACAAGTGGGAGAAGGATAAGACCTGTGGTGATCAAGCTTCGGCTGTGGCAAGCAGGACGCCGACGACGCCGACGCTGGCAGTCACCGGCGGCGACGTTTCGTCGCTAGCGCACGCCATGACAGAAGTCCTGCGGGAGAACGATGATGCTGGAGAGTGTAAAGTAGGCCAGTCCATGTTTTACATCTCGCAGGGACTCACACCTACGGAGAAACAGGACGCGATGAAACCGGATTATGAATTTGAGGAGGAAGATGAAGGTATTTTTTAAATTCAAAATATTTTATTAATTTTTGATGTTTTTATAATTTTAGTCTCAGATGTTGATCAAGATTGTACCATTTTCAATGGTATTAAGTATCTGGGAGCTGCGAATATCATCGCGCCGAAGTGCGACGATGAAATTCAGCGGAACATCGCCATTTTGAATGAGCAATCGGCTGAGAACGGTATTAAAGTGTCTGTTTCAGTGCCATCGTCCTCACAGGGACTTGTCGTGTAAGTTTACAACAAAAATCACTATTTTTGTTTATTTTTCATTAATTTATTTAAATTTCTTTGAAGTTTATACGATGCTTCAACGAATTCGGTGATTGCTCGTTATGAAATCCACCGCATCTTGTATTTCTGCGCCGGGGTGATTAAAACAGCCGAAGCCAGTTGTTTCGCGTTCACGTGGTCGCATGGCGATACCCTGGAGGCGACCATCTTTCAATGTCACGTCTTTCGGTGTGATATCGCCGAAGCAGTCCCGCGGGTTTCCGGGTGTTTCGTGAAGGCGTTCGAGCGTGCAGTCGCCGCAACACGATCCATGACCTCATCGATTATATCCAGCACGGATAATATGTCGGCTTCCTGTACGACTTTATCAGAAGCACGGCATGTTATGTATGTTTTTGAGGTTAATTTAGAGATTAAGGAGGATGATGGACGTGTAAGTGTTTTATTATTACTTTTTTTCATTTAGGGATTAAATATAATTATTTATGTTTTTTTATTATCAGGGTTATGCTACTGTAGCAAAAGACCGTAGTGGTTTCCGCCTGCGTTGTAATCTCGACAAGCAGATTTGTCTAAACATCAAACAAGTATCGGATGAAGGACAAATCCTGCACATTGAGCGCTGTTTCGGTGTCCTGCTAGCGCCCGGCCGCCATTTGCGCAGTTCCGACATGCAGTTGCTCGAAATGATCGAAACTTCTGTACCCAGTGGTAATAAAAACACATGCGCTGTATCCGCCTGCTGGGACGCATCAGAAGATGCATTTGCTGCATTAAACGTCGAAAGTCCCAAAGATGGCCGCCAGTATATGACCATCGCTATAGATTTAGTCATCCGAGGTATACAGGAACCTGTACGGTTCCACATTGAAACGCCTGTGAAGATATGCAACCAAAATGACAGGTTTTGGTTGTTTCAAAAGCGCGGATTAGTACAACAGTTCTTTTTGAATTTAAAAGAAGTATGTATCAACCAAACACATAGTATAATAATAATATTAATATTTTAACCTTGTTTGTTGTTTGTTATCAGACGATAAACGAAAATGCTGACGTCATTTACGAAGTCGTCGGGATGGAAACCTCCGGCGAGTTGGACCGCAACCGCCTGAATCTCACCCTGAATCTATCCGGACTCATCAATTCACCGAGTATCACATCCCTGGATACAATGACACCGAAAGATGAGTATCTCTCCGACGGGGATGAGCCGTTATTGAGTGGTACTGGTTTAGTATCCAAGGATTGTCCGGATGATGTGCTTGGTTTATGGGGTGATGTCCTCAACAAATGGAACACGACAAATCAACGCCCTAAACAGTTAAGCAGTCTGGTTAAACTAGGCATACCGGAAGCTCTGCGAGGAAAAGTCTGGCAACGTTTAGCTGGAACAGATGAAAACACTCAAATGATGGAAACCTACCGGATATTAATCACCAAAGACAGTTCCTGTGAGACTGTCATTCAGCGAGACATCGCGCGCACCTTTCCTGCGCATGATTTCTTCAAACAAGTCGGCGGACTTGGACAGGATTCACTTTATAGAGTTAGCAAGGCGTATGCTGTGTATGATGTTGAGGTTGGGTACTGTCAAGGGTTAAGTTTTCTTGCTGCTACGTTGTTGTTACATGTAAGTGTTGAAAAAACAAAATGGTGGATTTTTTTTATTTGAGGTTATTTTATAGATGCCAGAAGAAGAAGCTTTCTGCGTGTTGGTGAAACTTATGTATGACTATGGCCTGCGTGATTTATACAAGGATGGTTTTGATAATTTGTATTTGCGTCTGTATCAGCTGAATAAGTTAATGGAGGAGCAAGTACCGCAGTTGTATCGGCACTTTACCGAGCATAACATTGAGACGCACATGTTTGCGTCGCAATGGTTCCTCACGCTGTTCACGGCGCGTTTTCCGCTCTTTTTTGTTTTTCATATTATTGACGTGTTTCTGCTGCAAGGCGTGGATACGCTGTTTCAAGTCGCGCTTGCGCTGTTAATGGTGAGTTTAATATAAAAATATCAACTTATTGAAAAAAATAATTATGTTTTATTTAGATGTCAAAAAAGGATTTAGTTTCGTTGGACTTTGAAGGAATATTGAAATATTTCCGTGTTTCCTTGCCGAAAAAGATTCGTACCGAGCAGTTCGCAAAGGAGTTGATTAAATACGCATGCGCTTTGAAAGTCAAAAAGTTAAAGAAGTACGAAGCGGAGTTTATCGCACTTAAAGGTATTTCCTATTTAGTTTACTTTATAACATAACCTCAACTCAAGCCTGTTTCTTTGTAACCTGCAATTGCATGTGAAGCATGAATATTTCTTTGCTACACTTTAGACTAGATCATTCTTACTTGTCGTGTTGCACAATGAGTGTATCACACTATGTAGACAGCTGGGAAAATATCATATTGGATTCAGAGGCAGATAGCATGGAGACGCAGGCGAGCGAAGTGGAGCAGCTGCGATTGGTTGTCACGCGGCAGGACGACGAGCGCAAGATGATGCTGGACGAGATCTGTCAACTCAAAGAGATGTTTAAGCGAGAAGTCGAGCAGGCAGAGAGTGTGCAGCGAGAGAACGCCGCCAGTATTGCTGATTACAAGCTGATTCGACATCGATTGGATAGTCAACTTAGTGCTGTCACCGCCGAATTGGATTTACTAAAAGTATTTAAATCAAAATTCAATTCAAAATAAATATTAATATGTTTTGTTTAGTCACAAGTTAGTAAGTGCGACGCATGCGCAAAGTATATCAATGGTAAGTGCATGTCAGAAGAAGGCGATGGCGATAACGTGCCTACAGAGAGAGTGAGAGAGCTGGAGTTTCAACTGGCGCGGGCGAAACTTGCGCAGGTTGAAGCCGAGTGTAAAAATCAGGTTGGTTGCCTAACCTATCTACAATCCCTCTGTTAATTTCTGTCATTTAGGATTTGACACATCAACTGCGCTCGACCGAGAACGAATTAAACTCTTCGAAGCGCACCTGGGGTCCATGGCTGTCAAAAACATTGACATCCATCAAAGAAGTGGCGAACAAGAAAGATTTCGCCGGTTTCCCGCAGCCTACGTTCATCTCACACGTAAATCCTACACCAACGCGTCGTGATAGCGCACCGCACTCGCTCGATTCGCGCTATCAGCCGGGTTTGCTGAAGGATTCCGCCAGTTGTAGCTCTCTCAAAACGCACAACTAACACGGTAACATGTACACATGTACTTAGTTCACATACACATTCACATACTCACAAACAAGAAACATTCCCGTGTGTTTAGTCAGGGTTTGCGCGTCCATGTTAGCAAATATGTTCAGTTTGAAGGCCCGTGCCATTTTTTTTTCAAGTCACTTATACGATATATTTATGTACACGTATTGTATGTATATGAATAGTTAGTTTGTTTGATTATTTCGCGATCAGCAGCCATGTTTTCCTTAGCGCTAGCCTAAGTATTAGGTTTTTATTTATTTTATTCTGTTGCAAATCAATCGCGTGGTTCGATTTTTTCGTTTTATTATTACATTAACAACAAAAGTATATATTTATTATATTATAGGGTCCAAAACAATATATAAATATATTGCTTTAAATGCAAAAATAAGTCTTACTAGTTTTGGTTTAGCGGAAACGACTAGAAATACCACCACCGCGACTGTCCGAATGTGAGCTGAGTGTGTCCGCCATCTTCTCGACAACATTGCAGCTGCCGTACGGTTCTTTGATGTGCACCTGGCGGCCTAACTTTTCAAAATGGCCGACGACTTCATCCGGAAACGACGGATTATGATCATCTAAATGTTTATTTCATAACCTATATTATTCCGATTTCTTTTATATTTTATGTTTACTAACCTTCAAAACCAACAGAGCCGTCGTTAAACAAGTTGAATCTGGGTATTTCCACGCCGGTAGTCACATTATTACCGGCGATAAGCAGCCCGGAGAGGACTTGGCTTGCTGTAGCGATATTATTTGCGCCGAGGATGAGTCTGCGTCCACAAACAACTTCGGCATCGGTGACGATGATTGGTACACGACTACACGCGATGTTAACCGAAGTTTTGACGTCGGTAATGTATCCAGCAGGGTTTAATTCACGCGACCCAAATAGTTGAAACATTCCCCTGCAGTTTTAAACGTTAAACTTGTAAAATATTAAGTTATGATTGCTTACGTGACTAACGAAACGTAGTTATCATCTTTATCAATAACTGCGATGTTGGACGATGTGCCTTCGTGATAATTACTCGTGATGTTCAAGTCTTCATAGAGTAATTTGGTTGTTTCGCCGATATGATAGTAATACTCAGCGTCTTGCACCGCCGCCATTTTGGTAAAGTTATTCTGACCGATGCGCTGCATATTCATTAACAGTTCCGGTCCGATAGATGGCGCATTGGGTACGCAGATATTAAACTCATTTAATTTACTGCACAGCGCTGTCGATGAGGTCGGGGTGTTTTCTAGTGTAATATAACTTCTTAAATCCTCTTCGGCGATGTCTGCGTAGCTCTGCAAAGTTTCCGCGAGTTTCGGTGTGATTTTCGCGAATTGCCCGGCTTCAAGATGGCCGTAGAGTGACTGGACATTCGCTGTATCAATCGCCAACGCTAAACTTTTCGGTATGAAAAACCCGCGCTGCGCTAACAAGATGGCGGGCTCGAGTAGTTGCCGCCAGGTCATCGACGCATGTTGCTGATGGATATATGACAAACCAATCACAAGTCGAGGTAGAATTTCAGCGATTTTTGTGTTTACATTGCGTCGGAATGTTATCACCTGTGGTGGGTCACGTGTACGATGGTTGTAAATCATAAACTGCCCTTCGCTAAACAAATAACCTCAAATTAAAAATGGCGTCCAAGTATAGGTTAAAACATGGAGAACATACGCATCTAGTCCGGTAAAATGTGGATTAACCACAGCCAAACAGAAAGCCGTCGCAATGGCGGCGTCAGCAGCATTTCCACCTTTTTTCAGGGTAGCTGTACCAATTTCCGAACATTCCCGACTGTCGCTCGCCACGCTACCGTGCGGCACAACCTAAAACCACACAAAGAAATAAAACTTCATATTAACTTTAAAATATTTATTTATTAAAGTTCTACGTGATTTCTTCTCAATGTACATTTTATATATACAGTTTGACATGTTTCGCCCTGAGGGCATCTTCATAAACTAATAAATAAATATATTCATACATAGGAGAGAAAAAAAAACACAATACATATGTATTGTTGCATGAAGATATGAAGATAGCTGTAAAAGTGACTATTCAGAGCACCGTACGAAGTTAGCAGTAAAAGTTACTCGTGTTCAGGGCACCGTACGAAGGTAGCGGTAGAAGTGACTCGATTCAGGGCACCCTACGAGGCTAGGGATAATAGTGACTTTATTCAAGGCACCGTACGAAGGTAGCGATAGATGTGACTCGATTCAGGGCACCGTACGAAGGTAGCGATAGAAGTGACTCGATTCAGGGCACCGTACGAAGCTAGTGGTAAATATACCTCGTGTTCAGTTTATGAAGATGCCCTCAGAGCGAAACATGTCAAACTCAATATATAAATTGTAAATCCAACAGAAATCACGTAAAACTTAAATAAATAAATATTTCTAAGCTATACATTGAATTACGTATATTATTCATCAATGAAACTAATAAAATTCATAATTACTTGATAATATTTACCTGATAATCGCCGTAATAGATTTGTAATAACAACGCAAAGGTAATTACAACACTAAGCACACCAAATGAGGTGCTTACAAGCCGCGACCCGCCTAGACAATCATCGCCCGAGAAACAACTGCTGCAATTCCAGCTTTTTTGACGTCCCCCAGACTTTAAAGGTATATCTTCTCTAGTTTCATGCGCTAAAAACAGCCGAAATAACATAATAATAAACGCGGTGTAAATATTTACTTACAAGCGTCCGACGCCATTGAAATTTTATGCTGTTGCGGTGTTTATTTCGAGACGTACGAATCGCGACTGCTGAGTGCGGAGTGAATAACGGTACGCAGTAAAAGAAAAGAAAAAGTTCAACGTGTTGGCTTTGCTTGCACAAGCATCAACCACACATGTACTCTTGGTTGCATACATTTAGGCGCAACAATCCACCAACAAACAAAATAATTGTGTGCGCAGTTTTTTTAATCCAACATTAATATACAACTAAATCAAACTAAACCTAGGGCGCGTTCTAGATATAAACTTAAAATGGATTAAGTATGATAAAATAAACGCTACACTAGAATAAATATATCGCCTATAAGAGAGCTGCGCGCGCACGTACACAACACTCAATTTTTCTTCAATATTTCCAAGATTAAGATAAAAAATCTCATTTCCAGCACCAGAGTTAATCCTGAGCAATCGCCAGCGGCTTCTTGCCGCCTCCAGCCAAGACACTACCACTGCTCTGATGCGCCTGCAGCACCGCAATCGCCTCCTCCACCTTGGCCCGCAGCGACTCCTGATCTTCAATCATATGAATCAACTCGGACGTGTCAATCTCCAGCAACATGCCAGTAATCTTACCCGCCATCTCCGGGTACATCTTCTCTACATGCGGAAACAACTTAGCACCGAGTATCTGTTTCTGATCCTCAGGCGTAGCCGACGCCAGCGTAGACGCATTCAACGGACCAATATCGCCGCCATTACCCAACGCCACAGTGACAGGTCGAATCAAATGATTATTCGCTGTATATTTGCTATTCGGGCGTGAATGTATAGTCTGCCCACCGCCACTGCCACGCGTATTAACCAAACCACCACCACCGCTGCGATTTGAGCTGGCGGCAGCCGCCGATGGACGGGATGACACCCGTACCAAATTATTAGCCAACGTAGGGTAGGTACCATTCGGACGCATGGCGGTTCCAGCCAACCAGCGTGGCGTAGATCTAATATGATTCATGTTATAGAAGCGGTGACCTTGCGCCACCGCCGGCATGATAAACTGCGGTGTAGTCGGATACAAATTCGGCTGGATGCGTATACGATGCAAATGCGACGCAATAAACGCTTTTCTATCCTCTTTACGTTGTGCCAACGCCACATAAATGGGTTTGGAACCAATCATCTTCCCATGCATCTCCATCAACGCTTTGGTGGCCTCCTCGGGTGTAGAAAAGCAAACAAAACCAAAACCCTTGGACCTACCATCTTCTATCATCACCTTCGCAGAGGTAATGGTACCATACTGTCCAAACTCCTTACGTAGGCGGTGATCATCAATGGTATCATCCAGATTCTTTAGGAATAGATTCACGCCTTGTGTGCGATTGTATCGCTCTGTTTTGACATCATCGTAACGTCGTTTTAATTCTAATTGACGTTCGGCTTTCTTCTGTGCTTTGGCCACGTACATTTTCTGTCCGCAAATCTCCTTCTCATGTAAGTCTTTAACAGCGTTTTCTGCTGATAGCGGGTTATCAAACGCCACAAAACCAAAACCTTTGGAAGACCCATCAGAGTTACGCATCACTACACAACTGGTGATCTTCCCAAAGGGACTGAACAATTCATACAACTTTCCTTCAGTCATCTCCATTAAATTCTTAATGTAAATATTGGTGAATATCTTTGGTTTCACCAACATTTGCTTGCAGCGCTCCTTATGTGGAATAAACTTCCCAACATACACTTTCTTTTGGTTCAATAGCATACCATTCACTTTTTCAACAGCTCGCTTGGCTGCTTCTTCTGTTTCAAAATGAATGAAACCATATCCTTTGCTAATGCCATTCTCATCCAGCATTACCTTACAGCTGAGGATATTCCCAAACGCCGAGAATGTATCATACATACTTTTATTGTCGATGTTTTTATCCAGGTTTTTAATGAATAGATTACCGATGCCAGACTTGCGCAGTGATGGATCACGTTGTGACCACATGATGCGGATGGGTTTGCCTTTGATGAGGTCGAAGTTCATTGTGTCGAGGGCGGATTCAGCGTCGCCTGGTTGTTGGTAGTTTACGTAGGCATAGCCGAGGCTGCGTCGCGAAATGGCGTCGCGGCACACGCGCAGTGAGAGCACCGGGCCCACCGAGGAGAACTTCTCATAGAGGGTTGCTTCAGTCACGTCGGGGTGCAGATCGCCCACGTACAACGCCGCCATGTGGAAGCACCAACTCATGCTTCAGCACGACTTGAGGGACGACAATTCAGAGCTGGTGTGTTTGGTGCGGCTTTACTTCTTGAATTATTTAATTATTTTATTTTAATAAATAAGGACTTATTTTTTTAGGTTCCGCTTTTTTGGTTTGCTCTCAGCTCTCTGCTGGTGGTGAAACTTTGTTTCGGAAACTCGTTGTTTGGCACGACGGTTATTTTTTTGTCGCTTGCAAAGTCGACCTGATGTAGGATTTTCAAACATTCATAGCGGTCTAGATTTTTGAAAAGTTGTGAAAACTTTTGTACGCATGCGCAGTTCATACAATATGCTAACAATATTATTGAGATATTATTGAGGTTAAACACATGTTGTGCTTGTATCAATCAAACTCTATAACACATTTCTTTTGTAAAAACTTGAATTTAACATATAATAATGGGTAAAAAACGTAAGGTACAAGAAGAAAAGGATGATAATGAGTACGACCCAGTCCCCAAGCACTTGGTGACTGCCCACGTGAAGAATCAAGAAAAACGTCTCATCATTATTCTTGAACAAGCTCATCTTGAAAGTGTTAAAGTAAGTTTAACACATAAAAAATAATATAAAACTATGTATATTTTTATATGCAGGTTGGTAATGCGTTTCAATTGCTAAACTGTGATGATCACATCAATATATTAAGGAAAAACAATAGAGAACCTGGTGAAGTAAGGCCTGACATTACACATCAATGTCTTCTTATGCTTCTGGACAGTCCACTCAACAGAGCAGGCTTGCTACAAGTCTACATTCACACTAAAAATAATGTCTTGATTGAAATCAATCCACAAACAAGAATTCCAAGGACTTTTAAGAGATTTGCTGGCTTGATGGGTAATAATTTACTATCTTTTTGTGCTTTTTATTTGAAATTTTATTTTCTAGTACAATTATTGCATAAATTTGCTGTGAGAGCAAATGATGGGCCTATGAAACTCCTGAAAGTGATTAAGAATCCTATCACACTTCATCTGCCAGTTGGTGCAAGAAAAGTTGCTATGTCTTTTTCCTCAAATAAGGTATTAAACTGTAGGGAATTGGTGCCTAAAGGTGAGGACCCAATTGTGTTTGTGATTGGTGCAATGGCGCACGGCCATTTGGACGTGGACTACACAGAAGACACGATTTCGATTAGTAATTATCCGCTGAGCGCTGCTTTGACGTGCACCAAGTTGTGCAGTGCGTTTGAAGAAGTCTGGGGCGTTTTATAGTCTAAAATATATTAAAAACAAATGAAAAGTTGAATATTTTTGAAATTTTATTTCATGTCATTATTGTAGTTTGAATGGAGTGGCGCTAGTTGTACTATTGTTTAGGTTTAGTTCCGGCGACCGCGTTGGAGGGCGCTGCGGTGCCTAGACAAAAGTTTTCTTGAGAAATGGAAAGAATGTAATTGAGAATTCGTGGAATGTTTAATTTTATGTTGAATATAGGCCATTAGGGTAATGATGGGGTGCTTAAATGCGATGTGACAACAGTCGGGTGGTTGATAGTGGTGAAGAAAGTTTTGAATGTTTGATTGGCGGACTTTCCAACGGAAAACAAAAGTTGTTTACTTTCGGCTGTGTGAACGTAGGTTTGTTTGGTTGAATTTTTATTTGAAAATTTTCGTGATTGCGTGTTTGAAAGTAAAAGTTTGCGATGATTTGTTGTGACGCCAGTGATTTCGCAATAATTCGCAACGTTGTGAGCTGTGCTCGTTGCGATGACGGCGAGAAGAGTTGCATCGGCTGCCATGGTTTTCATGTTATAACAACGGTTTTATTTGCAATTTTATTGCGAATGGCGAAAATTCGGAGCGTTTATGGGGCCTTGTGGCTGCTCACGGCCCCCAAAACAAGGGCACACGACGAGGTATGCGTGTGTGCGTGTGGCGCAATGTGTGGTTAGGTCTCGCGTTGGCCATTTGCATGACCTTAGCGCGCGCGAGCGAATCCATATATCGGAAAAGACGGGCGGACGAAATCCGCGCGCATCCCTTTGGAAAATCGGCGATCATCGCGCGGCGCGGCTCGAAAGTGGTCGGCAGCGCGTCGCGGCGCTCGTTCCGCACGATATCGCCGCGAGAAACGGCGCCGATCCGCCGGGATGCGGCCGCCTCGCGTGCCGAGGTGACGCCAAGTGGGTGTATACGCGGCGGCCATCATGGCAGTATGCGTCAAGCTTGGCAAGCGGGTCCGTAGTGAGTGCTGTGCGTGCCGTGTCGCTCTGGATTTTTCGCGATTTTTTACTGGATAACTCGCCGAGATGTGCAGGTAATTGCCGGAGGCGGTGAGCGCGACTGCCGCCCGTCGTCGGCGATATGCGAATCGCGACGGGCGGCCGCCGGGCGAGCGCGCCAAGCGAAAATGCGCACAGAGCGGCCCGCTAGCGCTGGCGCCATGTTTGTGTGTATTCACGGAGCGCGCGCGTTCTGAGGGCAGCGCAGCCGACGACCACGGCGACGACGTCACAGCCCGCCGGCCGCTTCCTACCGGAGGCGAGAAAGAAGACGCATTGACGGTATCCAGCAGCCGGCGGCTGCCGACGCTCACAGTGTCGCGAGTTTTCCCGCGTCCCGCAAGCGCGCACACACAGCCAGCGGCGTCGTCTCGCATGCAGCGTCCAAACCGCCGAAAATGCTACCTAAATACTACAATAGTGCTATTTAATTGTTCTTTCGCTTCTCGCTGACCCAAATTTCACGTATATTTACATAAAACGCCAAAATTAAGGTTAGATAAAGTGCGCATAGTGAATGTGAGGTGTGTTTTGTGTGTTGTAGGTTGAGCATGAAGTTTTAGAACTTTTGTTGAAAATATAATGTCCCTCGAGGGATGCATAGAGTGGCCATTCTGCACCCAAGCCAGCTGACTGACAAGCTCAGGTTGTCTCCTCCTGCAATCTTCTGTTTGTTGTAGCACAGTAGGTAAGCATCATTAGCGCCGGATTATCGAAAATCATTAGTATTGCATTTCTATTGTGTTATTCCAGAGGCTAACACAGCGTCGAAATGCAACAAGTCGAAACGCCGACTCAAAACAGTACGGTGAGTAGTAGTATTTTGTTTGTAATTTGTGTAGATTGTATTTTACAATGCGTGTTTTCGGTTTGTAGAACGGTGGCAAGATGGGTGACGCCGCGCTGAAGGAAAAAGAAGCGCCGCCGCGCATTGACGAGCCGGTAGAGCCGGTGAACGGCGTCGTGCAGCCGAAGGTGGTGCCGCCGGTGGCGCGCCCCGGCCGCGTCACCAATCAGCTACAGTTTCTGCAGAAGACGGTGCTGAAAGCGGTGTGGAAGCACCACTTTGCGTGGCCGTTTCACATGCCCGTCGACGCGAAGAAGCTCAACCTGCCTGACTACCACAAGATTATCAAACAGCCGATGGATCTCGGTACGATTAAGAAGCGCCTCGAGAATAACTACTATTGGTCAGGTCGTGAGTGTATCCAAGACTTTAACACCATGTTCACCAACTGCTACGTGTATAATAAGCCCGGCGAGGATGTGGTGGTGATGGCGCAGACGCTCGAGAAGGTGTTTCTCACCAAGGTGGCCGAGATGCCCAAGGAGGAGTTCCCGGTGGATCCGCCGACGAAAGGCGGCAAACCTGGTAAGAAGCGGTCGATGTCTAGTGTGCCCGGCACTCCTTTGGGTGCCGGTGGTGGCGGCGGCGGTGGAGGAGTTGGTGGTCTGCAAGCGAATGTGGTTGGACGAGGTCGGCCTGCGACGGTGTCTTCCACGGTCACGACGCCGGTGAACGCCGGGCTTCCGCTTGGCACGCAAGCACCGATTACAGTTCCGGGCAGTACGGCGACGACGACCATTGCGCCCGTACAACCGCCGCCAGTACAGCAACAGCAACAACAACAGCAAGCACCCGCGCAAATTCAAGTGCCCCCACAGCTGCCGACGATGCCACAGCAGATGGCGCCGAGTGGGTACCATCTGGGGCAGCCGATGGCGGCGGCCGCAGCAGCACTGGAACAGGCCGGAATGGCGGTGGCAGGCGCGATGGGTGGCGCAGTACTACCGCCGGCTCCGCCTGCGAAAGTAAAAAAGGGCGTGAAAAGAAAGGCGGACACGACGACACCGGGCGCCTCTGTTTTCGACTACAATGCTTCACTCGAAAGCAAGTCGGCGAAGATCTCCACGCGACGCGAGTCCGGCAGGCAGATTAAGAAACCACTGCGGCCTGAATTGGACGGTCTGGTGCCGTATGCGCAGCCGAATATCTCGCCGATGATTATGCCCGGCGCGATGCAGCACTCAGCGGCGCATAAAAACAAGGATAAACTCACGGAGGCGCTGAAGAGCTGCAATGAGATACTCAAGGAGCTGTTTTCGAAAAAGCACTCGAGTTATGCGTGGCCATTCTACAAACCTGTCGATGCTGAACTGCTGGGTCTGCATGACTACCACGACATTATCAAGAAGCCAATGGATTTGGGCACCGTTAAGCAGAAGATGGACGCGCGGGAGTACCGCACCACGCAGGAGTTTGCCGGCGACGTGCGGCTGATATTCACAAATTGCTACAAGTACAACCCGTCGGACCACGATGTGGTGGCGATGGCACGCAAACTGCAGGATGTCTTCGAGATGAAGTACGCCAAGATCCCCGACGAGCCGATGAATCGTGTCGGTGCTATGCCCCGTTCAGATTCAAGTTCATCCGGCAGCAGTTCGGAGTCTTCAAGTGAAACCGACGATTCCGAAGAGGAGCGCCGCAATAAGCAGCTGAAGATGCTCGAAAAGGAGGTAAATATCTGTGCTGATGATACTATTCTAACAGATGGCGGCATTGAAATGTGTGTTTTGTATTTATTGGCTCTGTTTGCGCAGCTGATTGCCATGCAGGAGAAGATGCGCAAGCTGGTCGAGGAGTCTGGCAAGAAAAAGAAGGAGAAGAAGCCGAAGGCGACCAAGGACAAGGCCGGTAAGAAGATGGTCGCGAATAGCAATGCGGCAGGTGGCGGCGGTGGCGGAGGCGCTGTTCTAGGCGCCGGCAGCGGAGCACCAGGCGCGGGCGTAGGAGGCGGAGGAGCGGGTTTGGGTAAGCCGGGTGCGCACGGGGCGCATCATGCCAAGTCTGCATCCCACCACCATCACCATCACTCGCTGCATTTCGCCGACAGCGTTGACGACAGCATCGCCAGCGTGGTGTCCGGTGCGGATCTCAAGCTGCTGGGCCACCACGTCGACAAGTACCACCACACGATGGCGGCTGCCGGCAACGCTGCAGCAGCTGCAGCGGCTAAAACACCCAAGAGTAAAGGTAAGATCACACCGATGCATAGTAGTGGCATACGCCGCGACGCCGTGCCTACTATAATTTGGTGTTGGTTTTACGGTTTGCTACAATCACCCCCCATCCCTCACATACCCACATCACACCATACACTTTCAATCTCTAGCTAATGCTTTGTATTCGCGACGCGCTTGAGTTTTCGTTGTACGGTACGAAATGAAGCACATTACATTAGCACACCTTCCGCTCTCTTGGTCTCCTCCTGCGAGAAGATTCTCTCTGCCCTCTCTGAACCCCTTGGCACACGCCCCATGCGCTACTTTTTTATTATATATCGATTGTGTAATTTATCTCTGTGTGTTCTTTTCGTTCATGTGCTCTGTTGACTTGCGTCCACTTAACGCATCGTTTGTGTGCTTCTTTTGGCGGTTTAGGCGTGCGGGGACCAAAGCCGGGAGGCGCGCAAGCCGGTGCGCCGAATTCGGTGGCGAAGCGGCCGAAGGCGAACAACAAAACGGGCGGCGCCGGTCGCAAAAAGTCGGCGGCCGTTGTGCCTGCCATGCCGTTTGACTCGGAGGATGAAGATAATGCGCGACCAATGTCCTACGATGAGAAGCGACAGCTTTCACTGGACATTAACAAACTACCCGGTGAGTATATCCACAATCCCATTAAAATTATTTGTGATTATTGTGTTTATTATTTATTGTAGGCGATAAATTGGGCCGTGTGGTGCATATAATTCAATCACGTGAGCCAAGCTTGCGCGATTCCAACCCCGACGAGATCGAGATCGACTTTGAGACGCTGAAGCCATCGACGCTGCGCGAGCTGGAGTCATATGTCGCCTCGTGCCTGCGCAAAAAGCCACGTAAGCCCTACTGTAAGTTCCGTTACTCTCGTTACGTACTTCGGAGGCGCGCTCACACGCTCACCAGACCACCGAGGGTAGCACACTTGATCATTTCAATCAAGCCACACGTAAAAGTTAAACGAAAAAAAGAGAAATACAAGTAAAAGTGTGCTACGTGGCGTACGTAATTGGAACTAAACACATTTTACTTAATTTTTATTACATTATTTTCAAAATTCGCATGGTAGATGAATCGTCATTCGAAGACGATTCTGATTGGTGTAGGGTGCATTTCGAATTCAATTCATTTGGCAATTCGTTGGCAAAATGACTGTGCATGTGATCAGTTGTTGCAGTAATAGTTTGCTCTCATCGCTCTGGTTATCTGGTGGAGGTATTATCTTGCCTTAAGTGTGCGTTCATTTCGTTATTGTCCTACGTGTTTGCACTGCGCATGCCTTGCTGACTTGTGAGTTTTCTTGTGGCGTTGCAGACAAAAAGATGCCCGGCAAGTCGAAAGACGAACAGATCGCCGAGAAGAAACAGGAATTGGAGAAAAGACTGTCCGACGTCAACGACAAAATCGGCAATACCACTAAAAAAGGTCCCAAGAAAGGTAAATTGCAAACATTACATACTAGTTTTAACCCGCGAATATCTAAAGTTGCTTCCGTACGCGTCTGTAGTCACTGAAGAAGTAACAATGAAGTTGAATGGCGGGAAGTTTAAAATGGCTGAAAGTATAGTCTATGGAAGTATAGTGTACAGTCTCCAGTGCAGTCAATTGGATTTGATGTTGACGTAGCTGTCGGTAATACAGTGTGATAATACAGTGTGATGGTACTATATTACTTAGGTTTGAGCTTCATTGCTGGAATGCTAGATGGCGTTAAAGTAGTCAAATAGCCAGATGCAGAGGTATTATTGGCTAAACTATTTCTTTATTTTATTTAAAAAATAATTTTTTTATTAAATAAAAAGTAGCCTATAACCATTCGGGGACCACTAAGAATATGTGTACAAATTTTCATGATGATCGGTTAAGTAGTTTTGGTGTGAAAGTGTAACAAACATCAGGACTTTCGCATTTATAATATTAGTAGGGATTTACTAGTTTTGTTTATTTGAGACGCAAAAACTCTTCAAAATTTTAATAAAAATGCATTTTGTTAGTTTTTAAGTGAAAAAATACGAAATTAAATATAGAAAATATTAGTAGGGATTAATTACATAGAAAATGGATATTAATTGTTGTAAATGATTTATTTCCAGATGAGAAAGTTGATCCGACGGGAGCTGGCGGCGGTCCAAGTGGCCGCCTCTCGTCCAGTTCGAGCAGTTCCGATTCGGACAGCAGCAGTTCAAGCCTGTCGAGCAGTTCGAGCGATTCCAGCGACAGTGAAGCAGGTTAGCTCTCTACTATCATCATCTGCGGCTGCAATGTGCGCGTGCACATTGCAAACTCGATTCCATTACCTAACAAACAAACAAACAACACACACCCACACACACACGTAATGTAAAATTAAACTAATTCTAGGATAAATTGAACGCGCGTTAAACATTGTAAAAAAAAAATAATCAAATCAAAAGAAAAAACACTTGTGTTGCTTCGGTTATATGATCGTGTTTATTCTCAAACTTGGTGTGCCATCCGGGGTGGCGCAAATAATCTCACACGCGTTTGTTATTAATTAATCGACGGACTCGAATAAGTTTTAGACGTAGCAAGAAACCTATCAGCAATGTGTTCGTATTTTAATGTTTGTTTAATTTATCTCCTCATCTATATACGGCACTCTAAAACAAAACACACACATTAGCGAAATTGTTGATTGTGGTGCAGTGCAGTGCAGTAATTTAGAGTAAAAATGCGCGCGATTAAAACATGAAAAGAACTACACACTCGTACGTAAACTGATCTATAATTGTGTAAATAATAGTGTTGTGAGAATGGGAGCGCCTTTTATATAAAAATATATATTATATATTAAATTTAACAATTGCATCCGCGATTAAACAAAAATACACGATAAATACACATACACGTACACTGATACATAACGCATCGCATCGCGTCACATAAATATTGATGATATGATGTAAAACGTAACGCAAAACAAAACAGAAAAAGAAACTATTCAAAATGGACGCCGCATCATTTTTGATTATTATTATCAATCGCAAATCGTCGTCGTCGTTGTTGTTTTTTAATATTGGCGCAGTGTGTTGTTGTTTTTCTTTTTATATATTCTTATTCTTTGGATTATTATTTGATGATTTGTTGGGAGAGATTCGAAAATGTCGGCGACGTGTTCCATCCTTCGTACATGTTAAACAATAACACGATGATGGTTGTGTTCAGCCTTGAGTGCACAAAATGTGTTGGAGCGTCTGGCAGCTATGGTCGCGGCCATGCAGAGTCAGTGAAACAGAGAAAGAGCGAAAGAGCAAGAAAGAGAGTTTTATTTTTTCGATTATTTTCCTGGCATTTTTAGCGTCATTTCTCGTTCGACATGCGCAATAACAACCAGTACTATATTTATATTAACAGCAGCAGCAGGAGAGAGAGTGAAAGAGTCGTGTGGTGCTGAAAGCCAAGTAATCACACAGTAAAATCGGGTCGAAAGTTTTCGGGGCGGGGGATGATTTAAGTTTTAAGTTTTTCTTTATTATTATTATTATTGTTGTTGGCAGTCTGGGCAGGCGAAAACGGAAGAAAAAGAGCAGACAATGTGTGTGGCGGCTGAAATCGTCAACTCATATTTGATTCTTTGTTTTCTTACAACTCACGGTGTGTAGGCAGGCAACCAACATATCTACTTATCTATAAACACTTAGTGTATGGTTGAGGTTTGTTGTTGTTGTTGATGTTGTTGATGTTTTGTTTTATCGTGACTGTGGCGCTGGCCTCCATCCACATTGTTTGTACTCAAGATGACCCACCCACCCCCCTTGAAAATGCATTTTGAAATTTGGACACGACACGAGAGGCAGGCGGATAATAATATGACAAAAAAAATGCGACGCGAGTGGTGTAAATATGACTTATTATTATTATTATTATTATTACTATTATTATTATGATAGCGTGTCGGTGAAGATTTTTACTTTTGTATATTACAAATCAAATCAATTGATGTTTGCTTATTTTGTAGCACCGGCTCCTCTGCTGCGCGTGCGCGCGCACACGTGCGGAGGAGCGCATTACAAAACGCAAAGTAGATGATAAGAGATAGCAGCAGGACGCGTACACATCCATACACAAGAAAAAAAACACACGGTCGAAATTCAATTTAGTACGTAAGCGAATGTAAAGTATGGTTGTACATACTGATTATGAATTGATTTTTCCTTCCTCTCGGTTAGAAGTACGCTGTTTTTTTTTTATATATATGACACACGACATATACACGAAACACACACGTGACATAAAACGAAGTCTTTTTTTGTATTATATCTAACGTTAAATTTCAGTCTTGTGTAATTTAAAAAGTACATAATATTAAATGAACTGAGAATGGAAATGAGAGAAAAAACCACAAAAAGGATGCGTAAAGTAATAAACACATTGATTGTTTATATATAATATATATATTATATATAATATATATTTGTTTGTATGTACACTTGGCAAATACCTTTAATTAATTAACATAAATATATTTACTTGTCATTTTAAACATCTCTGAAGGTTGTTGATGAAAACTGGTTGTTATTGCACTTGTTGTTGTGTTGTTTTCTCTGTGTGGCCGACATTTTTTGTGAGCACTTTGAGGTTGGCGGCAACAGGAGTTGTGTTTAGGTAGCGTTAGGATGGGGCGTGTGGGCGCGGACGTCGCATAGGTTTTGTGCTAACGGCGCGAGTGCGTCTCGTGTTTGTAGGTGGCACAGGAGGCGGGGCTGGCCGACCACCAAAGAAAAAGAACAAAAAGTCACCGAATCCGTCGCACCCGCCAACCGCGCACGCCCACCAACATCCGCCAGTCACACAAGCGCAACAGCAGCAACCACCACCCACACATGCACCTCCACCACAACAACAACCACAGCAGCAGCAGCAGCAACAACAACAACAGAATAATGCGGTGAGTGTGCATCATCTTCAGATGATTGTGATGTGTGATTGTGATGATTATGAATCTATTTCTAGAAACACAATGCGCAACAACAACAACAACAGCTCACACAAATGGAACAGCACCACCAACACCTGCGGCAGATGGTCAATGCCCATGAGCAGCAGGCGGCTGCCAATGCAGCCGCTGCCGCCATGTTGGGTAATCATATTGTTAACAACAATAAGGCGCGCGTGGTGCCGCACGGCGGCAAGGGCGGATTGATGTCTTCGAGCGCGGCACTTGCGCCACAACATCAGCTTACCAAGCAGCCGATTGGCGCTCCTCTACCTACGCCATCGCCTGATAAACCGAAGCCAAATCAATTGGCGGCATCGGTCGTGTCGCCACTAAACGCGCAGGCTCATTTCACAGATCCGCTGGAGCAGTCGCTCGCCAGTCTCGAGCACGACATCAAGGTGGAGCCGTTGGAGGCCATGGGCGGGTCGCAGCAGATGCAGATGCAACAGATGCTCGGGCTTAGTCCGGCTATGCTTGTTGCGCAGGCAGCGCACATGCAACAGTCGGATATGAAGCCCGGATTGGCTGGGTTGGTTGGTATGATGGCGGGTATGCATGATCATCATCAGCCGCATGATCTACCTGCCCTCCTGCAACAACAACAGCAGCAGCAACAACACGCTCCGCCTACTAGTGTGCCGCAAACCCAACACAACACACAAACTGCGCAACACTCCAATAATAATGGTTTTGGTGTGGGTACACCAGCAATTAAACATGAGTATAATCTATCTGGAGGTGTGGCTAATAATGGTCTGCCTATGGGTGGAGTCGCCGGTATGCAAATGCAAATGGCGTCGATGTTTGACCCCATGCCCACGTCGCATGCGCAACAACTGCCCAAACAACAACAACATCAGCCGCATCAGCAATTGATGAACAACGTGAAAAAGGAGCCGTCGTATATGTCACAAGAAGAACACTTACACGAAGCTATGCTGAATAGTATAGAGAAGAAGGAACATTTACAGCATGTCGGTGGTGGAGAGAAACATTATCCGCCTACGACGACATCCTCAGGGGGACCTCCGCCCGGTTACAAACCAAAACCGGATGTTAAAAATGCCTGGTCCAGTTTAGCACAGGCCAATTCTCCACAGAATAGCGTTTCAGGTGGTAGCAGTCGACAGCAGGCGTTGGACTCCTTCCGGCAGTTCCAGAAGCAGGCAAAGGAGAAGGCCGATCGCGAAAAGGCCCGACTGGAGAGTCTGGAGATGAAGCGCCTGCAAAAGGAACAAGCGGAGAAGGAACGAATGCGTGCGGAGAGCGAACGTCGACGTGAGAAGGAGGAGGAGGATGTGTTGGACAAAACCAGGTTAGTAAATTTTGTGTTAATTTATTTTTAAATATTTTTACTTAAAATGTAATGTTTGTAGGAAACCTGTACCGGAAGCATTGCCGCAGGCCCCAATCACGACGCCTCGCGTTGATGAACTTCGGACATCACCAGGAGAAGGTAGTATATCCCCAGGTAGTCAGAGTTCCGGATCGGATCGAACAGATCGGGAACGTCAAAGGATGAAGGAGCAAGAACGGCGGCGGCGTGAAGCTGTAAGTTTATATGAAAAAAAAAAACAATAACTGTTATTATACTGATTGATTGTATTTTAGATGGCGAATCAAATCGATATGAACATGCAGAGTGACCTTATGGCTGCCTTCGAGGGCTCCTTTTAATCATGCAAAAATATGAAGAGGAGTGCTTTTCGAATGTACATAGTTCAATTAATTGTGTGGTAATAATTCCATTGAAAACACTAAGTGCTGTGCGGATGCAAAACAGACGAAAACTGACCAAAGTAAGATTCACTAAGTTGTTTATAATGATATAGCGATACCTAGCAAATTACTACTTGATTCGTTTGTTGTTGTGCGCTGCGCGAACGTCACGGCAAGAGTTGTAAGCGAAGACTAGTGTTTTCACATTTTGTCCATACTAGTTGTTAATATATATAATTTAAAATATGTAAACATTTATGGGAAACGTGTCGTCAACATGCAGCTGATACGAGTTACGCTAGTGTAATTATTCTTGTGTTGTGTTAGATTATCACACACACACACTTACATATATATACATATAAATATATACACATATACACACTGAGACGATTATTGTACATAGTTAGCGAAGATGGACGGAAAACAACTGTTTATATACATACCTAATGATAGTACGTTGGATAACTATTACTTGATATCTATTATAATTATATTAGTTAGTGTAAACGAACACACACACACACATAAAATACACACAGTTGCATGCAAGTGTACACTACGAAGATAGATTATATTGTAATTGTAATTTTGTGCGACAAGACACGCATCGGCTCTTATGATTACGATGACTAAATTAATAATTAATTATACCTATGTAATATACTATATATATATATATTAATATATATACGCATATATATATTATATATATATTGATAATTATTTAAGACGCGAGGGTGGTGCGTGTGGAGTAATAGTGTTAAGTTGTGAGTCAAACAAACACGAAACGAATGTATAGAAGTAACAAACCCACAAACAATTCTAGAAACCAAGATGATGCGATGCGATGATTATAAACGGAAACAAAACGCAATGTCCATATATATCTGTATGTGTGTGAAATGTTGGTTTTGTTTCGATATTTTTTTACATTACGATTGTTCTTACGATGTATTTTCTTGTTCTCTTCTTCTCTTTCAATATTTTTTTTATCTCTTACATTATAATGCGATGACGATTTTGTTTTAATTTCTCTCTTTGAGTAGATTGATTGATAGCTGTGTACATAGTAAAACGAATTTTTTAAAAGCGATAACAATGATAAAAATAAATAAGCGTGAATTAGCAAGGATGTGTGGAATGATGGACGAGTTGAGATTCAGGCGTGGCGACACGATAAGAATTTATGATGATTTGTAAAACACTTTAATTTATGATAACTGATAAATTGTTAATTAATGCTAATTATGTAAAATTAAAAACTGTTTGATTTCTTTGATGAACATACGGCGGGGAGCGAGAGTGGCGAGATGAAATGACGGATTATGACTATGATGGAAATAGAAATAGAATGAAAAATAGACGTTTTCCTTTATTACCTGTGCTCGGTGCTTAGAGATGCGGAATTAAATTTTCCATCGGGTTGTATTTGTTTGTTGCAGGAATTCGGTCTGCAACCCGCGAAAATTCACATAAAACTGTGATTTTTCATTGTTTTTCGGAGTAATGTTTGAATTTTCCGGGTTTACACGCGATCTAGACGGTCATTGATATCGTCAAGGGGGTGGATCGGATTGTAATTTGTATTTTTAATTCTTTTTCATTTTTATTTTGCGCAGACGTAGTCTCCGATTGTTATTGCATTTTTGATAAATGTGTTTTGAATTTTTTAAAGTTGATAAATATTTTCAAAGGTTAGATGGCGCTACGATGTACGATTTTGCATTAAATACTGCTTGATGGTGGTAGTGAGTGCACACCGTGTCCGTGTGGATCACGGGATTTCGCGCAAGAGATAAGTTTGTTTACCTGCAGGTATCGAATCTTTATTTCGTTGCTGCCAAATGCAATTCGCGCATAAGGTCGCGTTTCATTGACACGCCGCCGAGTTTACGCATCTATTGCAATTCCCACACAAGGTCGCGTGTGATCGACGCGCCGGCTTTGCGCACCTCTTGCTTTCTTATCATAAACTGCCTCGTCGTTGCTTATGCAGTTTGCGGCCAGTTTTGTGCCGGTCTCTAGTTGATCCAGACGTATTTTGTGCGACTCGTATTGTTTATCCGGACTTCTACTTTCCAATTCGTATTACATTCGATCATCAATCGACTATTTAATCTTAACTTGACTGTAGTAACTTTCGTACAGTTATTTATTTGCGCGTAAGTGTATCGCGACCATGTTGATTTATTCATCATTTGGATGACCCATCGTGCTGATGTAAGTATTTTTTAATTGAAGTTGTTTGTTTTTCTCCGCTGTGTGAATATATTACTTATGTTTTCTTTTTTTATTTACAGTATTTGCCGTGCCTTGGAGTCTGATGAGTTCTGAATTGGTAAGTTTATGTTTCAATTATATATCTCGTTTTATTTTCAGCATCGATCATTACTTTGCATTAACGTGTTTTTTTTGTCGCGGTCCATCGCATTATGCCAACCCTTCTAACTAAAGCGTTAGCATTAAATAATTAATTTTTTTTTGTTATTGGGTGTAAACTTGGGCGCGGGGTCCAAATATGCAGAATTATATTCTCTATCTGGTTGTATTTAATTGTTGCAACAAAAGCGCTTATAAGATACGATTTATGATTTAATATTGGAAACAAACGCAGCTTCAAATTTGAACATCACGCCTCATATAGGTTAGATTTATTGCATTTGTGTACAAAACTGTAGTCTTTATTTAAATGTTACGTGATAGAAACATGATGCAGTATCCCCCTTTGCCCATTTTTTGATACAGGGCACCTATCGAGGTTACCGGTAAAAGTGACTCGTGTTCAGGGCACCGTAGGAATCCGCGAAAATTTGAATTAAAGGGTGATTTTTCACCCTTTCTCGTCAAAAATTTGTATTTTTTCGGGTTTGTGCGCAATCTAGGCGACTCACTAAGTTCAGCGCGGCGTCTAGGGATGCGGAATTAAATTCTCCGTCGGGTGGTATTTGTTTGTTGTAGGAATGAGACCTGCAGCCCGCGAAAATTGGTATAAAACTGTGATTTCTCATTGTTTTTCCGTGTAATGTTTGAATTTTCCGGGTTTACATGCGATCTATGCGGCCATTGATATCGTCAAGAGGGTGGATCGGATTGTAATTTATATTTTAATTTGTCTTTTTTTTTTGTGGAGGCGTAGTCTCCGATTGTATAGCTTAGATTTAGTGCCATTAATTTCATTGCAATATCAACCTTGTTGCATATTTGATAAATGTCTTTTGAATATTTTAAAGTTGATTAATATTGTCAATGGTTAGATGCCGCTACGATGTGCGGTTTTGCATTAAATATTGCTTGTTGGTGGTAGTGAGTGCACACCGTGTCCGTGTGGATCACGCGATTTCGCAAAGAGATAAGTTTGTTTTACCTGCAGGTATCAGATCTTTATTTCGTAGAATCAAAACACACCGTTGCTGTTTATTATACGCGCTAGTAAAGTATCTACCTTAACCGCCTCGTAGCTATTTCTTAAATAGTGAGATCTGAAACCTTGGAGTACCATATGTTATATATATACTAATAGTTAACCGGGCAAACGTTGTTCTGCCATATAAATTATTTCTAGTTTCTAGATAGAATTTTAGTGTAGACAAAAAGAGTAAACACTTATTATAAGTGTGTCAGTATGAAAAATTTAGTGCTGAACTAATTGTGCCAAATACACTTAAAATGAATAATTTTTATTATTATAGATAAAATAGTAATCTATAATATAAAATGAATCGCAAAAGTGTTGTTAACCGTATAAATGTTACTTACTACACTTGATACGTATACCATAATGATGGCCGAAAACTGTGGCAGGTCTTGACAGAAGTCTTATTGTGTGAGTGAAAAGAAGACCGGCTTCAGTCTCATTCCTTCAAGCGGTATATGAAAAGTAGAATAAATTACTAAAATGGCTTTATAAAAAATAGGGTATTTTAGTTTCTTTTTTCACTAAACATGATTATTCAATTTTAATAGCAAACAAATAATTTCAGTGTGTCACAATTTTATAAGTAAAGCTCTGATTGCAGGAGTGATGGAAAACCGTAGCAGCCTGGAAAAATTCCAGAATTTGCAGTGCACATTTTGTTGGGGTGAAAATCTAACAAATCCACTCAATGAATCTTATCACCCAACTATATTTCCTCTAATATACTACGTAAAAAAAGAAATTCTAATGCAGGTTTACAGGCTGAAGTTATGAAGCGACGGGAAGAATTTCATCTGCCATATTAATACGAAGCTCCAGCGAATGTACTTGATTGATGAAATAGTTGTTTCACGAAACATGATATTGGCATACAAACAAAAATATTTTTTGTCGACATTTTTTAAATGTTTTAATTATTGATAATATTTCAATAAAGTGTAAACATTAGCTTGACAGGTGTAGCTTACCCACCATTTAAAAAATAAGCCACGAGGCGGCGCTAAGGTAGATACTTTACTAGCGTATATTAGCATCGTAAATCTAAGAAAATATTCTTCAATTCTTTCATGAATCTAACTAACAATTTTATTTTAATTCTAATATATTTTTATTATCTGCAGATGATTACGAACTAATGTGTTACCTGGTAAACGAAAACGATGCATGTTCAAATTAAATATCACTTAAATATTTAATGTAAAATCTGGCAATCTGGCAATCTGTCAGCATAAGAAATAAGAATTACGAAAATCGATTTTTAATTTTTTATTACTTTTACTAATCTAAACTTTGAAACTACCGTATCATTTATACTCGTAGATGGAAATAGCATGGACTAAAAATTGTAAAATAAAGCATTGTGTTTGTTGGAACACAATATACACTTTCTTATCGCATTGCCGTGTGTCGTCGACGCCAGCACCTCGCCGCATGTTGCTGCATCTTAGTTTAGTTTGCGATCCCAGGTAAACTGCCAAATGCGAATTTGCACATAAAAGGTCGCGTTCATCGACGCGCTGCCGAGTTTGCGCATCTGTGCAATTCACGCACAGGTCGCGTGTGATCGACGCGCCGGCTTTGCGCACCTCGCGCTCTTATCATCAACTGCTTCGTCGTTGCTTATATACAGTTTTGCAGCCAGTTTTGTGCCGGTCTCTGGTTTGATCAAGCTTCTTATCCGGACTTCTACTTTCCAATTCATATTATATTCGATCATCAATTGACTATTTAATTTTAACTTGACTTTAGTAACTTTAGTACAGTTATTTATTAATTTATGCATCAGCACAACTAAACAGCACAGATTGTTTGTTTTCTCCGATTATTATTGTGAATATAGTATTACTTATATTTATAAAAAATTTATTTATTAAACATTATACGTGATTTTGGATTTACAATTTTATTTTTGAGTTGACATGTTTCGTTTATGAAGATGCCCTCTGGGCGAAACATGTCAACTCAAAATAAATTAACAAATCAAATCACATATATGTTAATAAACTCAATTTTAAATATCTAACATGGATTACGTATTCACCAAAGAAAGTAATAAAAAGTATTACTTATGTTTCCTTTTTTGTTTACAGTATTTGCACCTGCTTTGGAGTCTGATGAATTCTGCATTGGTAAGTTTATAATTCAATCTTATATTTCGTTTTATTTTCTGCGTCGATCATTACTTTGCATTAACGTGTTCTTTTTTTTGTCGCGGTCCATCGCGTTATGCCAAGCCTTCTACTAAAGCGTTAGCATTAAATAATTTAATTATTTCTTGTTATTGGGAGTAACGTCTTACAAACTTGGCCGCGGAGTCCAAATATGCAGAATTAAATTCTCTATACAGTTGTATTTAATTATTCCAAAAAAGCGTTGAAAAATGGTTATATTCGAAACAAACTTGTAAAACGCAGCTTTAAATTTGAACATCACGCCTCAGATAGATTAGAAACTGTAATATTTATTTAAATTTTACGTGATAGAAACATGATGCAGTATCCCCTTTACCCATTTTTCCTGACTAATTATTATTTTAAATTAACAATTTAGCTAGCTTATCTTAGATATCTCTTTTAGTTTAAGAGATATGAATTTTTGAAAATCGTCGAAAAAAAGTATCAAGCACCCCCCCTTGGCAATTTTTTTCTTAAGAATTAAAATTTCATCTCTCAGATTTCGGTTTTAACTATCCTATCTGATAGAGATTGGTCCGTAGATTAAGACGCTGCGACCAGATCTTAATTATCTCTTTTAGTTTACGAGATATTCGCAATTGAATAAAATGGGCAAAATTGCAAAATGTCACTTTTAGCACTTTTAGTCGCGTTTTCGACCTTTCACTGTAGGAAATATAATTATTTTATATTTTTATCTGATAGAGAATTGCAATCTTTCATAATCAACAATTTGTTGTTGGTAGATATCTCTTTTAGTTTCAGAATATGAATTTTGAAAATCGTCGAAAAGAAAAAAAGTATCAAGCACCCCTTGGCGAATTTTTCTTAAGAATTAAAATTTCATCTCTCAGATTTCGGTTTTAACTATCCTATCTGATAGAGATTGGTCTGTAGATTAAGACGCTGCGAGCAGATCTTAATTATCTCTTTTAGTTTACGAGATATTCGCAATTGAATAAAATGGGCAAAATTGCAAAATGTCGCGCGCTTTTAGCGTTTTTCGACCTTCACTGTAGGAAATATAATTGTTTTATATTTTATCCTGATAGAGAATCTTCCAATCTTTCATAAATGCGTTCGTTGGTAGCTATCACGCTGGATTTTAGAGATATGAATTTTTGAAAATCGTCGAAAAAAGTATCAATTTTTTCTTAAGACTTAAAATTCATCTCTCAGCTTTCCACTTTAACTATCCTATCTGATAGAAAATAGTCCGTAGATTAAGACGCTGCGATCAGATCTTAATTATCTCTTTTAGTTTACGAGATATTCGCGATTAAATAAAATGAAATGATTGAATATAACACTCGAACGCGGTATCACAATAACTTAGAAATCATTTTCCCTGATGCGGAATTTAATTCTGTATCTGCCTGTATTTATTTACCTCATTTCCAGATAAGTATTGACTTTTTTTTGCATATTTTTGTTGCATATTTGATTAATGTGTTTTGAAGTTGATAAATATTTTCAATGGTTAGATGGCGCTACGATGTACGGTTTTGCATTAAATATTGCTTGTTGGTGGTAGTGAGTGCACACCGTCGGTAATGGATCACGCGATTTCGCGCAAGAGATAAGTTTGTTTACCTGCAGTTATCAATCTTTTATTTCACGTGGGAATCAAAACACACCGTTGTTTATTATATTAGCATCGTAAATTTTTAGCAAATATTCTTCAATTCTTTCATGAATCTAACTAACAATTTTTATTTTAATTCCTAATGCATTTTATTATCAGCAGATGATTACGAACCAATGTATTTACCTGAAGTGATGAAGCGAAAAGAAAAACGATGCATGTTTAAATTAAATATACTTAAATATTTTAATGTAAATCTGGCAATCTGGCAATCTGTCGCGCATAAGAAATCAAATTACGAAAATCGATTTTAATTTTTTGTACTTTTTACTAATCTAAACTTCAGGGAAACTACTGTATCATTTATACTCGTAGATGGCAATACCATGTGGATTTAAATTGTAAAATAAACTTGTATTGTATATTTCTATATTTATCAGCAATCGTGAACCTTCGACACAAGAATTGTGTTTGTTTGAACATAATATACCTACACTTTCTCACGCCGCATTTTGCTGCATCTTAGTTTAGTTTTGATCCCAGGTAAACAGCCAAATGCAATTCGCGCATAAGGTCGCGTGTGTTGTCGACGCGCCGGCTTTGCGCACCTCTTGTTTTCTTATCGCAACTGCCTCGTCGTTGCTTATGCAGCTTACGGCCAGTTTTGTGCCGATCGCTGATTGATCAGACGTATTTTTTGCGCGACTCGTATTGTTTATCCGGACTTCTGCTTTCGTATTATATTCGATCATCAATTGACTATTTAATTTTTAACTGACTTTGAGTACAGCTTTGAAGTATTGTTGTTGTGCGTAGTGTATCGCGGCTATGTTGTTTACCTGTTTTGAAGTGCCGTCGGCCATCTTCCAATTGGTAAATTGCTTTATTTATTTTATTCTGCACTTGCGTAAATGGCGTTTGGATTTCATTTAAAGTTAGGATGATAAATGTAATTGATTTAGTTTTTCCATTCCTAAGCGTCTGTCGGTATCCGATATAACGTCGCGTTCGTCGTGCAATAATGTGCCTTTCAAGGTGCATCATGGCCGCCGCCGGTATCTCAGCTCTGTTGCAAACAATACGGTCTTAAAACCCTAATTAATACAGTAAATTCATGTGAACGTTTGCATCTTTTATTAAATTCAATTATAATCCTAAGCCTTTCTAACTTGTGCCGATATTGCCAGCTAGCATTGTGTTCAATCTTGTGACTATTGACGCTTATCGGTGTTTGTTTCCAACTAGTGTGTTCTTATCTCGTTCGCCGTGTGGAATGCACCGTGCACACACATTTCGACAACAAACATCGTGTTTTGATGCACGAATTGATAACATTCTTTTATTTTGCATTTGTATAACATGTTTTAACTTTTATTATTCATTTATTATAGTAATTGAAGAAATACCAGTGAGGGTCAGTGACGTTTCATGAGTTACAATGCACAGGGTGAGAGTTCATGGGTGAGATTATAATTAAATTCTTCATTTCATGGGCATAATTCAGTTTCGCGTCATTGTAATTGTCATTCCGGTTTGAATTACTATAAATTTAATACGAGTACATTGCCCGCCTGGGAAATGCTTACTTTTACCGATCTTCTGATACATTCAACGACAAATTTTTCATATTAAATTATATTAATACAACGATCTTTAATGTTTACACTGAAATGCCCCTGATATGCGAATTTATTGACATTTTCTTTCGGTTTGCTCCGCCGGCTGATGTGAGATGCTAGGCCGGTTGGTGCATGAAAATAAAACTGATAAAAATTTATTTATTCCGTACCCTACAACTTGCACACGAGAATTGTTTGACTTCTACTTGTTTATCGGTGTTGTTAGTATTTCTATTCATTAGATTATATTTAATATTTCTAAATATTTCATTGAATTACTTTGATTTGTTCTTACCGCAGTTTTACTTGATCGGGAATTTCCCTTCAGTACAGTTCAACCATTTTCCAAATTTCGAGTTTTCTAGTGTCGATTCATGCAAACAATTCTGGTTTTAATGCAAATCCATTCCCTGATATGTTTCCTACTTGGCATCAATACTTGTTCTACGATTTTCAATCTCAGGATTTGCATTCCTGGTAAGTGTCATCATATTTTTGTATACTTAGAATAAGTACAGTATGTATGTATGTTTGATACTTCTGATTGTCAGTATTAGGTATATTTTTGTATATTTTCGTTATGCGAACTCTGCGGCCTACTAATATCAGCGCGACGTCAAAAATCCAGAATTAAATCTATGCCGGGTGGTATTTGTTGCTTGTTAAGTGACGGCTCGATTCCGGGCACCTTACGGGGCTAGCGGTAAAGTGACTCGTGCTCAGGGGCACCGTAAGACCCGCGAAAAAATTGAATAAAAGGGTGATTTTTGTCGCCCTTTTTCGTGAAATGTTTGTATTTTTTCGTGTTTGCGCGCGATCTATTCGGCTCACTATCGTCAGCGCGGCGTCTAGAGATGCGGAATTAAATTCTCCGTCGGGTGGTATTTGTTTGTTGCAGGAATTCGATTTGCAATCCGCGAAAATTTGCATAAAAGGGTGATTTTTGTCACCCTTTCTCGTGAAATATTTGTATTTTTTCGTGTTTGCGCGCGATCTATTCGGCTCACTATCGTCAGCGCGGTGTCTAGAGATGCGGAATTAAATTCTTCGTCGGGTTGTATTTGTTTGTTGCAGGAATTCGGCCGGCAACCCGCGAAAATTTGCATAAAAGGGTGATTTTTGTCACCCTTTCTCGTGAAATGTTTGTATTTTTTCGTGTTTGCGCGCGATCTATTCGGCTCACTATCGTCAGCGCGGTATTTAGAGATGCGGAATTAAATTCTTCGTCGGGTTGTATTTGTTTGTTGCAGGAATTCGGCCGGCAACCCGCGAAAATTTGCATAAAAGGGTGATTTTTGTCACCCTTTCTCGTGAAGTATTTGTTTTTGTGTTTGCGCGCGATCTATTCGGCTCACTATCGTCAGCGCGGTGTCTAGAGATGCGGAATTAAATTCTTCGTCGGGTTGTATTTGTTTGTTGCAGGAATTCGGCCGGCAACCCGCGAAAATTTGCATAAAAGGGTGATTTTGCAATGCGCTCTCGTGAAAGTATTTGTTTTTTTTGTGTTTGCGCGCGATCTATTCGGCTCACTATCGTCAGCGCGGTGTCTAGAGATGCGGAATTAAATTCTTCGTCGGTTGTATTTGTTTGTTGCGGGAATTCGGCCCGGCAACCCGCGAATTGCATAAAGGGTGATTTTTGTCACCTTTCTCGTCGAAAATATTTAATATTTTTGTTTGCGCGATCTATTCGGCTCACTATCGTCAGCGCGGTATTTAGAGATGCGAAATTAAATTCTTCGTCGGGTTGTATTTGTTTGTTGCAGGATTTCGACCAGCAACCCGCGAAGGTGGACTAAGACGACAACTGGACTAAAATACCCAGAACGCATAGTTATATTTTGGCAATTTATAATATTTTATATTTTCTTATTCTGTTATTCATTCTGATTTATAGAGTCCAAGAAATTGAAGATTGGATTGCCGGTGTTGATGATGATTCCAAATACGATTGAATGAAATTACAACATTTTGAGACTGATATTGATCATTTTTATGTATTTTGTTAAAAGATTTAAAAAATAGCATTATATAATTGCATATTATTATCCTGTTTTCATGCATGTTTTGTTAAAAATGGTGTATATATTGAGAAATTGAGTTTGTGATTCTACATGTTTCAATAAAATTGATGTTTTATATTTTTAACTATAAATTTTTATTGTTTTATTTGTTCCAAACGGAGAACATAGCTTGCAACATCGTTACTCCTTTAATTAATCCATAAATCCCTTAAACTTTAATGGAAATGCCACTGCTAGATATGAGAAATAGTTCCAAATCAATTTTATATTGTATCAATATTTATTTAAAAACGGTATCACTAGTGTCATCTATCCACGAGTAACTAAACTACGCCCGCTATTCAAGATTGCTGGAGATTTAGCCTCCTCAACTTTCTGCGATCCTAATATTCCATCTTTATTTTCTCGACTCTGAGAGGCAAAATGACACAAAATTTGGACTCGAAACAGTCGAAACTCAGGATTTGGTATTCGGATCGCAGAAAGGGTGAGGAGGTAAGTTGAAATAAAGAGGCGGTAAATATTAATGGCGGAAAAAATGAATGTTTAAAAATCTTTATTCTGCAAATTCGGTTTTCAAATTCTGAAGAATCTCGACAACTAAGAGGGCTAGAAAATTAAGAACTACATAATATTGATCCTTGAAAAATTGAAGAAAAGATTTTGTTATAAAAAAGGCAAAAGATTTCTCTTTTTTATGATGAAAATTAAAAAAAGTTAAACATTAATTTTTCCCACCATTAATATTTACCGCCTCTTTTATTTACATACCTCCTCACCCTTTCTGTGATCGAATACCGTCAGTTCATTTATTTCAGTCAAGTAATAATCATTGCCTCTCAGAAAATCAACAAAATGAATAAATCGCAAAAATGAAACTTCATTTTCGCCGTAACTAGTAGGTACTGCCTCTGGTAGCGACGGACCGAAACTCAAAACTTTCGGTTGTTGTCGTTTCTAATTGATAGATGGCACTTGCATGCACTTTTCAAAATAAATGGTTTAAGAAATCGTTAAATATGTGATCAGGTAGAAATAACAGAAATAATTTTAATTAGAAAAATTTAAAAATATTCTTTATTAAAGAAAACACACAAGCATAAATGTTGGGAGACAATTTGTGTAATAATTACAAAAGTTATTTAACATCATGAAATTTATTACTAACAATCTGAACAAGAATGGTCCTTCTACGATGTTAGAGTCAGGTGCAAAATCCCTAAAACAAGAAAAAATTAGTCCTTCGTACAGGTCGAATTCCTGCAACAAACAAATACAACCCGACGAAGAATTTAATTCCGCGTCTCTAGACGCCGCGCTGACGATAGTGAGCCGAATAGATCGCGCGCAAACATGAAAAAATACAAACATTTCACGAGAAAGGGTGACAAAAATCACCCTTTTATGCAAATTTTCGCGGGTTGCCGGCCGAATTCCGGCAACAAACAAATACAACCCGACGGAGAATTTAATTCCGCATCTCTAGACACCGCGCTGACGATAGTGACACCGCGTTCGCGCGATATAACAAAAAAGCTACAATTCCTAGCGCGACGCGTACTACGGCGCAAACACAACTTCACTTTCTATAACTCGCGTTACGGAATTTTCCAGCAAAACATTTTTATACTGGGAGATGCAAAATTAAATTCTGCATCTAGGAAAATTAATCCGAACCAATTATGACACCGCGTTCGCCAGTTATAGCAGAAAAACTACAATTCCTAGCGCGACGCGTACTACGGCGCAAACACAACTTTCACTATAACTCGCGTTACGGAATTTTCCAGCAAAACATTTTTATACTGGGGAGATGCAAAATTAGAATTCTGCATCTGGAAAATTAATCGAACCAATTATGACACCGCGTTCGCAGTTATAGCAGAAAACTACAATTCCTAGCGCGACGCGTACTACGGCGCAAACACAACTTTCACTATAACTCGCGTTACGGAATTTTCAGCAAAGCATTTTTATACTGGGAGATGCAAATTGGTGCATCTAGGAAAATTAATCCAGACCAATTGCTGACACCGCGTTCGCCAGTTATAGCAGAAAAACGACAATTCCTAGCGCGACGCGTACTACGGCGCAAACACAACTTTCACTATAACTCGCGTTACGGAATTTTCCAGCAAAACATTTTTATACTGGGAGATGCAAAATTAAATTCTACATCTGGGAAAATTAATCCGACAATTATGACACCGCGTTCGCCGGTTCCTGGCGAAAACTACAATTCCCTGGCGCGACGCGTACTACAGCGCAAACACAACTTTCACTATAACTCGCGCGTTACCCGGAATTTTTTCAGCAAAAGAGCACATTTTTTATACTGGGGAGATGCAAATTAAATTCTGCATCTAGGAAAATTAATCGAACCAAATTATGACACCACGTTCCGCCAGTTATAGCAGAAAAACTACAATTCTAGCGCGACGCGTACTACGGCGCAACCTGGCACTCACTATAATAGATTTTGGAATTTTCAGCAAAACATTTTTATACTGGGAGATGCAAAAGAATTAAATTCTGCATCTAGGAAAATTAATCGAACCAATTATGACACCGCGTTCGCCAGTTATAGCAGAAAAACTACAATTCCTAGCGCGACGCGTACTACGGCGCAAACACAACTTTCACTATAACTCGCGTTACGGAATTTTCTAGCAAAACATTTTTATACTGGGAGATGCAAAATTAAACAATCAGAAGTATCAAACATAGGTACATACATACTGTACATATACTAAGAACACAAAAATATGATGAGACTTACCAGGAGTGAAAATCCTGTGATTGAGAATCGTAGGACAAGTATTGATGCCAAGTAGGAAACATATCAGGGAATGGACTTGCATTATAACCAGAATTGTTCGCATGAATCGACACTACAAAAGTCGAAATTTGGATAATGGTTGAACTGTACTGAAGGGATATTCCCGATCAAGTAAAATTGCGGTAAGAACAAATCAAAATAATTCAATGAAATATTTAGAAATATTAAATATAATCTAAAGAATAGAAATACTAACACCGATAAACAAGTAGAAGTCAAACAATTCTCGTGTGCAAGTTGCGGTACGGAATAAATATTTTATCAGTTTTATTTTCATGCACCAACCGGCCTAGCATCTCACATCAGCCGGCGGAGCAAACCGAAAGAAAATGTCAATAAATTCGCATATCAGGGGCATTTCAGTGTAAACATTAAACATCAGTAAAAATATGCATTTCCCAGGCGGGCAACGTATTAAACTTGTTGTAATTCAAACCTGAATGACAATTACAATGACGCGAAACTGAACTATGCCCATGAAATGAAGAATTTAGTTATAATCTCACCCATGAACTCTCTCCCCGTGAATGGTAACTCATGGAACGTCACTGGCCCTCACTGGTATTTCTTCAATTACTATAATAAATTAATAAAAGTTAAAACATGTAATACAAATGCAAAATAAAAGAATGTTATCAATTCGTGCATCAAAACACGATGTTTGTTGTCGAAATGTGTGTGCACGGTGCATTCCACACGGCGAACGAGATAAGAACGCACTAGTTGTAAACAAACACCGATAAGCGATAAGAAGATTGCTAGCACAATGCTAGCTGGTAATATCGACACAAGTTAGAAATGCTTAGACTTTAATTTAAATTCAATAAAAGATGCAAGCGTCCATATAAATTTACTGTATTAATTATGTTTTAAAACCGTATTGTTTGCAACAGAGCAGAGATAGATACCGGCGACGGCCGTGATGCGACTGAAAAGCGAATACGTGCTCGGCGCACGCGAGGAAAACCCGCTTATATCGGAAACTGAGAGACGCTTAGCACGGAAAACTAAATAAATTGCATTTATTATACTAACTTTAAGTAAATTCCAGCGTTATTTACGCGAGTGCAGAATAAAATAAATAGCAATTCTTACCAATTGGAAGATGGCCGACGGCACTTCATCACACAGGTAAACAGAGAAACGTAGAGCTGCGTACACACCAACGGAACACACTCAACTAACGCCGCGTGCGGGCCGACCGTGCTGAGCACGCCGTGCACAAAGTCACTGCAGCGCATGTGCGTTCGATTTGCACTACCAACATTAAAAACAAAAACTAAAACACCTGTCAACAACCGAAAACTAACTAAACGTACACAATCCGACTAGGACGTTACAATAAACATGGAGAATGTATCAATGCGTCGAATGCGTTGTCTCGAACAGCAAACACAATGCCAAAATTTTATATATGTTTATATATATAATTTTATATGGATAATAGTAGTAAATAGAGAAACAATATAATTATGCTACTAAAAACAAATTAACTAACTATATTTTGAAAAATACACCACAGTTATTTCATTTTTTTGTCGTTTTGCGTTTTGGCGAAATAGATACATAAAACAATCATAATCAATGTGAATAAATTCAATTCGGATGCGTAAAATCGGCCAACTTTGCCGGGTTGCAAGTCTACCACACCCCTTCAGCCGACACACGACAACAGAGACATCTTATATCCAATTCAATCAATTCAAAACAATTGCAAATTGCAAAATACGTCTAGAAGAGAACCGAGAAAATCGCAACGAACGCAAACATGTCCAAACGCGCAAACGAAGTCAGGCATTTCGCACGCCCTCCTTACAGCATCGCCACCCTCACTCACACACACACACACACACACCTACTTTAGTATTATACACATTGCCCCAGATAATAAACAATTCTTGTTATAACAGAAACGCGCGTCATCAGTCGTCAAAAATATCACGCTATGCTTGTGTATGTGTGTGTTCGAATTTATAAGATTTCACAAACAAATGATTGATGTCGATATCCAAGTCTCTACAAGCGACTTCCTTGCTAGTCAAAAACGCACTGCTACATTTAATACACATCAATCCAGAGAGGAACCGCATTCGCAAACATTGTTTTGTTGAATCAAACAGACTCAAAACAAATCGCCTGAATCGAATTTAACAAAATATAACTTAGCAGTTGTCAATTAGCAAAATTTCTTTCCGTAAAGAGGTAGGCAGTGTTCTCATATATCGTCATCAAAATAATTCAAATAAAAAGTACGGCTTTTACGTGAACGCAAGAAACGCAAACAAAAATAAGAATCAATCTCCGCCAATTGGGGTAACAATCTTGTTGCGCAATTGAATCAACACACGTTTTAATAGTTAACAACATTCGCAGCAGCAGCAGATTGGTTTTACGTTGAAAATTTCGTGTTTTTAATATGATAGAGTTTAGTTGTAATGTAAATTTGCGTGCGCGTCAATTTCCATCCGCATCTTCAACGTGTTTATTGTTGTTGTTGTTGTTGTGGCAAATCCCGCTTCCGTTCCAGACTCTCGGCTCCCCCGACTTCCCTCCGCATCTCAATTATATATATTATGTATAGTATACTATATAGAATTCTTTTCTTTCTTTTTGTGTGTGTGTTTTTAAGATAATATTAATATATATATTTGTTTTAAATCATCGTTTATGTTTTTCCGCACTAGTCACTTTTTAATAAGCGTTCCAGCACTCGGGCGCGTTCTGTTTCCGTTGTTGGTGGTGGTGGAAGTGATGGTGTTGTTGTTGTTGTTGTTGCTGTTGGAGGTGGTGTGTCGACGACGATGACGACGCTAGATCTTCGGCGGTGTTATTTTAATTGTTATTAGATGAATTTTATTATGCGTTGCGGATGGCACTAGTGGCGGGGTTCATATCTTCTGAATCTTTTCGCCGACCACCACGGGATTGTTGCGTCGGATCTCCTGCGCGCCCATCTCGCGGTAGTTGAAGGAGCAGTCGTGCTTGTCGCTGTATCGATGCGCCGCGCAGAAAAGACCTCCACAACGGCATTCAAAGCCTACAACATTTATATTTAGAATAATATAAATTTAATTATAATAAACAACTAGGAAATATTGCATTACCTGTAAGACCAACTTTCTTGCGACACACGGCGCAACGGTTCTTTTTCTTTTTAGCATCCTTATCGTCTTTATCCGAGCCATCGTGATCTGCCGCCTCAACACTACTACTGCCAGGATTAACACTGTCATCTTCTGCAATCTACACAACCAAACACAGGCAATTAGCAATTAAATTACAGCCATAAACATAATTAAATTAAATTAAATTATTATCTAACGGGCTGGCTGTGACTAGCCGACGGCGATTGCCACTCCTGGAGGCGTTGCGATGATGATCCGGATGGGATACGACTCCGCGACATTGCACACCCGTAATTTTACATTTGTACGATCCGCGCGAAAACTGACGACTGACGGCTGACACTTACAGGTAAATCTGTCGTTGACTGTTCCGAGCTGCAAATCGGCGATGGGAGGCGCGGTACCGTCGGCTGCGCCGTCGCGGTCTCCATGGGGCTGGGGCGCGACGGTACAAACGTACTGCTGGAAGGGCTCGGCGCTGAAACTGGCGGTTGTTGTTTCTTCTTTAAAGCTTCCTGCAAACAACGCACACACACAATTATTAACAAATCACTTACATTTTATCTTGTTTTTTATCTTACCTTATAACATATTGAACATAAACCATCGGTGGCTGGACATCCGTAGAAGCCGCACCCCGACCGGCAGAGGGCCTGCATTGGATTGCTCTCCTTCTCCATGTTGTGTGTTGATTATCCTAATTGGCCTACGTTCTCAGCTAGCTCCCCCAGGGATGTCTTGTGTCTTGTGATGATTTCCTCCGCTTTGCTTTCAATCTGTTGCGTTACGTGCTGCAAAAAGAAGAAACGCTTAATACAGGCGCCCCGACCCAACAACAACCGACCGAAATTATCGATATTTTATGACATGGGAATTTTGCATTTTTTAGATGTGACGAGATTGATTGTTGATTGAAGTGTGGCGACGTACACGTAAACAACGCAGAAAACAAGAGAAAACAACAATAATAATTAATTAATAACTATTAATTGTATAAATTAGAAATTATTACGATTTTTGATCAAATGAAAGTGCAATCGAAGCAAAATTTAAATCAATCATCGCATGTGCGCGTGACTTTGTCCTAATGAAATTAAAAATGCAGTAAAAATGAAACAGTCACTGAATTTCAATCACATCGCTTTTGTTTTCATGTTACACACAAACACACAATATGTATATCTATGTGTTTGGGTAGAAGTGAGATGTCGAAAATCTAGGACGCGATTGCAGCTTCGTGTCCTAGTTTCAATCTCGGCGGTGGGGCAGGCCGCGCGCGCGCGCAACAACCGAAAGAAAGCAAACCGCGCGTAGGTCGTTATATAACGCATTAGCATAATTCGCAATTACGCACATACCACGATCCACGATTCTTCAAAATTCAGGCAAGACTTTCACCGAAAAAAAACAACATACAACATTGCACAGCGTGCATAGCACAGTTATATACGCGTCGTTACCGTTTATCTGCCGCGCGCTGTGCGAGTGTTTTTTATTATTTCACTTCGCTTTTTATATAGGAAAGTGGGTCAGCGCAATTCGGCACCATGGTACCACGTCTGTGCGCTCTAGCCGCGCGTCTTGTACACGACTTAACGGGACCGAAATTTCGGTCGGGTTAAACAAACACACACGCACGCAAACACGGGCGGCGGTGGCGGCCGTGATAAATGACCTGATTATCGCCGATTCACAAACGAAGGTTGAAGAAAAGCGACGCGGGGAAAGAAGTGAAATAAAAAAAGTACACGAAACAACCCAGACGGCGTGTATCGATTTGTGCAAACACGCCAACCCGCCATATTGGTGGTCATACCGGAGGACAGACAATTATAAAAAAGAAGGGACGCAGAAATTTCAAAATGAACCGTTACTTCACATTTCGTCGGAAACTGGTATGCTTCTCACGACGGGACCACTTTTTCTGCTTTACATCCACCGAGTGTTACACGAAATTTACCAAAAATAAAAAATCATTTAACCTTTAAAAATATCAAGATAATAAACAAACAAATAAAAAAATAAAAATTTAACATAAACATTTATAACACCCTGTATATCATTGGGAGATAAATGCGGAAGGAACTTTTTCAAAGTTCAACGCTGCCAAAACAAGCGACGAGCATCAACGGACGATCCATGCGTGTCTCGACTCAAAACCGGTCCACAAAAAAACACACACAACGATTCCGCGTAGTTAAAAAATGCAATTATCAATCGTACAGGACGCGACGCAAAAGGAAGAAACAACATTACAAATTGTAATGTGGTGAAACAACGTCACCACCTCACCACACACAACAAAATAAAGTGCAAATCGTTCGCGTTGATTCGAGGTCGCGCGACGATAAAACGCGAATGACGTATGACGTATGTGGAAACGACGAAATTCATAGAATCACAACGCGTCAAATTTAAAAAAAGCAAACGCATGCGCGACACGAAGTCGTGACGTCACCACCGCACGCCAACACACAACGCACAAAGCGAGTCAGCGGATCGTCATCATACACGCCCCGATATACACTCGCGCGCGCATAGAGAAAAGTGCACACCACACACCAACTGCGGTGACCTTGAAAGGACGCCAACGGTATATACCTGAAGAGTGAAGGTATTGCAGCAGGTAGCCACAAGTGAAACATTCCGGGAAACAAATAAACTCTCTAGTGGAAGATGATTCACCCTTTTTCCGTTAATGACGGCGCTTAATGTTCAAATAATCGCAAATATTCGACGCTATATGTCTAGACGCATTGTTCATGCCCATAGATATTATTCTAGAACACTCGCTCGCGCGCGCGGCAATTGTTTTTGTTTACGATGTGCGCGCGCGTACAAACATGACGTCATCGGCGACTAATCCGAGTGTACGCGAGTGCATCATCACCATCGGCATTGAATGAATCGAAACACTCGTCGAAATTTCATCAGCGCCGCGCACAAAACAAGGACACACACAATAATACAATCCGCCTAAATAATAAACATAATATTCATTTACAGCAAGCAAAAATATTTTCTTTATTTTGTTATTCAACCCGCATTTTATGTGTTTACGTTCCGTTTATCTTGTTGACACATACAACGCCGTCGGAAATACCCGAACAATAACAAAAACGCAGCGCGATGCCCAGCGACAGGTTGTACTATGTATAAACTCACCGTACGATACCGAAATCCCCTCGCAGTGCGTATAGTAATCCAGAAAAATAATCGATATGTGCGAAAATCAGCTGATGGCTTTCAAACTGCGCACCAATCCGCAGCACACGCGACACGCACCACAACTACACCCAAACACGATGAGTATTTACGTATGTTTCATTCACTGACAACTCCTCACGAGGTTTTCAGACTGCAGCAAGTAGATGCGTTTTCGCGACACAACCGTCGAAGAATGAGTCGAATGTGGTAGGCGGCGATGAATTTAAACACGGGTGGCTTTGTTTGGCGGACGAAAACAAAAGAATTTGGCGTTTCTCGAGCAAAGAGTGCTGGTGGCGAGCGCACGCGCGCATACAGAGCGAACGCCAACTCACGACTGGCGCGGCGGCGATTTCTCGCAACTTTACATGACTGTGCAACTGTGTGCTGTGCTGCGCACGCGTATTCCTCACGCCAAACAAAGCGCGCAGATATACACGAAACAAGTGCGACAAGGATGCACAGCGTGTGTGTGCGTCGCGTATACGACAAGATGGCGGGCTGCAGCAGGCGAACGACGACGCCAAATGCGCAGTTTTCAGACGTCGCCACCAACTACAGCTACAAGATTATACATTAATATTTAATTAACTCCAAACAACATCACCATAGCATGCAATAAAATCAACACACAGCTATATAATGAACGCGGCTGCAAATTTTTATTTATTTAAATATATTGCTGAAAAAATATACACGGTTCTAATCAGCTGTGCGGATATGTAAAGGTCGCACACGCCACACACACGTGCGCGCGCAGTACGTATTGTCGCTTGCTTGATGATTGTACGATTTTGTTTGTTGAAAGAGAAAAAAATGAAGCACGACTCGCAGTGTACATATGCGAGAAAATGGCCGACCATGGCCGTACGGTGCCACCAGCACAGCGCTCGGCGACACCTGCGCTCACGCAAGTTCCCCTCGCTGCGCCCGTATTAAAATGCGTGCAAACCCACCCCAGATAAACCCCGCACCATTTGGTACTCGTACCCCCTTGATGCGGGCGGGCGCACGTGAATAAAATGCAATTTAAGTTGGACTTACGTGTGAGACGACTATGAGTCTGCAGTAATGGTGGTAGTAGTGTCCGCGAAAATGGTATCCGAAAATGGCGCACACCGTGAGTGTTCAGCGAGTACGCCGCCGCGCCGATGGCGTGCGATGGAAGCCGTGGCGATTGACGAGAGGCGATCGCTGCGAGGGTAAGGCGTCGACGACAACGACGAGCGAACGTTCGCCTCGCACAGACTGGTGTCCACGACGCGAACGGGCGAGCGTGCCGACACGACCAGACGATTGACAAAACTGGCGACGGGCGCGACGGTGGCGACGCGCTCATGGCTCGGCCGGCGGAAGCGGACGGAATTAGCAGCTACCACGTGATCGGGAATCCTCGGCATTCATTGGTTGTTGCAATGACATGCAGCGCCAGGAATGATGATGAAACAAAGATTTACAAAATAAAAATGATTTAAAACTGCATAAAACATATAAAACTGGCAATAAAAACCATATAAATTTAAATTATTTATAATAAACCATGTAATTCCTATGTATAACATTCAATATTAATATTTTCATTGCAATAAAATATTTCTGCGTGCCACGAGCGCCATCAATGTCACATGCACATGTTGTACTAATTACACACCAGATTGAATATATATTTTTGAAAATAAACCCGGAAAGTTGATAATAACTATCAAACGCACATCTAATACAATCAAATAATGTCTCCTAAAAAGCCTAGGACGTGTAAATCACCAGAAGGTATTCAATTCTGTAAAAACTTGCATAGAAATTAATATAACCTCAAAATGTTCTTAAACTTTACAGAAGTATTTCATAACTACATTTGCGAAAATGAAGATTTATCAGTCGGAATCGCCTCTATCATGACTCTAATGCACACGATTAAAAATGCCAAGTGTAAGTTACCATCCCAACTACTTTTACACATTTAAATCTGAATTGTTTTCAAATTATGAATGATTTTAGACAGCACATTACAAGAGCTTCGAGAAACCCTCCACGAAAGCATAAAACAAATGAAGCAAACAGACCATCCAGTCGCTGCTATCACCTCCGGCTGTGAATTATTCATGCGTTTCATCACTTTAATAGAAGATTCCGAGGTAAAACTATCAAAAAACAACATAAAAATCAAATTAAACTAATAAAATACACATTTTTAGTCAATTGAAGATTGTAAGAAAAGAATGTTAGCAAGAGCAGACATATTCCTACAAAATCTAAACGAATCACGTGGGACAGTCGCCCGAATCGCACAGAAATTCATCCTGGATGGTTCTGTAAGTAATTATTTACTAAAACTAGAAAGATATTGATGATTTCTTCACAGAAAATCTTAACACACTCGAAAAGTCGTGTTGTGCTGGCCGCAATGAAAGAAGCAGCTGCACAAAACAAAAAGTTCCAAGTGTTCGTCACCAACACCGATAAACGCGCGGATACAATGGAAACAGAACTGCGCAAAGCAGGAATCAGTGTCACGATGATATCGGACGCCGCCATTGGATACATCATGGAATACGTGGATTTCATCATGGTTGGCGCGGAGAGTGTGGTTGAAAGTGGAGGAATTGTCAATAAGGTAACAGGAAAATTTAAAAAAAAATCAAAGAAAACAATAACATAACCTAAAAAACTTAAAATTTGACAGCTCGGAACGTATCCAATGGCGATCTGCGCGAAAGAAATGAACAAACCGTTCTATGTCCTCACAGAAAGCTTCAAATTCTCGCGACTTTACATTCTAAGCCAGGATGACCTTCCAGATGAATATAAAGTAAGTATTTATCATTAATCTCACCAAAAATTCACTCTAATCATTTTTTGTTTAAGTTTTCACCTACGATGAAAAAAGACAAAGTCAAACTGTCAATGGTCGACTACACGCCACCTATCTACATAACCTTACTTTTCACCGACCTAGGTATCCTCACACCTTCAGCTGTAAGCGATGAATTGATAAAACTCTACTTGTAATTTAATTTAATAAAACATTGATTATCTGCACATTGCACATGGTTAAGTGATGTAAACGTGTGTTCAATTTAAAATATCTTAAACATTTCCAATGTGAGCTTGATAAATTATACTTTAAGGCACTTGTCGTAAGTCGCATAAATAATAATCACAGGAATAATAATCAGAAATTTCACATGTGAATGAAACCACATCGAAAACACGATAATAATTAAAGAAACTACGCGTTAAAAATGTAACTTACCTTTGTTGTTTTGTTGCGTGTTTTGTGTGTGTGTTGTGTTATATGTTAGTATTGTTTAAGACTGGAGCGATAAACCGCGCATAATGTATCGACAACGGTGTTGATCTGCTCGAAATTCGGGCGTTTCTCGGGTTGATACTCCCAGCACCGCAGCATTAGACGATACATTTCATCCGGAGTGTTTTCAGGCGCTGGCATTCGATAACCTATGATTTTTTTAGTTAAAACATGAGTAAAATGTGGGAAAATTGAGGTTATGTGTACAAACCTGTGTCGATTTTTTCACGGGCTTTTGTATTGCTCATTCCGCTGTAGGGTGTGCCTCCACGTGAGAAAATCTCCCAGCAGAGTATGCCGTAACTCCACACGTCACACAACGAAGTGTATTTTCCTATTAATGCAAAAGTTATGCATAAAAATGTGATGAAAATAATTTTAAGGTTATATTTGAGGTTATAACTTACCGAAATTTAAAGCCTCTGGTGCCGTCCACTTGATCGGTATTTGTTTCATACCGTCGGAGACGATGTATTCTTCTTCTTCTCGTGACATGCCGAAGTCGGAGATTTTCACAACGTTGGCATAACCTAATTTTATAAAAATATTTTTCAATATTTAAATATTTTAAAAATTATTATAATCTTACCAACTAAACAATTTCTCGCAGCTAAATCACGATGAATGCAATTCTTTGACTCCAGATACCGCATGCCGGCGACCGCGTCCAGGCACATATTCATTAATTGTGACTCGGTTAAAGTCGCGGCTTTCTTGCGCAGAAAAGTCAGCAGTGATCCGCCGGGCACAAGCTCCATGACGATCATGATGGGTTGTTTCTGGACGCAGATGCCGATGAGTTTCACGATGTTCGGATGGTCGTATTGTTTGAGTATGCGGCCTTCCTGGAGGAATTTCTTTTTGTGTTCGTCGGGGAGCGTGACGCGGCATGTTTTCACTGCGACTTCTTGCTGGCTGTTCTTTAATTGCGCTTTGTAGACATCGCCAAAGTTACCCTGCACAGATTTAATATAAAACTAATAGAGAATTTCTCGTAGATTATGAATCTTCAATCCGGTGCTTTTTATCACTTTTAGTTTATGAGATATCCGCGAAAACAAAAAATTTTAAATATTTAAAATTATTTGCACGCCATTTGCTTGTAAATCCTGACACTTTGATTTAAAACTAAACATTGTGCATGAAATTTCATGTTCAAGTGATATCGCGTATTGTTATCGCCAGATACAAAAAGTGAAAGTAAACAAACAAGCAATCCGCAACGCGGCTCACACGGACACGATGTGCACTCACTACCACCAACAAAACACCTCGCAGATCTAACAAATCTAACAAACAAACATTTAATATGAAAAACTGCATCCTAGCGCCATCTATCGTCATAAAATATAACTCACATCGTGTCCTTGTGCACTTACTACCTCACACAAATAATCTTGCAGATATAACAAGCAAACAATAAATATAAGAAACTGCATCGTAGCGCCATCTCTCGCCATAAAATACAACTCCATACAAATTAAATGTAAGTAAGACTTCACTCACCCGGCCGATTTTATCCAACAGAATCACATCGTCGTTATTCAGTTCCCATCGCTCCCGCGGAATCGGTTTATACAATATGGCGCCCGAACGTGCGGTGACCGGAAGCCCGCTGTCGCACTGATAGAGGATCAGTTCACGTATGCTTGGAAAGGCAGGTCCTTCAAAACGATAATGTCCCTGCAAATACAACATCATTGATTAATTAACCACATCTACCACAACAACAAACACTTACTTCTGTTGTTGTTTGAACAATGAAATGTTTATGCCCGCCCCAACACACAGACAACACCGTTTGGCACTCGTCATTCCTCGTCGTCTCCCGCACAAGAAAATCACCTTCCTGCGTCAATAATCGGACAACTTCTTCGCGTGGCAGCACACCGTGAAACCAATCTTCATCAACCAGCGGTTTATTTATACTTAAAGACACCTAAAATCAAATTAAACATAAAATAAATTTTGTATTTTATAAAAATACAAAACAATACAATAAAAACACATGTTAAATATAAAACTTGTATGAAATATTGTGCAATACATTGTGCAAACGTGCTAAAAGCAAACAAACATTCGATTTTCTGTTAGTAAAGCAGAAGAAAACATAAAACACACAGATAATATTTTATGACGTACAGGATCAGCGCCCTCGCTCTGCGTGGCGGAACCTCTGCGAACCCGCGTCCTAGGTGGCGCTATCGGCGATGATGGCGCCGACTTCCGACGAAACGGCTTGCGAAACAGCCGCGCGACAAACTTGTGCTTATGCTTCTTACTTGCCAACGGCGACAGCGACATCTGATTAATACCATTACCCACAACCGCGAGTTTAAGAAAATAATATACCATCACCGAGATTAGCACAAAACATTTTACAATAAATAAAATAGAGATTAAACACATATTTACCTGCTCAGTGGGATTACTAATAAAACCAGCGGTGTTATCTATGGAAATATCCAAACCAGACGGGACTTCTTCACATCCCAATTCATTAAGCGCTGATTTTATTAGCTCAGTTTGTTTTAGCATCTTTCTTTCCAGGCATTTCAATTCGTTTAGTTCTTTTCTATTCACTTCTAGACCACTGCCTGATGTTGAAGATAACCTAAAATATAAAAATTTAAACATAAAGTTGATATAAATTTAATATGTGTTAATAAATGTACCGATTATTAAGCGTGGAAGAAATGGTGGAAGTGTCAGTCGTAACTTTGCCGTTTTGCATCGCAGCGCCATCATGCGGCACAAGTAGCGCCCTCTTTTCTTGACTTTCCTTCAAACTACTCTCCAACTCGCCTAGTTTCGTCCTCAACCATTCCACGGTTAAATTATCCACAGTCAGTTGATTCGGAAGTAATTTCCCGGCAGAATCTTCGACCAGTGATTCATCAAACGTGAATTTTACCGGTTCAGAAGGGGCAGTTCTTAAAAAAACACACAAAATCAACAAAATTACTAAAAACCTAAAATTTCTTACTTGTGTTTCTCTGTGAAGCCATTATACTCATCACAGGGTTTAATAGCCTCTAATCCACCCTCGATGCGTCTGTAAACCTCGCGAAACTTCTCCGCGGCAAGGTCCGAATACTGTGCGACTTCCTGCAGGATCACCTTCCACGCAGCGACGAAATTCTCCTGCACACTCTGCTGATGCTCCAGCAATCCGGGCAATAGAACCGTCCGGAAATCCTTTTCAAACTCGGACGCCTCACACAACAACAACACGTACTCATTGTGCGTGAGGTGAAGTTTTCTGCATGCCTTCTGGTATTTATCGCGCACCTCGTCCAATTTACGCCCGCCGCGTCCAGCTGAAACGAAATTAACGATTCGCATCAGAAATAGAACGAATGCGTCGGCCAGAGAGGAAATATTTCTCGGCCGGCGTATTTTTAGCCGGTGTGGAAAACGGACTTGAACTCGGCGGCGCAAACATTGCAAGACAAGTCGAAATGATGATCATGAATTACGAAACGCACAACAAAAGTTATTCAATGCGCAAACAACGCCGTCGTTAATTAACCTGTGACATTCTAATTGCGACGACGACATTTGCTTGTGTTATTGTCTCATTGGATTCGATTAAAACTTACACTTGACGTAATGCTCCTCGAAGCGTGACCGCATCTGTTTGTAGACTTCCAGATATTTCTGGTAGTCGGTCTTTTTGCGTTGCACATCTTCTTGTAACTAAAAACAAAGAAAAACAAAGAAAAACATTAGTTAATCAATTAATATTGCATTAAATCACGGTATAATATAAAATATAAACTTGTTTTGTGATTTTCTGCCAAAGATTCAGTAAAAGTGAAGAGAAAATTATAATTTTCAAATAAAATATAAAATTTTGAGGTGAAATCAGCGTTTTTGAAGCAAAAAATCACGCAAAAACACAACTAACCATAAAAAACCCTAAAACACCCTAGAATATCCCCAACCTGTCAAAATTTCAAGTTATGCAACCAATAATACAGATTTCTAAGCATAAAAGCAAATTTTCTATCAATATAATAACGCGCCATGTTTGTTTAGGAAGTCAATGGCGGCTTGGACATATGTTCACCGGTCGTTCATTAAGAATTTGCAGCACCACCGGCGTTCCACTCGCTTCCCGTTCTCTGTCCGTGCGTTCGTGGTTCATTGACTTTGCGCAGCAGTCGACCACTGGCCGCCGCGCCGTGTCATGTGAGAATGAGAAGAGAAGTAAGAATTACGAATCGAGAATTAAGAATGAGAATGTCCGACACTCCGACCGTCTTGCCTTTTTTATTCTTATTTATAGACATCAAAGCAACAAACAGACAAGGTGTGTTCTTACAGCGCAAGCGCGATTACTCATTTGTACTACTTTTAATACGTTTAATTTATACACACAGATGAATAACATTCTTCGGCGGAGAGAAAAAATGTTATTAACTGCACAAAATATCAATTTCCACATGTTCCACCACAAAAACACGTGTAAAATGTGTAAAATGTATAAAATTCGCAATAATTACACACATACACAACGCCTCTATTGTTTTTCTAACGTATTAAGATGTTATCGCGATTAATTAATTAATTCCAAGCGTGAAAAAGAGGAAGCAATCGTTTTGTTGAAATTACACGCCAAATAAATCACATCCAAACGCGAAACAAAAAAGTTTCAAAGTGTCAACACATGACACTATCAAGTAAGTGTCCTAAATACATGAAATAATTTATTTATTTATAATCATCACACCGCCTCGTTGTGCGCATGACACATGACAATTCAAAAACTTTCTTCGGCAACCACCCATACACCCACACACAATATGATTGTACAAACAGGTGAAACACGCGTGTAACCTTCACGTCAAATCGCCAACTTATCGCCGATTGTAAAAAACGACGCAATAAACGCAATCAAACCAACAAAAGCGGAAAGAAAACGCCAATCAGGCGTAACAACATTAAAAACCACCGTAAATTCAACCACGCAGCGCGCAAATGACTCCGAAAATATAAATATTCACAACTACTGCATCTCAAACAGTGTACGAGTATTTATAACCCGCCTGAAAACTATTAGATCAGCGCACGGAATTAAAACGTATTTGCGTTTGCCATGTAAATATCCATGATAGTGAAAGAAAGCAATGCATTCTACCCCTCGCGATAAAGATAAGCATTTTAAATATATAATAATAACTCACGTGTGTAAATTGTTGTGCAATACGCGTGTGCTCCTCCTGATAAAACTTGCGCGCTTTACGTTTATCCGCATGCAGCGCATTCAATGCATCCAGGGTTTTTGTCTCTACGAGATCCGCGTTTTGTCGAAGTAGTTTCCCAGCGCATTCGAATTCGTCCATCATGGTGCGCCATGCTGCTTGCACGCAGGATCCAGCCAAATCGTCGTTTGCGCCGCCGCCAGCGACTTTCGCTCCTTGCGCCGCTGCGGCTGTCAACGCCAGCGCGTATTCTCGATCCGCGCGTACTTTCGATGTGAGGCAGCGCTTCATCGTCTCCAGCAGACGCAATTCTGCATCCTGACGGAGTAAGAGCGCCTCGTGTGCGCTGCGGCCTTGCAGAGTCGTTGAGAAACCCATTTTTGATTAAAAAATAAAAATACTTTCAGTTGATGGTAGGCATTTTGTTATACACCTAGAAAATAATAATTATGATTAGGTTTTTGTGGATGTTTGATGATTTTGTTGACTTGACGCACCTTGTTTCACTGTTTGACTGTGGTCAGAGACGCCTTGCTTGTGTTCTTGTTCTGCGCCCCGTTTTTGTTATTCTTTCGCTCGCCGCGCGCCGAGAAGAGATCCACGCCGATCCGCGCTCCCCGCCATCAATTTACATTCACATCACACACATTCACATGCATACGAAAACCGCAAACTGACCGCGACGCGCGACTATTCTTCACTTTTGTTATCCTCGCACGCCGTGGACATCCGATTATAATATTCGAATATATTTTCACACACATGCACGTTTGGGTTGAATATTTGATATTTTTGTTTTTAGAATTCGTATTAGATTTGGTTTTATTGCGGTTGTGGATTGCGCACGGCGACGTAATCGCTAGACGCGCGCAAACGCGACTGAATCAGACAGAATGTTGTGTGAATGTGAAAGAGTTAAGGCAAGTCGCGTTCGGGCAGCGGTTGGGCTGAGCACATAGAGCGGGCGCGCAACACAACACCGAACCGGCTTTGGTTGTGTTTGTCGTTGTGTGCCCGATTACCGAAATAAAACAGCTTGCGTGTGGCAACAGGTTCCGAAACAAAAACTTATTTAAACGAGCATGTGATGTTGTGATATAGGCAACCAGTGTTACACCTATGCACGTAAATGCCAATGTAAAGTAAATTTCTTACATTTTCACAGATTTTTACACAAAAAGACAAGTGTTGTGTTGTAATATAGGCAACCAGTATTACACCTATGCACGTAAATGCCAATACAAAGTAAATTTCTTACATTTGCACGGATTTTCGCACAAAGAAACAAGAACATGTTGTAACAAAGTGTTTTGTGGTAATATAGGCAACCAATGTTACACCAATGCAAACATTTATACACAAAGGACAAATGTGCATTGAAACACATCTCTGTTGTAATATAGGCAACCGATGTTACACCAACACAAATAAACCCCAAATCAACGCAAATTTTCTACATTTAACAACACAAAACGCTTCAAATGACAGATTTTTTACACAACGTCTTGATTGCAATGAGCAAAGCGTCGTGCTTGGTCCGATTCAGGTACTTTTTCGCGTAGAAATCAAAAGTACCTTCTTTATGCAGAATCATGTACAATCTCTCCGCGTATTTTCTTCACATGCACAAAATTAATAAAAAAAAAACTTATATAGAACTAAAATATATCTGCGTAGGTACTAACCTTGTTTCTACGTTTTTATCGTCCAGAAAATAGCCGAGATTTTCAATAATCCTCTTGCGTGTTGTCTCCAAATTCGGATTATTCATAACAGCCGCAGGTCCAGCGATAACCACCGCGCAAATTATCAATCGGACCGCCGCACAGCGCACCAATGGATTACGATGCGTTGGACCCTTGGCGCAGAGCGAACGCACCGCGTGGAATATCGGAATATGCGTTACCATGGCATCCAGCGCCATGTTGGCATCCTGACGGATGAATTTACTCGCATCGGCGGTTTTATACAATAATGTATTGATTATATCATCGAATTCCTTTGCAAACAAACAAAATTAACATTTTAAGGTTCTGTAAGCATAACCATTACTTACAGGTCGACGTGTATCCTTCATAACCTCAAAAAAATGCCCGGTAAGTTGACATGCGGTGCGCGCCACATGCGATCGCGGCGATTTCAGCAACTCCAACAATCGTTGATTTATCACAGTCATATAGGGCATGATAAAGTCTCTGGACATGTGTTTCGCCATGTCTATAATCTCAGCTAAACCTTTTAACGACGTATTAAAATCCGGAGACTTTATCAGATTCAAAAGAAGAAAAAAACCATTATCACAAGATGATGAGGATCCAAATAAAGTAGAAGAACTCTAATAATATAAACAAAATATTTTCAGACTAAATTTTTAGGTTAAAATAATTATATTTACCATTGCGCATGGAATTTTCTGGATTTTTTGCTGTCGCTTTGCCAACTCTTCACTTTTCACCGCACGCGCCATTACACCGGGCGTGAACCTTGCATACGGAATCTCCCCACGCCCCAATTTCAGACCATCAGCGCCCTCTCTAAATTTACTCCCCATCAAACACCGCACGCTTTCCACTTGTTGTTTCAACGACTTGCTCTCGGAGCTTAACGTCGGCGACATGAACGTACCCCGCGCATGCGCATCCTTATTCTTCATTGCGCATTGATAACGCGAACCAATCGCGTCCGTCATTGACGAGCTGCTAAACTTAGACGCCTGCGGTGATTTCGGCCGACATTCATCACTCACCCGTGAGATTTTTGTATCACTACATGTCGACGTCGTATAAAACTTCTCTTTGAGCTTGAGGTTATGTTCGGGGTACATGTCGAGTCTACGTCATCTACGCCATATTGTGTTTGGGAATGCCATGCGCCTAGCTTAGAAATGCGTTTTTCTACGTTTTTACCACTCCTAACCTCAATTGCTTCGTCATTCAAATGAATAAGACTATGAAACGATGTCATCTGTCGATTGAAGTCTTTCTCTCGCCCGGCGAGTGAAAATTTCGAGCGGCCATGTTGAGAAATTCTCGGGATAAGTGGCGATATGTTTAAATCATCCACCCATTGATTTAACCTTACATTATTTACGTCTTTCATGTCAAGAAACTCTAACAACTCACGTGTGGCTTTTGTATGATGCGTCGAATTCTCTTTTTCGGGTTCTTCACGTAGGTTAAGACTATCCACGCTGAATTTTTCATCGAAATCATCTGCTTGCGATACTTTTAATTTCTCTGCCTTTAAATCAAGTTGAAGATTTTTATTTGTAGGTTTTTGACGTGTGCGGACGTTGAGTTTGTCGATTTGGGCTAATTCTATGATGGTTTTCGATGTTTGCGTGTAAGATTCTTGATTTAGTTGAGGTTTTTCTCTTGTAGGAGCACAATCTAATTGAAAATAAATTAAAAGTGAGGTTAGGTTTTGATATTCAACTACTAACCGCCGTGTTGTATCTTTCTCGAGCCGTTTTCACGTTTGACATACACCGGAGCCATGAATAACGTTTTTGGTGGTTGATGTTTCACCGCGCAGGAATTTAACGCCTTGTATGATGGAATATAATCATTACCACTCATGATATGCAATTTTCTAATGTTTAACCCTCAAAATATGAATATTTCCACGCAGAACGTGTGAATTTTTCTGACATTTGCAATTTTGACAGTTTTGACAGTGAATATTTTTACATCACGTGCGTCGTAGGCACAAAGAAGATTAAAGCACGTCTCCTGTGTGCACAAACAGCTCAAAGAACGCAAATATGTCGATGTAATCCCAATATTTTCTTTAAATCTCTGCATATGCGTCGCCGATTATTTTTTAAGGTTAATCTCTTGTGTTATGTTGGTATCACCAACACCCACTTGGGAAATACATTTCTTTTCATCCGCTGGATAAACGAATAAAAATATTTCGAGAAAATCAAATACGCAGCTATAAAACGGTATAAAAGCTCACCGATTGCAGATATTCTTCAGTCGTTTATCGTCGTTGCTTGCAAAGACACCCCGCCACCATCTTGATTCAACCTGTCAGTTGTCACAATGCACTTGGGCGTCGCTATAGTCGCGCTCATCCTCTGCGTGACCTTGGTGCATTGCGAAGCGCAAGTCACGTTCTCAGCCGGATGGAACCCCGGCAAACGCAACTCCAACCCTGGCTACGTGTCAATCGGCGGTGTTAATCCAGCAACAGGCAGTCGCAACATCCGCCCGACGATTAAATCCATCACTAACGTTTGTCATTTGTTAATTGTAAGTTAAAGCCCTGTCAAAATTTAGCGAAAACTAATACTTTTTATGATTCAGAACCAAATCCGAGAATTGTCGAACTGCGAAGCGTCGAAATACGAACCGCGCGGCGCAGAATCAGAACCGATCTTGTTTGAACCAACAAATAAATGAGAATACACATAACTAGCGGCCATTATGATTGTAGACGTTGAAACGGCTGGAAATAACTGAATTTTGTTGTATTTCTATTGAAATGTAATGTAAACTAAATAAAAAATCAATAAATACGTAATGTAAAAAGAAAAAATCGCAAAATATTTACGTGTTTAAATTAAACTAGAATAAAAACACGGTTAATCCGTGGAATTCTAGTGTGAACTAAGCGTTACCTACGCCGCCATTGTGAAAGTTGGTCAGCTGACAGCCCGAAGTATACCGAGTCGGGCAAATTCGAGCTTCACGCGCAATCGAAAGCTCGCCCGTGTGTTGATGGATTTTCTCAACAAACCGACCCAGAAATCGTTCACAACTGCTCAAAACGCTCAAAACTCCACGCATTTTCACGACAACCACGTGAATATCGTTCACATCTACCATCCTGCCAGCATTGTTTCTCACCGTGTGAGAAAACACGCACGCAAAGTAAAACTGGAGCGCGATAATGTCCATGTTTCTGCGCTCGAATACAGCTAGGTTATGTTTGTCAGCGGTAGCTAGAAGGGCTTACAGCAGCAAATCCGAAATCGTAAGTCTTTTTAAACGTAAAATACTTAAATAAATAAATAATTAAATATTGATATACCTTTATAGAGAGGTCTTGTCCTGGGTGCTTACACTGAGAACAAATGCATTGAGCTGACACCTGCTGCCAGGCAGTTTGATGAGAAGACTGCTGGGAAGCTGACAAAGAATCTTCAACTGTGAGTTGTGTTGTTGAATATCTGTAAACCACTGCTTTGTTTTTGAATTACTTGGTTATGATTGGTTTGATGAGGGTGCATTTGTGTTGAATTGGTTGCCTATTCTTCTGTTAAATGATTGTCATAGTCATAGTTTTTATATTATACACTAGCCTGAAACTTTCATTTAATTTCCTTTCATGTAATATTTTCTCACTGTTGACACTATCCGTACATTGAAAGTAAACTAATTGAATGTTTCAGGTTATAAAATAAACGTACAAACCAAAACCGAAAAAAACAAAATGTCATCGATGCGCGATGGCCGCAGTTCATCCGCGTCATCACACAGTGGGCGGGGCGATCAAAACAACGTTCCGAATCGTTCCTCGTCCATACGAACGCCGAAACGTCAACGCCCAACGCCATCTAACTCCCTGGAAGACAAACAACTCGAACTGGCATGTCCTGTTTGTCTTGACATCATCGATGAGGCGCATATAACAAAATGCGGACATACATTTTGCTATGCGTGTATTGTGCGCAGCATCGATATGCTGCAGTCGTGCCCGCGTTGCAATGCTCCACTAACAATGGACCAAATCTTCCCCAACTTTCTCCTCAACGAACTGGTCGTCAAGTACAAACTGCGTCGCAACTGCCTCGACGCGATCGGCAGCGTCGAACAAGATGGCGCTGACGGCCTGCGCAACTTCGTCGCTAGCGAAAGTGGTAACCTAACTTTGACGGACGTGAATGTCATGTTAGAAGTACTCACGCAACGCAAGCAACTGCTCGAAGCCGAATCATGCGCAGCGCAGAATAAACTCCTGCTCGAATTTCTCAAACACCTCCGTCAGAAAAAGAACGACGAAAAACAACAGATAACAAAAGAACTTACATTAATCGAGGAGGATATCGAAGAAGTCGAGAATAAACTTAAAGAAGTACACAGTAAATGTCCAACTCTCGAAGATGTCGAACGAACGGTCGCGTCGGCGGCGAGTTTAACCGAAGGCAATGAAAACGTCACTGCCATGCGTCAAGAGATGATGGATTTAATCGGCAACATTGGCAGCACTGTCGCTGTCACCGGTACAACCACGCCGACAGCGCTCGCGGCAGCGCAGCAGCCATCACATGAAATATCCGCACCGAAAATCGAAAATAAACTGTCATCGTTGGCAACGCGCAGGCGCAGAATGCACGCACACTTTGACGACTTTGTCCAGTGTTATTTCCAATCACGTGGGAAAGATTTATACTTCCCGCAGGAAAATCGCATTGAAGAACCACGCCAACATGGCGGACTCGATGAATTCCGCGAAGATTTAGTCAAATTCTCACGGTATTCATCCGTGCGCGCCATTGCAACCATCCAATTCGCCAGTGACGTCTTCAACAACTCCACCATTGTCTCCTCGATTGAATTCGACAAGGATAATGAGTATTTAGCCATCGCAGGCGTTACAAAACGTATAAAAATCTTCGAATACGGTACTGTAGCTCGTGACGTAGTCAATATTCATTATCCCTGCATTGAAATGGTGTCCAACTCGAAGATATCTTCGGTTTCATGGAATAGTTACAATAAAAACACACTGGCTTCGTCTGATTACGAAGGCACCGTCACGATTTGGGACGTCGGGACTGGCCAACGCACAAAAACTTACCACGAGCATGAAAAACGTTGCTGGAGCGTTGACTTTTCCGAGTCGGATCCGCGTTTGGTCGCTTCGGGTTCCGATGATGCACGAGTCAAGTTATACAACATGAATGTCGACCATTCGGTGGCGACGCTCGAGGCACGCGCGAATATTTGCTGTGTGAAATTCAACCCGAAGAGCAGTTTTCACCTGGCGTTTGGTTCCGCTGATCACTGCGTGCACTACTACGATCTGCGTAACCTCAAAGAAGCGCTATGTTTATTCAAAGGTCACAAAAAAGCCGTGAGTTACGTCAAGTTCCTCAATGGCGAGCACATTGTCAGCGCATCGACGGACTCGCAGCTGCGCATGTGGAATGTCAACGCGCCATATTGTCTGCGGTCGTTCCTCGGTCACGTGAACGAGAAAAACTTTGTCGGATTGGCCACAGATGGCGATTACATCGCGTGCGGATCCGAGAACAACGCGCTCTATGTGTATTACAAGGGATTAACTAAGAAATTATTTAAGTATAAGTTTGATGGACCGCGCGGTATTCTAGAAGAGGAAGAGAGACGCGAAGATGATCCGAACGAGTTCGTGTCGGCCGTGTGCTGGAAGCCGAATTCGAATATTTTACTCGCCGCGAACAGTCAGGGCACGATCAATGTGCTCGAGCTGGTTTAAACAAATTGAAATCTTATACGAACCGAGTTGTGAACGTTGTGTTGTTAGGACAATCAATTGATTTGTAGGTTATATGAACACGCGTACTTACTAAGAGATGTCAAATATGTCAAATGTCAGCGCTTTGTGTATCTCCCGTCATAACCTTAACATAACCCGAAGTTACACGAACAAGCTGTGCAATTGTTTTCGTTTTTGACTAGACTAGAGTTGAGATTCAAACAAAATAAAAAGAAAAACGTAATCTAAGTGTTCTGCGAGCGCCGCGGTGGTGAGAAGTCGTACCTTATTAGTTGTTTATGCGCAAAAAGTTTATCCGACGAAAATCGAACGAAATCAAACAAAAAATGAAAAAAATAAGATGAGAAACGTTAAAATATTTTTAGATAGATGTTTTTTGTCACATATATAATTATATATTCGAGCGTTTTTCAATGTGATTATGTAATCGAAATATTTACAAACAAAAAATGATTTGCCAAGCAAAAAAAATATGAATATTTACACTCAATGTTGATAATATGTTATAATACTATTAATGTACCCAGAAGATGTGTACTCACTGAATATTCCAACGTGTTTGATGCCAACTTTAACTGAATGAACATATTTAGCAATAAAATTAACCTAACCTTCAAATTAGTGACGTGTTGCGTTGATTTGCAGCGCCGGCGAGTTGAAGGAAGGTGCAAGTCGGACATTTTGGGGGTTAGATGACGCATACAGCGCTGTGGTGGTCGTCGGCATGGGGAAGAAGGATAAAGGTTATGACAGCTTGGAGAATATATGCGAGGATCGTGAATGCGCACGCGCATCAGCCGCAGGTGAAGTATAACCTCTCAAAAATGATTATAACCTAATAATTTTTAATTTTTAGTTGGTTGTAGTGAATTGGAACGTTTTGGTGTGAATGAAATCTGCGTAGAAGACTTTCAACATGCTGAATGTGCGGCAGAGGGCGCCACACTCGCCACATTCAAATATCAAGAGTTTAAAACCGAGAAAAAACCAGAAACTAACCTATTATACTATGATGTCACTGAAAACACAAAAATTCTAATTTGTGGAATGTGGGTTGCATAAAAGCAGTGGGGCAAAACATCGCAAGGCATTTAAAAGAAAAACCGGGGAATAAACTGACACCCGCCATGTTTGGCGCATACGTACAAGAATTATTCGCGGATGATTCCAATATAAAAGTAGAAGTACACGATAGAAAGTGGATAGAACAGAAAAAAATGGGTGCGTTTTTATCTGTAGCAGCAGGGAGTCACGAAGAACCGAAATTCATCGAGATAACCTACAAAAACGCCGACGACGCATCTAAACCGTTTGTGTTTGTTGGTAAAGGAGTCACTTTTGACACCGGCGGCATTTCACTGAAACCCTCCAAAGGTATGCCGACAATGCGCGCGGATATGGGCGGCGCTGCGTGTATCATCGGCGCAATGCACGCCGTGTCAAAGATGGCGCTGCAGATCAACATGAAATGTCTAATTCCGTGCACGGATAACATGCCATCGAGTAAAGCCACGCGTCCCGGCGATGTCGTCACCGCAATGAATGGAAAAACAATCGCTGTGGATAACACCGATGCCGAAGGAAGACTTATTTTAGCTGACGCGTTGTGTTACAGCGGTTGCTTCAATCCGAAGTTTGTGATTGACATGGCGACGTTGACAGGTGCCATTGGTGTTGCGCTGGGGAAAGGCGCAGTTGGAGTGTATAGTAACACGCATGCGCTGTATGATATTCTACAGGAAGCAGGCGCACGCACAGGCGATCGAGTATGGCGCATGCCACTGTGGAAGTTATACACAAAACTCATGACAGATTGCACAGCGTATGATTTACAGAATGTCGCTGAGGTAGGTGGCGGTAGTTGTACAGCCGCCGGGTTTCTTCGTGAATTCGCACCGAAAGATGTCGATTGGATGCATATTGACATCGCGGGTGTCATGGATGGCGCGCAGCCAATGAAATACGTCAAGGGCATGTCCGGACGACCAACACGCACTATTATAGAATTCATCGTTATGAATCAGTAGTAATTTACCTCAAATGTACGCTATATGAATAACTTGTATTAAAATGTTAACGTTAAAATATTAAGTACGTGATTCTAGTGTTCTACGTTAAGTTACGAGTATCACAATGTCGAAATTCGAGTAATTCGGTAACGATTACATGATTTTGAGGTTATGGTTATAAATTACAGTTAAGGTTAGTACACACACATCTCTTAAGTAAACTTAAGTTTACCGACTTAAGTCATTAATTAATTACTGGAATGTTACAGAAGGAGGAAAAGAGGATGCAGGTTAAAACAGGGGTTAAAAAATGCTCGCTTTCAGTGTTTGATTCGTGGCGGAGGGGGACTCTCTGAGGCGGCCGCCATTTATGGCGACACATATTCGGGCAGATTGCCGCGACCGCGACCTCTGCCGCGACCTCGTCCACGGCCACGCCCCCTCCCACGTCCTCGTCACCTTCTCCCATCTGTCATTCCTGCGACCAAATCTAGAAACAGAAAAATTTATTATTTATTATTATTAATCATATTTAATTTAATAAGTTATTACATACCTATATTACTTGTTGTTTTCTCCAGATAAGCCAAAGGTCCTTGTAAAACGCCCGCTGGATTCGCCTGGGCGCCGAACGGCGGCGCACGCGCATGCTGCATGAACATCGCCTGCTGTCCACTTGGAATGCCCGCCATGCCGCTCACCTGCACACAATGGTGAAACAAAACAACTTGTATTCAATGCGTTTGCACCAAAATTTATTTGGAATTCTCTCTTACACTTGAGCAAAGAACACGCAAGGCACAATCATTATCATTTTTCATGTTTCATGTAAGTAATATAGATAGATTTATATATGAATATATAGGAACGTTCGTTAATTTGGCATCTGCTAGAATTCTAGAATTTACTTTGTACATATTATCGGCGCTCTACCTGCATCTGTTGCATCTGCTGCTGTTGTAACTGCTGCTGCTGGAGCTGTTGTTGCATCTGTTGCTGTTGCATTTGTTGTTGGATCTGCTGTTGCATCGTCATACTGCCGCCGCTCATGGGGTTATTATTGACGTTGACATTCGGTGCGATTTGTGATGGCGGCATGCTACTTCCGGGCATCATTCCGCCGGGTGTGGGCATTCCGGGTGTCACGGCTGTTACCTGCGCCGGGCTTTTGGAATAACCCTGTAGGTCCATGAGTAAGTTCTGCCAGACGTTGATTTTTTCGTAGTGGCGTTTGAGGAGTTCGTCTTTGCGTGTCAGTTCTATGCGTAGTTCATTGATGTCTTCTTTCACGACCATTTCCGGTTTGAGTGCGGATAGGAGGAAGCGTTTCTGGAGGAAAAACGCTTCCATTTGGCGAGCGAGATCGACGAAACGCAGCGTGGTTTGCTCGACTTCTGTGCGTAGTTCGTCTTTGTCGCCTGTGGGTAGTGCTTCTTCTTTTGTGAGCACATTTAGGCAATGCTATAAAAATGAAATGAAACAAATGACAATCAATATTAGTTTAGAAAAGTATGAATGTTGTATTTTGACTTACTTGGAAGGCTTCCTCAAACTCGTCGACGACATTACCGCTGCTATTCGTCGGAGTGGCCATCGCTGACACCGGTGGCGATGATTCTTTCATTTGTACGATTTATTAAACTTGTTTCTCGTATTGAAAAAGTACTGAAGCGATAATTAGGCGATATCTGGAGGGTGTTGGGTAGTAAATATGATTCGTATACTTGTCGGTTACACTGGAAAGTACGATGATAGCATCTTCGTCATCTCACGCACAAAGAATCTTGTAAAATCGACGAAAATAAATGAAAGCGAGCAAGTGCGCAGCCAAGCGCAAGCGGCCATTAAAATTACAGAGATTGTGTTGTAGTTCAGAAACTCACCACTAGTTGACCATGAATACAATTTAAATCTAAAATATTTATTGCAATCAATTTTAAGCTAATTTTAACTAAGTAAAAATTCATTTTAAATATATTAATACAGATTACACTAATATTTACTATTTTAAACGTTTTTATTTTATTTTATTCTATTTTGAAAGTTCGAAATGTGTGAGTCAATAAAAAGCAAACGTTTTAGTTCCAATACTCGCCGCCAGTTGGCGCTAGTTACAACCAATGCTGTCAATTTAAAATTATCGCAACTAACGAGGAAATGCTTACTTTGAACACGAATTAAATCAATTTTAATGAGATTATGATACTAATTGGGTTAATCACACAACCCGAAAGTAATCCACACTAAACCTGCTTGCTAAATTGTGTTAATATCACCAAATTAGTAACAATCGCACCCAAAATCTAAAAAACACAAAAATACACAAAAACACATAAGTTATTAATTATTAATCAATTACCTTAAATAAAAGTTCAATATTCATCGCACTTTTAGACCCAATCGTAAACTGCACTTGATTCTGTGCTAAATTCATTGGAATATCCTAAAAATCAATAAAATTATTTTGAAATAATGAAAATCCATAACTTACAATATTTTCCTGGATAATTTTATCACAAAACATCACAGTAAATTGACGACATGTATGTGTGCAACTAGCAGCACACAAAAACATCGCGCAAAGACTGCAGAATGTAATACAACTCCACATCGACGCGTAAATCTTCAAAAAGAAATTCCGTTTGACTTTCTCAACGTTTTCTTCACTCCCAGCGTGTTCCAACAAGATAATCAAATGATACAACTCATAAGTAATCCATACTGAGTTATTAGCAACAATAAATATATTCGTACATCGATACACTTTGTTTAACTTCGTTGCTTTGGTAATAATCGTTTGGTAATCTTGAAAAATCGTGGTTAAGTTATGTTCTTGGTTTAACCTTGAAATCAATCTGTCAATATGTGATCTGACAGTTTTTAAATAAAAACAAAAATGAAACGAAGCGTGAATCAGAATTAATTTCGGAATATTTATGCCTAACGTGAACAAAGTCGCGTGGAATGTATCATAATGAATGTAATACGTAACAATCACACTTGAAAATGACAGCGTTATTATAACCAACTCTATGTGCATGCTTGGTTGCCTATATACATGCTCACTAATATGTCGCAGTAGTTTCAGATTATAAATCGACGTTATTTGTATTTTAATCAATGAAAAGCTGAAAATCAAAGAACACACTACGTAGATTATCTCATTCAACGGTGTTATCACTGACGTTGATAGTTTTTCATACGAAATAAACGCTTGGAATGACAAAGACACAAAATTTATCAATAACGCCGTTAATTTAAGGTTAAAATCTTTAATTTTCAGGTTAAATTTATTAAAATACGTTATACTACTAGAATAAATCCCGGTTATTTTCGAAATGTTTAGAAACAATTTACACGAATGCATTTTTATTTCTTGCGCGTGTTTGCTGCGATTGCTGGGAAAATATTTGTGCCACGTGCACGTTCTAAGAAAGTCATTTAATTATTGTAATGATCGAAGGGATAGCGGTGGAAGGGGGACGCAATTAACGTCGAAAAGAAGTCAATTTATTGATTGCACTCGTTATTGCAATCGAAGTGTGCGCGGGCGGAGAGTAGAAACGAAAATGAATACAGGACATGATTGATTGAGTTATTTGTTTCAATGCATTACTAAGTAGATAGCGAAGGAGACGGGGAAAAAATCGCCAAGAAAAAGGGTTTAATTAATTAAGTATAATACCGGTTAACCGGTTTTTATATCGGTTAACCGGTTAAATACCGGTATTAATACCGGTTAAATATTGGGTAACCAAAATATCGGTTTTAAGAATAGTAAAATACCGGTTTTAATACCGGTTAACCGGTTAAATACCGGGTTTTACCGGTTAAATACCGGTTAACCGAAATACCGGTTTTAAAAACAGTAAAATACCAGCTTTAATACCAGTGAAACGGTTAAATACCGATTTTAATACCGGTTAACCGGTTAAATACCGGTATTAAAACCGGTTAAATACCGGTTAACCGAAATACCGGTTTTCAGAACAGTTAAATACCAGTTTTAATACCTGTGAACCGGTTAAATACCGGTTTTGATACCGGTTAACCGGTTAAATACCGGTTTTCGTAAAAAAAATATTTTTCTCTTATTTATATAAATTTTAGGCTCGTTTGCGTTGGTGGTGCATTAATAACACTATGTACACCACCTACGTTAATTAGAGGCTTAATTTCCAGCCGGTGCTATCATTCCAAACAAGATATGCATGCGTATGACTCATGCGGGGCGGTTTTCCCGAAAACTGAGCGCGCAATCAAGTGTCGCAAATGTGAAGGGTGAAATAGTCACGACGTGTACCAACTAATGTACTTTTAATTAGTTGAAGAGAAGAGTGACTTAGAAATGTTGAAAGGAAAACTTAAAATGTGCATTAAAGGTGTGAACATAACCTCACGTTTTGATATTTCACGCTAGTTCCGCCTTACGGATTACGATCACGTCGCATAACGCAATATATATCGATAAAAAGGTCGAATTGCGAATTGTAATCGTAACACGCAAGCAGTGGGCATAGAAAATGTTACAACTTGTTGCGTTCATCCTCGTGCAACGTGTACGCACATAATCAATTTGTGAAGAAATCATTTTATAAAAAAAAAAAAATACGGAGGGAAAAAGTGAGAAATTTTTTGAAAAACCGGTTAACCGGTTAAATACCGGTTTTAATACCGGTTAAATACCGGTTATTTGGTTAAGTACAGGATAAAATATCATTAGAAATAAATAAAAAAACTCAAAAACCTGTTTTAAAAATACCGGTTATCAAAAAATTAAAAATACCGGTTTTTACCTTCGGTTAAATACCTAATACCTATTATAATACCGATTACAACTCAAAAACCCCTTAAAAAACTCTCTAAACCAATAAACCATTAATATTTTGCCTTGGGAGCCACGCCTACTGATGGGCGTGGCTCCTGCGACCCAACATAACCTCAAACAAACAATTTTTTGCATACGATCACACATTGTCCATCTCTGCAACCCTTAGATATCCATTACGATCGAAATCCCACGGGCATTGTGAAGTTCTTGTACGCTTTGTGGCGCATTGCCGCCGCCACTCCGAGCCGCCACCCCCAGGCGTCGGCGTCAACACGACCTCGGGGGTGGCACGCAGTGTTATCAACGCTCGGCGCGAAATTTTCGCAACATTTTCGCGTGCGCCGTCGTCCAATCAACACGTACAACAAACAAATAAAAATCCAAAGAATTTGTGTGTGAATATTCATAATAATTTAATAATAATAATAATAATAAGAAAAAGTGAAATTTTAAGTTGAGTTGAGGAATAAGTGATAATCAAGCGGTGTCAGACGTGTCATTTGACATTCCATTCGTCGTGTTTTATTCAATTTGGAAACTGTGAGCGAGAGTTTTACTCAGGTGAGTCACAAGAAGGTTTTTCGTTTTTGGGGGTGGAAAGTTGTGTGAAAGACACTTTTCGACTAAACTTTTGCACGTCTAATGAAAATCGAGATGTGTTTTTCACGCAGAAATGTAAAAAACACGTAAAAATGCGTAAAATACGTGAAAATACGTAAAAAATAATTGTATGCAACCAAAAACACACAAAAATCACTCTCATGTATTTATTTGTTGTTTTTATTCTTTGGCTTGTTTCTGGCATCAATATTATTGCGCAGTTTTTGTAAATTTAGTAAATATTGAATTTTTAATCGTAAAATAATACATTTTTATGTTTATAATAATTATATATTTATTTATTTTTATTTTAGCTCGATTCTTGACTCTGGAATTTTTATTGAGTTGTGTGGTCGTAAATGTAATGTTTTAAGTTTGATTTTATTGGATTCTTGAGTGAAACGAGTTGAAAAGTTAATACTTAGTATATTTTACGAGCGTCATCTGGTGAGGAAATAAATTGCTATTGTTATTGGCTATAAATATTGCTGATTTTTCAAGTAAAAACTTCATTTAGAAGCAATTTTATTGAAAATTGTGAATTTTTTTGTTTATTTCTTTAAAAAACAGTTGAATTATTAATAAAAATTAATTTATGTGAATTGTATTTTATAGAATAGTTTATTATCTATCAATTAAAAAAAGAATTACGTCTTTACCTCTATTTTTACCAAAGATATAATCAATTTTACTTGATTCAATGAAAAATCAGTTAAAGATCTGTCAAAGCACTTTTATGACAGATATTTGACATTTGAGGGTAATTTTAACCTATACTCTTGTCTTATACATAACCACACTTTAGTACTACACAATAAAAACCAAAATAAATATTGCTAAAAGTTGTGTTTCATCAAATTTTCCTAAAATTAAAAAATTTAATTAAAAACACAATTTTTTTTTACTACGTTCTTAAAAAAACACATAAATTATTAATTTAAATCAATTTTTCTTTGAAATATTCCATAGAATATGTAATTATCTATCAATTAAAAAAAGAATCACGTCTTTATCTCCATTTTTACCAAAGTTATAATCACTTTTACTTGGTACAATGAAAAAATCAGTTTGATGTATGTCAAAAAACAGATATTTGACAGTTGAGGTTAATTTTAACCCATATTCTTGTCCTAAACATAACCACACTTTAATACTACACAATAAGAACACAAATAAATAATGTTAAAAGTTATTTTTCATAAAATTTTAACAAAATCAAAAAATTTAACTAAAAACCTCAAATTTTTTTACTAATTTCTTAAAAAAACACATAAATTATTAATTTAAATAAATTTTTCTTTAGAATACTACATAGAATATGTAATTATCTACCCAATAAAAAAGAAATCACGCCCTATCTCAATTAACAACAAAACTACCAACAATTAAAGTAAATAATACAAAAAAATCACTCAAAAACCTGTCAAAAACATTTTTGACATTTTTGACAGTTCATATCACTCCAATCTAATTTTAACCTACACTACCCACCTAAATATATCCCTCTATATCCAATCAGGTTCGATAAACAATTAAACAGTTAAACAATCGGCTGATAAATTGCATTCGATATCAGCACGCACACAAATTTGACAGACGCAAAGATAAGCTTGGACATATCACCCTGACACACTTATTTGTGCACATTTCAAACACACGCTGCACTTCCCCCACAAACACATAAACAACAACACGTAGATTCCTACTACTCGTAAATCCAAAATGGCCGACAACATCTACCGGATAACCTATACTAACCTCATTACACTTTGGTTACTAAGTTACCCAAGGGTTCAATCAACTAATTTGCGTGCGGTTTAACCAATTTCCACCACCCTTAACCCCCAAGGGTAGGCAACCCACCGAACTGCATCTTGTGCACCATCACAAAACACAAAATATCAATTTTAATTTTAATGATGATATTGAAGCTTAAAACTTTCATTTCGTGCACGTGTACATCTGGAACTTTCTGATGCATACATGATTATCCCCGATTTGCACCCCTAAAATGTATCTCACGTTTCATCCACGTGTGCAATTCAAATACGCGAATTGTTTCCTGTTTGCATCTCGCAGCCGCATTTCCTGCGCAAGTGCTTTGTGTCTAATATTCGGCCACACTTCAAACTTCCTCCTGCACTCACCCCCACCCCCGCCATCACGCTTAGAATATAGTTGCGTCCGTGTGGTCATTGCGTAGTGTTGGAAATTGACTGGACGTGAATATCGCGCTAACTTTTCGATCAGCGTCTAAATACTAAGGACTAAACTTGTTACGGGGATGTTAAGGGGTGTTGGATGTTAGTTAAGGGTGGTTTTTGTGTGCTTGGGGGATGATTAGGCGGAAATTGCATATTTTGCAGGTTTTTCAATTTTCTTCATTTTTCTACGCGGGTTGGGTATAAAAGGATATTGAAAATGTAAAATTTAAGGGTTGTTACACTAAGGGTTGTTATACCTGCAGCTGGTTTGGATTTAGGTGGCTGAATAATTGAATTTTTGAGGTGTTTTGAAGAATTTCGCAGGAAATTTGAAAATATTCCGGGGATAAATAACAACTGATGGTTTATAAAGCCTGAGGGGTGCTCCCACATGTGTTGCTGCATGTGTATTTTCAGGGTGGAAATGACCGGAAGTCGATTAAAAACGCAGTCAATATATTATCCGTGT